CTGCAACCAATGTGGGAGTCTTTCGGTCTCAAACAGAGCAAGGCATGATAAGAGCTTGGCCCGTATGGGAGGCAAAGAGGGGGAGCGTGAAAGAATGCAAACACTGCCAAGGAGATTGGGTTGATAAAAGGAGGTGGAACAAAATGGAGTAACACCTGGCATCATCTCTAACAATCCCTCGCCCAATGGCCTATGTGTTGCTCCCACTACACACATCTCTGTCTATACAGAACTCCCATGCAAACACATACTAGTCTCAGCTTACATGGGACACATAGCGGTACATTCATACCACACCCAAGTCTAAGTCCAGGTTGGGTTTAACTATGTGCTTGGATGGATAGCCTGCTTAGTGCACGGAGCAACTGTTCCATTAGTGTGGTCCACCCATACTGTGCTCCCTATAGGCCTGTATCTCTCCATAAGCTCCTGTCAGCTGTCATCTGATCCTCTAATAACTCTGTCCTGATTGGTCCCTTGGGAGAGGAGCGAGCTAAGCCCTGTGTATTCAGGCCCTCTGTCTCTCTCTGCCTCGGGGGCAGTGTGTGTGAGAGAGAGAGATATGGCATCCAGTAATTAGGGGGATGTGATGCGTAGAATGGGAGGGCGGGGAGGGCGCTTGTCTGTGTGCCATTGTGTTGTAATGATTACAGGGCTGTCTGGTCATTCGTGGGTAGTAATAATACCCAATGACCTGCCACAGAGAAGGGTGTGTGTGGAGAAATAACTGTGTGTGTGTCATTGCCTCAGCTGTTGCTGCCTTACCCCTGTCTCTGCTCTGGGAATGGTTAGGGACAAGATTCCAGAGAAGTTGCAACGTGAAGTGTGTTTGTCCCCAGACGGTTGAGCTCTTCCGTTGGGAAAGAGGCTGTGCTTGCTTATGCCTACTCTGTGCTCTGTGGGACCCCTGTTAGGCCCAGTTCCAAGCCTCAAGTTTCATCATTCCTAGATTGCTGAATTTGTTGCAAAGTCAAACCACACACAAACTCACATCATATGGTGGGTTTTATTTTAAGTCTCCCTCCTGTAAAGTATTGATCTAGTGTAGGCCAATGGTTGAACATGTGTCTGTTGTCATTGCTTTGGACAATATGTATACTCTAGTATTGAACCGTATTCACAAAGTGTCTCAGAGTAGGAGTGCTGATCTAGGATCAGTTTAGCCTTTTAAATCATAATGAATGAGATTAGATGGGGACCTGATCCTAGGTCAGCACTCTTACTCTGATACACTGGATGAATACGGGCCCTGCTCTGTTAGGCTTCTGTTCCCTTGTCCATAAGCTCCTGTCCTAGATGTTCCTATGAGCAGCTGAGCACCATAAGGATAATCAGAGCCTGTGTGTCTGGGTGTGGTCTTGTGTGTGCTGCATGTCTGGCACGGTGTCTGCGGTTAGGAGTCAATGCGGTATGTTGTAGCAATGTTTTGGTTAGAGAAGTGAGGAGAAATGGTTGATATATGGGATGGGAGAACTGGTTACATCATTTGATATGCTGTAGGATAGATAGATTTTTGGCAGCAGTATGCGAAATCCATTATTTAGTCCTTTGTGTCGGGCAGCAGCGCAGTTGTTATTATAATAATAATAATATGCCATTTAGCAGACGCTTTTATCCAAAGCGACTTACAGTCATGCATGCATACATTTTTTGTGTATGGGTGGTCCCGGGGATCGAACCCACTACCTTGGCATTACAAGCGCCGTGCTCTTCCAGCTGAGCTACAGAGGACCAGCATAAGAGAAGCCATACTGAGAAAACAGGAAAGGCCGCGTTAGACATTTTGACAATTTGTGGAAGTGCTTCTGATTCAATCCATTTACAGTGGATCTGTGATAGTAAGCAAAGCATTAACATCTCCAAACAAAGTGACGCCACCCGCCGGCCGACAGCACACTACCTTTCATCAGAGCTGCTGGAGAAGAAGAATAAATGTCCTCACTCCTCACATATTGAGCTTGGGGAAGATGGAGGGACAAGGATAGTTTGTGGACAGTATTTTTCTACTATCTCTATAGAGGACATGGAGCTTATAGGACAAGAGATGGAGCATATATGACTGCAGTGGGAAGCCTCTGTAGACTGTACTGTATACCCCTCAGCCTGCTGCCTGTAGTGGGAGATGCCCATATAAGGCCTTGTGGGTCTAAAGAAGCCTGAGTGGGCCCCTCTAGCATGGGGAGGAGACCAGGGAGGAGGGAGGACAGGCCCAGCTGCCCTATTTGTACTGTACTTGTACGAGTTCCAGCTGGATGGAGCCAGCCAGTGGTGTGCACAGCAGTCTCCCAGATATTGAGACAGGGACGAAAGAGAGGGTGAAGGGGTGTTGGGGGTGGGGATGAGGATGAGAGAAATGTTTGGAGTTCCTCCTACTGCAAGTCTCCGCTCGCCCCTGCTGACTCGAAAGGCTTGTTTGCTGCGTGTGTGAGAGAGAGTGTGTATTCCCTTTGTTGGGTGATTGCCATTGCCCTACAGCCCCATTCCTCACACGTCTTCACACTGGACCTGTTGCGCTGAGGGCAGGGTCAGGCTCACCTCAACTGAGATGATTGGTGTGGGAAAGGTGGTGATTAATCACTTGTCACTAAGGATCAGTTTAGCAGTGTAGCCTCTAATGATGAAGAGTAAGAAAAGCTGATCCCAGACCAGGGTGTAGCCTTGTTGTGAGGTAGATGGCTGCCCCCTTCACCTCGCCCACACAGAGGAATCTCCACTGATTGATTTAGAGACTCTGCTTGCGTACATATGAGTGTTTGTGTGTGTGTTCAAACCACTTCCTCCTCCTCTTTCTTGCTGGGGTTATGGACACAGAGAGAGAGAGAGAGTAGGGCTAACCAGGGCTGGCTGGCTGGGATAATGTCTTTATGGAACACTGGAGACACTTTAGGAAATGCCTGCACGGCCCAAAGTGCTGGCTCCGCAGAAAAGAGGATTGTATGGCAGGGTGTCTCTCTGGGCAAGAATGAGAAGCAATCGTGTGTGAGAGGGAGAGTAAGAGTAAGAAAGAAAGCGCTCTATTTTGGTCTGTTTGCTTCCGTTACCCTAGCAAGCGAATTGCTGGAATATTGCTTTATGTAACTATCCTTGGTGACAAGATAAACATTGATGCTGTTGGCGGCAGTAGATTCCTCTGTAGATCGATACCTGGGGGCTGTAAATGGCCCAGAGATTGTAAATGACCCAATGTGTACTATAGTTACAGTATATTTGCTGATGCCACCAGGTCTGCAATACATGATGCCAAAAGCAAAGATGGACAAGGATGCTTTATTCTTTCCTGCAGATGAGCATTACACTACCTTGTGATCTTAGTGAATTATTTGTTTGTTTCCATGTTTTATCTGCTATATCCAATACTTTCCGTGTGCATAATGAGCTCCCTCAGAGGAGGCTGGTGGGAGGAGCTATATGATGACAGGCTCATTGTAATGGCTGGAATGGAATCAATGGAACGGAGTCAAATGCGCTGTTTCCATGTGTTAGGTGTGATTGGTACCATTCCAATAATTCCATTCCAGCCATTACAATGAGCCCATCCTCCTATAGCTCCTCCCACCAGCCTCCTCTGATCTCCCTGTTGTATTATGTGTACTTGACCTGCAATAATGTACGTCTTTGTGAGCTGTTAATGTATATTATATATATTTTTTATTACAATTTGTATTGTTTTTACTTCACTTGGTCTCCCCACCCCCTCAATGGTCATGCTGCTCCTCCTATGGTCATTCCCTCACCCCCTCAAATCTTTACTCCTGTTGGGGCTCGATGCCTAAGATGTTCACTGTACCTTGCAATCACACCTGTGGGGACTTTACTACTCCAGGGTTTGCTCAAGTCAGATTAAAGTGGGCCTCCTACAGCAGATGCTCTGTACTATAGTCACTCAGGCCTGTGTCAGGCCTACTAGCCTGTTTACTGTGGAGACATCTCCCTCTGCTGTGTATGGAAAAGTAGACGGCATCAGCACACTCACACCCCGGTGCTGCCACAATGATTCACAAAACCCAGAGAGGAAGAGGGCCACAGCAAGGGAGTCAGACGAGAGAGAGAGAGAGGGAAAACAGGTCAGTTTGAGTGTATTCGTGAATGGTTCGGGAAGCCCCCTGTGTCAATATAACACTGAGACAGCGTTGTTATGTCACAACAGAGTATGATCTCATCAGCATCCTCTTTGACCACACACTCAAGCTGTGTGACTGAGGCTACAGCTCTCTGCGTTTCCCCTCTTGCTCTCTCTCTCTCTCTGATTCTGTCTCTCTCTCTGTTGGTCTCCCCTGTCTCTGTCTGTCTCTCTCTCTGTTGCTCTCCCCTGTCTCGGTCTGTCTGTCTCTCTCTCTGATGCTCTCCTCTGTCTGTTCTCGCCTGCCTCTGTCTGTCTCTCTCTCTGTTGCTCTCCTCTGTCTGTTGCTCACGCCTGCCTCTGTCTGTCTCTTTCTCTCTCCTTTTCTGTATTCTTCCCTCTTTTTTTTCTCTCTCTTTTTTTAACTAGCTCTTTCCTGCCCACATGGCTTACATTCTTCTGACCTGACATCATAGTGGTCATCCCCCTTTCCCTCCCAGTCAAGCCTCCTCACATTGGGTTCTTTAGCAAACTGAAGGTTACCGTCCCTCTAATATAGATGATTCACCTCCCTCTACCTTTCCCTGTTCTTTCAACTGATAGAGACGAGCATAAATGTTCACACACACACACACACACACAAGCATACCACACACGCACAAATGCATACGTGCACAGACGCACGAACATACACACACACCCATGAGACAAGACCGAGACGGAGTGTGAGGGTGAATAAGAGGCTGACAGTCAGACGGTCTGGTTAGTGTCATCGTGGGGGAAGGTGGCGCTGACTTCAGTACAGTTTTACTGCAGTCTGGAGCTAATGGATCTATTGTAGCATTGCAGAGGGCTGTGTTTGCAATTAAATGGAGTTAGATGTGTATCTAGTTAAATAGAAACTACAGTGGCAATGTCAACAGTGGCTATCACTAGAAAGATGTCAGAGAGTGGCTGTGATATGTTTCTGGCCAGGAGGGTCCTGGGTCTATTTATTCTCCTCTGTGTAGCAGAGCTGCATAACAACACAACAGCCACTAATAGTCTGATCACACAGCCAGAGAATCTAAACAACCCTAGTGACCAGCCAGACGGACAGGAGGGAGGGAGGAAGAGACTGAGGGAAGAGAGATATAATAAGAGAGATGGGGAGATGAAACTACTTGAGAGTGTAAATATTCGCCTAGTGCTGCAATTCTTCATACGTGACTATTAGAATGTTTGATTTAAGAGGCCTGTCTTCCTGTTTTTCATTCCGAGGCTACAGAAGACACTGGTCGTGTTCCAGGCAGACTATACAATGCAGTCGCCTGCTAGATGTCATATCATAACTCCATTTGTAGCTGCATGCAGCTCGACTGCGTTTGCACCAGGCCCAGCTGAATAGAACATGGTGGATGGATGAAGCAAGCAAGGCCTGTGTGTGTTTCTCACAGAGCTGCAATACTCTAGCTCAGCGGAGGCGGAGGGTCATATTTACTGTATACACAGTACCAGATATCATCATCATCATCATCATCATATTAGCCTTCAACCATATGTTGATTTAAGCTGATAAGTCACCGGCTATAGTTGAGGGTTGTGTACTAGCGGTATGGGTTTGCCCCTACAACAGGGGGAGAGAGAGGAGGGTAGGGGAATCGTGGGTTTATGGGTTTGCCGCTACAGAGAGAGGGAGAGAGGGAGAAATAGTGGGCCTAGATGAGGGATAAAGGAATAGGGGAGGGGAAGAAAATACAGAGGGTTCCTCAGAGTGGGAGTAAAAATAAGTTCTCATTGCTGATTTCCCACGGATGCTGGGTCCCATGACTTTGTCAGAGAGTGGGATTGTGTTTTTTTCCCCCCCTCAGCATTCTGTTTAGTTTGGTGTGTTTTCCCTAAAGTGGTGTGACCAGTGGTTGGAGACAAGAAGTGTTTCAACTCTGGGAACCAATGAGAGAGGAGCTGGACCATAGTCACCATGTGCGTCTACTGTCCTCCTCTCTCCCAGATGTGTGTCTGTACAGTATGTCCTGCTGTGTGTGTGTGTGTGTGTGTGTGTGTGTGTGTGTGTGTGTGTGTGTGTGTCGGTTCTGCTGCATTAGCTCCAGCCCTGGTTCTGGCAACGCTGTTGAACTGAGACAGTCTGGCACAGTGCTTGGCTGCTGTTAAACTTCATAATGACCCAAGTTGTCCTCACTTCAGACACCCTTGGTGCACATAGTCGATCTTTGGAATTGAATCTCTTTAATTCATCAACTCTTTAATTTCAGACTTGATCCAGCAGGAGTGCGAGTGAGAGGTGTAAGGGAGGAATATTGAATGACAGAATATTACAAAAGGAGGTGTAGTGTAACCAAAGGAAGATAAGAGGACACTACATAAGCCTGCATATCAGACTCATACTGACAGATGTGAAGAAATAGTGGCCTGACTCTTGACAACGTTGTTTGTTTGTTTGTTTGTTTGTTGATGCATTGCCAAGGTTATATTCGCTCTACAGTCCCTTGACAACAGTGCAATTTACAGCCGGGCCATAAAGGCTGAATTTGAATTAGTCCTAGAGAGCAGACCTGGGTTCAAATACTATTTGAAATCTTTCAAATACTTTTGAGTGTTTGCTTTAACCTGCCTGGAGTACCGGATGGTTGGAGTTTTGACTTCTATTGGTTCCATTGCACCAGACTAGCGCAATCAAGCACAGCTAAAGTATTTGAAATGATTTCAAATAGTAATTGAACCCATGTCTCTCTAGCGGCCATGAGGTCCTGACTGAGAGATGTGGGAGAGGAAAGAGTTAAACTAGGACCAATGGATACTGGTGGTCAGAGATCCCTGCCCCCTCTCTGTTCAGCACAAATATGCTACATCAGCATGACCGTGCACAATGTACAGCCCCAATGTATGCCGATGAAGCGTTGAGCAATCTGACAACATACACTTGACATTGATTTAACTAACGCTAAAGTCAAGGCAAGTCTATCTAATGATTGTTTTCTCTTTCTCTTTCCTTCATTCTCTGTTCATTCTCATGCCCAGCGGTGCCCATGTGAGTGAGAGAGGGAGAGTGAAAGATGGAGAGAGTGAAAGGGAGCGAGAATGAGTGTGTGAGAGACCGAGAGCGACAGACAAAGAGAAACTCACACCGTCTGGAAAACATTACTCAGATTCCAGCAGGCGGGGGCTCTAATTATGTTGGCAGTGCCGAGAGTGATTCCTGAGCGTAGTTCTGTAGCATATATTGGAGATTACAGACCACTAAAGAAAGAGCATGTTTTGAAAAGTGAAGGTGCGGTGAAGTTCTCGTTTCTAACTGTCTCACTCCTCTGTCATATGCCACTACTGCCAGCTGAGCAGTAGGCTTGTCCAATAGAGGGGCTGTAGAGTGCTGTGTCAGCAGGAGCAACAGGCAGGGGGAGGGCTGCAAGGCTCCAGACGACATGGCTGCAGACTACAGGGTGAACATGGCCATGGCTTTACCTGAGCTGTATTAGGGGCTGGCCTGGGGAACGCTGGGACCTGTCTGCAGGGTGGGGCAGGAACAAGAGAGCCTCCAACCCCCAACATCCTCACCTGGGTCCTGTTCAATAGGCATGAAACGGACAAAAACGGACTGAAACAGAGAGGGAATACCTGGCTTTTCACACTACTGAGCCGAAATGGACAGAAATAAATCAAGCTGTACTGAGCTGGCCTGGTTAAACATCCACTAGAACTGTGTTGAAAAGGACAATGTGAAAAGGGTACATGTGGCTTGGCTGTCTGCTGCAGCCACCAGGCACCACTACTTCCACAGACAGGAAACACTGACTCCTGCTAATGATTATTATAAAGTTGGGATTTCCTGGGCTTTGTAGTACACAGCCATCATACCCCTTAACTCTGGGGCTCACCACCACTGTCATGATTTCGGTGTTTCTGCAGTTCTCATTTTATTTGCCCTCTTTCACTCTTTGGGACAGACTTCTGGACACAGATTAAGCCTAATGAGCGTCATGTTTGTTGTCCATGATTAGGCTTAATCTATGTAAACCGGCCCTTTGTTTAATCAGAGCTTGTTAAAGGGATATTACAAATATAGATGGTTTCCTTACCTTAAAAACTGCAATCCACAATGATCTTGTTATTCCACACTGATAGGTTTCTTTACCTATAAAAAAAAGTTATGTGATGTTGCTGAACTATCCCTAAAGCTGCAATATGTAACTTTTTGGGGGACCAGACCAAATTCACATAGAAATGTGTTATAGATCTGTCATTGTTATTGAAAGCAAGTCTAAGATGCGGTAAATCTGTTCTATGTTCGCTATTTCTATGCTTCCTGTTCTTAAGTTTAGGTTTTGTACACCAGCTGAAAATACAATATTTTTGCTTATGGAACATTTTATTTCACAGCGGTGTAGATGGTATAATGATTCTCTACACCAGGGTTTCCCAAACTCAGTCCTGGGGCCCCCCCGGTGCACGTTTAGGTTTTTGCCCTAGCACTACACATCGGATTCAAATAATCAAAGCTTGATGATGATGAGTTGGTTATTTGAATCAGCTGTGTGGTGCTAGGGAAAAAAACAAAGCGTTCACCCAGGAGGGGCCCAGGACCGAGTTTGGGAAACCCTGCTTTACACTATACGTGCTTGTTTTTTCACGTAAACTGAAATTAAGTGAACAATTTAGAATTTTAGCAACCAGGAAATGGCGGTGCGATTTCTGCATAGTGCATCTTAAAATGTTCAAGCTAATATTATTGTGTGCTTATTTCTTTGATTCACAGTAAAGTGGCTAGTGTTGTGTTCAGTCTCTGACTGCCAGACAGCTCTGGACAAATGATGTACAGTGTCCCAAATGGCACCCTATTCCCTACATAGAGCACTACTTTTGACCAGAGACATATGGAATAGGATGGCATTTGGAACGCAGCCATGGTCATAATAATAGTTCTATCAGAGTAACGTTAATGATGGAATCCTACTTAGTGACTTCTCAGCTCAGCAACATTAATCATGGCAGTAGTGGACTGTTCCACTCCCTGCCTGCCTGGGTTTCTGTTAAATCACCATTGTCTCCTAAAAGAAGAGGCAGAGGAAGGAAACTATATGATTAAGCTATAGTTCATAAAACATTTAGTAAAGTACCGTTTGTCTTCCTGTGGGAGTCATCCTGTATTCTCCCATAGCCCCCCACAGGTTCCCCCTCTCCTTGTACAGAGGGCAGGGACGGCCTGTTCAATAGGGCGATATGGGCGACGCACTGCCAAACGGGAAAAGGAAGGGATTTTTTTTCTAATCAATTATATCACGGCAACAGTAGTTATCAGTGTTGTAATCTGATCTGACTGCCACTAAATGTCAAATCAGGCTAAAGTCGTGCTTCAAATGGCCCCGCCCGTTTTTGGGCGATTTCAGTCAGGTTGAAAATCGCCCAGAAGTCTCTCATAGCCTGTCATGTAAAATCTATTTTTTTCAAATTTCAAAGCTTTCAATACATTCTCTATGGGTGTCTGTGGGCTTGCACTTACGCGCTTTCGTCATACGTGACGTAACCATGAACGTAACTAAGCAAATAGCGGCTAGCAGCGTCTCTGTTGCGACCTGCAGTGTGGCGTTATTTTATGTTTTTAATTTGTACACTTAGTGGCGTTATTTTATGTTTTTAATTTGTACACTTAGTTTACAAACATTCTGCCAACCATGGATTTCCAGTGGTGGGTTTTGGACTGATCTTGTTGATCGTGTACATACCCGCTACGAACGGACTAAATAATGAAAACGTTGCTGGCAGCGGAATCCAATACAGCTGGGAGACTTGGCTGGATGACCGAGTCCCGGACAGAGAAGTGGAGCCGGCCGGCTTCACCCTGGTCGGAGCGGACCTCGATCTGACAGTCACAGGGAAAATCGATCCTGGTAAGAGAGCGACTCTGTACCCCCGAGCCCCGACATTGAACTGCTTTCTGTGTCACTGCGACCTTACTATCTGCCCCGTGAGTTCCCCCAATTGTTTGTTACCGTTGTGTACTGTTGATAATCACAAGTTTACTGGAGAACTGAGACCAAGTAGAGACTTTGGACAGGGTGGATATGGTATAATAAAGGCAGTTTATTCAGAGGTAAAGATATCTGGAATCGCGTGCACGGACTCGTTCGTCAAACTCTTAGGGAGCTATCTGAAGAGAGCCCCGAAAACATTGTGTGCTGACATTTTATACAATAAATGATGTAGGTTGAATCTAGTAGTTCTGATCTTCTGATTGGTCCTGATGAGTTGGGCGAGGTCCCCTCCACTGTTGCATTGGCTCTGAGTCGGGTTCTCTGTCTTCAAATGTTCAGCCTAAAGAGAGGGGATTTTTGTGTGTGTGTGTGTGTGTGTTTAACAGTGATGATGTGTGTGTGTGTGTGTGTGTTTAACAGTGATGATGTGTGTGTGTGTGTGTTATCAGTGATGATGTGTGTGTGTGTGTGTGTGTGTGTCCTCAGAGCAAGAACTCGTGAGTTGGAAGAACTGAGAGACCTATGGCGTGGGTGTTGTCCTTGGCCACCTGCTGACAAGGCTGACAAGATAGGACTCTTTTGTCCATTGTTATAGGATAGGAACATCATTGATTGAAAACAAACGCCCAACACAAAATGGGTCATGCACAAGATTTTAGTCAGACCAAGCTATAACATTATATATTTACTACGACAGTACATTCAACCAAAAGCTAATATAACAAAGGCATCAGAGATTATTTATAATCTGTCACAGAAACTGGAATCCATCTCCCCAGATCAGTCAATAAATGCTTCTGGTATTGACTTATATGCTGCCCCTGTCTTCATGTTGTTGCTGGACATATCTTTTTTAAAATGTGTGTAGGTCACCTAAATCATCAGAAAAATTGCCCCTCCTGAGAATTTTTTCAGGAGCCGCCACTGACAGAGGGACACATTTTCCATTTCTTCATTTCTCTCTCTCCAGGGGTGGTTGAGTCCAGATGTGTGTGCTAGAGATGTTTTTGTGGGGGGTTTTTATGCCCCATCTGCCTTGTTTTAAGCGCAGAGGAGGCAGAGAGAGGAGAGGGACTGAGAGAAACTAGAACTACTTCAAGACTAGTGTGTTTCACCTTCTACTGTAAGTCTCTTGTTGGGCCCTGTGCTGGAGGAGAGCGGGGGGGGGGGGGGGGGGGGGGAGAGAGAAAAGGAGGGTGGAATGTGTCACTCTGTAGAAAGAAGGAGGGAGAAGGAGTGAGCAAGAAAGGTAGAGAGAGAGTGACTGACTGAGAGGGATCAAATAAGTAACAGGAGAGGTGATGGGAGCTGAGTCACTCCTACACATGGCTTCGGAGATGTTATAAAAACAAACGATCGCGCTGACGTGGACGACTCGCATTCTGGGAATATAAACGATTCTTAAAGCCAACCAATAAACAGGAAGGAGAGAGATGAAGTACAGAGCCATGGTAAGAAAAGAACTGCACGCTCACTCACTCATTCTCTTCAAAAGGAATTTGGAACTTGGAAGCAGCACTCAACAACACAACAGTACAAGTTTCATGTTGAGTCGTGTGTATTTGTAGATGTGTGTGTGTGTGTGTGTGTGTGTGTGCGCTTCAGTTTAAATTGTGTTCATGTGGTGGTGCTTAAGGACATAAGTCTAAGGGCAGAAAATATATATGGCTGCTTTTCCTGTCTAGGGGAGAGGGATTCGGTCGGTGGAGGTTTCGCTAGGATAAACTTTATTAAGAAAGTGTACGTAGAGGGTGTATTACGTAACAGCTTTGACAGTCAGTACTCTTGAACTGCAAGGCCACAGGAGAGAGGGGAATGTAGCTGGGTTCTGACCACAAAGCACCAGTTTCTCCTGACACCAACCTAGCTATCCATCTATGAAATGATCTAATCTTCATATCTAGCTCTCCATCCATCACTTTTAACCGGAGGAGTTTGATCACAAAGCACGTAGCCAGTTTCTCCTGAGTCCTGACACTGAACCACCTATAATCCATCTAAATGAATCTCCCACGTTCTCTTCCTATCCAGGGTCGTATTCATTAGGCACCAAAACAGAAGAAAACGGACTGAAACAGGAAGGGACTACCCAAACTTGTCCAATAAGAAATTCTCGTTCTCCTTTTCCATTGCAAAACGTTTCGCAAAAAGTGTTCTGTATTGAATACCACCCAGTTCTCATTTCTATGCGGTATCTGTTTGTGTTGGTGTGTTTGCGCCACCACAGTGTTGCAATGGCAGACCTGTGTTTTGAGGCTGGGCCTGGATTCTTTGGCGCTGAGTGAGAGTGACGATGTTAATGAAACTGTCAGTCTGTCACAGCACAGAGGCAGCGCTCCAAGTCTTCCCCAACCCCACTGCATATCTTCCTATCACTGTCACCTCCGCAGCCTGGGGACTCCATAGAGATAGATGGAGGACTCATCATGGATATACCCAGTTTTAGCATGGACATTGCCACAGGACTTCCACCCTGCTTCTGCCATTTTTAAAGTAGTCAACTGGGTGGGGATTCCTATGGGTTGTAGCCTCAACTCATGCTGCCACAGACGCTATAATGGCACAGATCTAAAGATGAGTCCTCTATCTTTGTGTGACTCTGACTCTCTGGGGGAGGGGACTGTGAGGGAAGACTGTGGTTGTGTCCCAATAATCTCTGTTTCTTCCTGAAGTGTGCACTCGTTCACTACTCCTCACAAATGTAAAACCATTGGCTTGGTGAAGGCATAGGCTAGGAAGTTTCCACCATTTACTTTTACCAGTAATTTCATTTCCTTCTCATCTTATTTTTTGGGATTGAACACCCCACTGTGTTTGGCTCCTAACAGCGTGTTGTCCTCAGCCTGCTTTAAAACCCCTTTGAGGGGTGTGGTCACTTGAAACAATTCCCATGGAAAACCATCGATTTGAGTGATATTTCCACTACCCAATTCAAAATCCCAATTCAAAATCCCAATTCAACCCCTGGTTGTATGTCATAGTGTTTTTATAGACCAAATATGATGATTTGTACAGTTTCATTGGTTTGTTTAGTTGACTTCAAGGACACAGCATGTTATCAAAGGAGTGCTAGTGTGTGTGAACCAATGCTGCTGTGGATCTCCAGCTAACTGCACACTGAAAGAGCACTAATGAGGAAGACGTTGAGTAGCCCCTTTGAACAGGGTCGTATTCACTAGACCCCAAACGGAAGAAAACTGGGAGGGACTACCTGAACTTGTCCAATAAGAAATTCTCGTTTTTGGTTAGCAAAACCAGGTGCCCCATTCCCAGGGTCTCCCATCTTGTAAGGAGTGCATTAGAAGTTGTCCATACTAGTTTAGGTGGAATTAATAAAATATTTTGACCAACAGCAATATGACCTGTCATTCCTGAGTCTTCCAGTCTCTCCTTGAAAGTAGCACTCTGAGACTGCAATGAAAGCTCCTCATGCTATATGAGGCCCATTGTATACAATACTTTAGCCTGCAATAGATGACCTCACTATTGCCTCCCTCTCTCTCCCTGTCAGTAACTCCTGATTTAGAATCTCATTGGGAGGAAATGCTGTTTATTTTAGTGGCACACTGCAATGAGGGGCTGGCAGACAGAGAGACACTGACTACAGAGTGTCCCCAGAGAGACTAAATGTGCGGTCACCACTGCCTCTTATTGGGCGCACGGTTGCTTTTCTTTTTAATTGGCTGATCTGCTGTAGTGAGGAAAGGACTAGTTTGGCAGAAAGAAAGTAGAGAACCTGTTGACTTTTGTTCTTGAAATGCCCTCTAACCCTTTGGTTGGGTCTGTGTTTTGGGCCGGACATGAATCCGATACCTTGTCCTTTTTGAAGGGGAATATTTTTTCTAACACAGCTGCCCGTAATGAGTGGGAAATTGAGAATGTTTTCACCTGCTAACGTAGAGCTATAGTTGTCACACCTGTCCGTCCACTTTCCCCTATACACACACGTGCGTGCACACACACACACACACGTCTTCACATGTGTCCCTCTTTTCCAAGCCTTGAGGGGGGAATCCATGGCAGTCAATCACCATCAAAACGTTACTATAAACTTGAAGTTGGCCACTGATACATGTCATAGCAATGTCATGGAAAATAGTGGTCTTGTTGAAATGGCTCTTCCCACGTCTGTCATCGTAAACCCTTATTGATTTCACTTCAGTAGGTTCTCACAGTCTCAGTATGTTTCCATGATACATATTTCTACAGTAACACTTCCAATGAATACCTGCTTTGTAATGCATTATAAGCATTTATAACAAGCTATGCATTATAACGCATGATATATGCACTAATAGCAGTTCAATAATTCAATATACCCGAAGGTTATGCTTTAGAAGTGAGAGTGCGCAGGATACCCTGTTGTGCTTTGATACATATCTTGACTGTTTTAATCATTTTGCTTCCTTGCTAAATGGCCACTTTTGACCTCACTTGCGGCCATGGAAAACCCAGAAACTTCACAGTCAGCCTACAACCTTGAGAAAGCCCATGCCACTGTCACCTTTCAGTTCTGTAGTGAGTCACAATATGTTGTCACGTGTATGATCCCATAATGTCTGTGAAACCTAAAGGATCGATCTGTGCTCGCTCTCTTTCCCTCTCGGTATCCCTCCCTTTTTATTAACAAGACGAATGAGAGAATAGCGGAGGAGAGCCAGACAACTGATTCATAGTGGAAAAATGTTCAAAAGAGCAAAACTCTGAGTGGCTAACCGTGCTCTCCGTAGGAGCAGATTACACACGTATTTGTTTTTAGTTACACTGGCTTAAACGGAACCGGTGAAAAGGCCTATATTCTCCACTTTCCAACAGACATAAATCCCTCCCTATTCTTACTCTTATGCTGAGTTTAGATAGGTAGACTGCAAACCGGATGCCATTGTTTTCAATGAGAGACGTACGATAAATGTCGCTGAGGCTGGCGGTGAATGCCGTTAGCCGCCACGCGTAGACAGGACTTGCCGCCAGAGTTGAAATATTTCATATTTTGCGGTCTTCCGTAGTTGTTTTCTACCGGATGTTGATTTGCACTGTTTGTTTACTGAAATCACCATAGCAATGCGTGCTGGCTTGCTTTTGCCGTCAGTCTTTCTTGCTTTCTTGTGCGGCTATGCTGACTGGTATGACGTTTTTTGCGTCCCTCGTCTAAATGCAGCGTTAGTCTTACTCTTCTACTGAGATCATTTACCAGAGAAAAATGATCAAGAAGTGACCGTTTATAAAGAAGCCTTTTATTAATGTTTTAACTCTTCGACCCCCCCCCCCCCCCCCTCCAGTCCAATCTGAAAAGGCTAATAACATGAAATTCTATTATGTAATAATATAGCAGGATACTATGGCTAAAGACCACTTACAGTTGATTCCGTATAGCAACATAACCACTTACACTTCACTCACTGTAACTGTAATGGATGATATGTTAATCTGTTATACATTACAGACTTAAAGATGCTGAAAATGCAAATTAACCCATTCAGCTGCTTGGTCCATACGCCATTCATATGGCTTTTATATATCACAATTTAGACCTTTTAAGCAACCAAAGGGCAACGCTAAGGTCAGGCAAAGGGCAAGCTTTGTTTTATGGTTATGCAGCAGACCCACTCATTCCCCTTAGCCACACCCGGTTGTTCACTACTCTGTGTAGATGAGAGAGAGAGAGTGGGTGGGTGAGGGAAGTGGCGAGAGAACACAGCAGTAGGCCTAGCCGGATTCCCAGCTCCTTTGTTTTCTCTATAGGATTTGGAAAAGGTGACAGCATGCTGGTAGCGGAATGTACTGTAGGTAGCGCAGGGGTGTTGGTGTGTTCAACAAGGACGTGTGTGGTGGGAAGGGGCAGAGGGTGGGGAGGCAGGAAAACACTGTAAAAGCCCCATTTGAAGAACAATGAAGTAATGGAGAGAGAGGTGGTGTTGGGAGAACTCTGAGAGAAGGGGAAACCGAAGCGGGAGAAAAGGGGTTCCTCTCCCTGTCATAGAGAGAACTCCCTCCCTGTGTTAAGAAGAAAGTTGGCCCTGTTCCATTGTTTCATGAAATTGTTTCCCCATAGAAATAAAATCAATAGAACGGTCGTCCCACCCATCATTAACTTAGATGGGGTGTCCATTCTAGGAATTCAATTTCTATGGCTTTCCCCTGGCTGTTGGAGTCTGAAATTACTGTTGCGAGTCAGAATAGTAGAATAGACAAGGTGCAATTTCAACATTTTCATTGTGCATCAGAAGTTTTTCTCTAATGTTAGTTACTGATAGTCAATCAATTAGCCCATGTCAGCTAAAATGTTTTAGATTGCTAAATGAACTTGTTATCGTGGTCGAATTACCAGTCGGGTGCCCCCCATTGATTTTGTAAGTCAGTCTCATGGATGTGGGTATGCAGACCCGCAAGCAACTGCGCCCCCTCATGATGAGTTCAGATTTGTTGTGGCCCCCAACCCCTCAAAGTTACCCATCCCTTGATTAGATGGCCAGATAACAGGCTTCTCACTAACGAGCCCAACGAGCCCTGGGAGAAAGAGGGTTCCTAATTCTCTCCCTGTCAGAGAGAGAACTCCCTCCCTGTGTTAAAAAGAAAGAGAAGAATGTCCGTAGAATGGTCCACACATCGTGGCATCATTAGGGAAAGGGAAAGGCGGATACCTAGTCAGTTGTACAACTGAATGCATTCAACTGAAATGTGTCTTCCGCATTTAACCCAACCCCTCTGAATCAGAGAGGTGCGGGGGGCTGCCTCAATCGACATCCATGTCATAGGCGCCCGGGGAACAGTGGGTTAACTGCCTTGCTCAGGGGCAGAACGACAAATGTACGTACATACCCCAACCAGAAGCCATGGATTACAGGCAACATCCGCACTGAGCTAAAGGGTAGAGCTGCCACTTTCAAGGAGCGGGACTCTAACCCGGAAGCTTATAAGAAATCCCGCTATGCACTCCGACAAACCATCAAACAGGCAAAGCGTCAATACAGGACTAAGATCGAATCGTACTACACTGGCTCCGACGCTCGTCGGATGTGGCAGGGCTGGCAAACTATTACAGACTACAAAGGGAAGCACAGCTGCGAACTGCCCAGTGACACGAGCCTACCAGACGAGCTAAATTACTTCTATGCTTTCTTCGAGGCAAGCAACACTGAAACATGCATGAGAGCATCAGCTGTTCTGGACGACTGTGTGATCACGCTCTCCGTAGCCGGTGTGAGTAAGACCTTTAAACAGGTCAACATTCACAAGGCTGCAGGGCCAGACGGATTACCAGGACGTGTACTCCGAGCATGCGCTGACCAACTGGCAAGTGTCTTCACTGACATTTTCAACCTCTCCCTGTCTGAGTCTGTAATACCAACATGTTTCAAGCAGACCACCATAGTCCCTGTGCCCAAGAACACTAAGGTAACCTGCCTTAGTCCCCTGTAGCTCAGTTGGTAGATCATGGAGCTTGCAACGCCAGGGTTATGGGTTCGTTTCCCACCGGGGGCCTGTATGAAAATGTATGCACTCACTTAACTGTAAGTCACTCTGGATAAGAGTGTCTGCTAAATGACTAAAATGTAAATGTAAATGACTACCGACCCGTAGCACTCGCATCTGTAGCCATGAAGTGCTTTGAAAGGCTGGTCATGGCTCATATCAACACCATTATCCCAGAAACCCTAGACCCAGCCCCAACAGATCCACAGATGATGCAATCTCTATTGCGCTCCACACTGCCCTTTCACACCTGGACAAAAGGAACACCTATGTGAGAATGCTATTCATTGACTACAGCTCAGCATTCAACACCATAGTGCCCTCAAAGCTCATCACTAAGCTAAGGACCCTGGGACTAAACACCTCTCTCTGCAACTGGATCCTGGACTTCCTGATGGGCCGCCCCCAGGTGGTAAGGGTAGGTAAAAACACATCTGCCACGCTGATCCTCAACACGGGGGCCCCTCAGGGGTGCGTGCTCAGTCCCCTCCTGTACTCCTTGTTCACTCATGACTGCATGGCCAGGCACGACTCCAACACCATCATTAAGTTTGCCGATGACACAACAGTGGTAGGCCTGATCAGACAGCCTATAGGGAGGAGATCAGAGACCTGGCCGTGTGGTGCTAGGACAACAACCTCTCCCTCAACGTGATCAAGACAAAGGAGATGATTGTGGACTACAGGAAAAAGAAGAGAACCGAGCATGCCCCCATTCTAATCGACGAGGCTGTAGTGGAACAGGTTGAGAGCTTCAAGTTCCTTGGTGTCCACATCACCAACAAACTAACGTGGTCCAAGCACACCAAGACAGTCGTGAAGAGGGCACGACAAAACCTATTCCCCCTAAGGAGACTGAAAAGATTTGGCATGGGTCCTCAGATCCTCAAAAGGTTCTACAGCTGCACCATCAAGAGCATCCTAACTGGTTGCATCACTGCCTGATATGGCAACTGCTCGGCCACTGACCGCAAGGCACTACAGAGGGTAGTGCGCACGGCCCAGTACATCACTGGGGCCAAGCTTCCTGCCATCCAGGACCTCTATACCAGGCGGTGTCAGAGGAAGGCCCTCAAAATTGTCAAAGACTCCAGCAATCCTAGTCATAGACTGTTCTCTCTGCTACCGCACGGCAAGCGGTACCGGAGCGCCAAGTCTAGGTCCAAGAGACTTCTAAGCAGCTTCTACCCCCAAGCCATAAGTCTCCCGATCATCTAATCAAATGGCTACCCAGACTATTTGCATTGCCCCCCCCCCCCCTTTACGCTGCTGCTACTCTCTGTTTATTATCAATGCATAGTCACTTTAACAACTCTACCTACATGTACATATTACCTCAATTACCTCGACTAACCGGTGCCCCCACACATTGACTCGGTACCGGTACCCCCTGTATATAGCCTCGCTATTGTTATTTTTACTGCTGCTCTTAATTATCTGTTACTTTTATTTCGTATTATTTTATATTGTATTCTTTTGTGTTATTTATTTATTTTTGGTATTATTTCTTAACTGCATTGTTGGTTAAGGGCTTGTAAGTAAGCATTTCACTGTAAGGTCTACACCTGTTGTATTCAGCGCATGTGACCTGATTTGATTTGATTTTATTTGAAATGGTTACCTTGTCAGCTCAGGGATTCGATCCAGCAAACTTTCGGTTACTGGACCAACGCTCCTACCTGCCGCCCCATAATTATATTTCTATGGCTTTCCCCTGGCTGTTGGAGCGATTTAGATACCCAGATAACAGGCTTCTCACTAACGAGCCCAACGAAGCCTGGGAGAGAGACTTCTCTCAGCGCAGCACCGCCCCGAGACGGATCACTTTTTCCCCAGGAACTGCAGGTTCTTTGTTTTCCCCCCTGGCCATGTGAAATGAAGGCCACCAAGGCTCAGGGCCCATATTCCAAAAGCCTCTTATAGTCGAAGTGCTGATCTAGGATCAGGTCACCCCTCTCCATATCGTATTTCATTATGATCTGAAAAGGCAGAAAGTATTCTAGATGAGCCCTCCTACTCTGAGACTGTGAATACGGGCCTACGACTTGAAGGGGGGATGGTGGAGGAGAGAAAGGAGATGGAGGGGTGGTGGTGACCACAAACTACCTAAAGACCCTCAGAGGGATACAGTGTGAATGAAGTGAGAGTTAAAAAGGCCAGAGTGAAGGCTTGATTCATCACTCCGTAAAGGTTACAGATGTAATTGGAGCCAACCGAGAGCCATTTGCATTGCTCTCTACGTAGTTCTGTGTACATTTGTGCGGCTGAATTTTTGGAATGCAAAGGGACCTCCGTCGGCTCCTTTTGCATAGGCTGCTTACTTACAGCCCTTAACCAACAATGTTTTATTTTACTTTTTTATTTAAAAAATAAATGCAAAAAGTAAAATAAAACAACAAGAAAAAAGTGTTGAGAAAAAAAGAGCAGAAGTAAAATAAAATAACAGTAGGGAGGCTATATATATACACCGGCTAGTTGAGGTAATATGTACATATGGATAGAGTTAAAGTGACTATGCATAAATAATTAACAGAGTAGCAGCAGCGTAAAAAGATGGGATGGGGGTGGGGGGGGCAGTGCAAATAGTCCGGGTAGACATAATTAGCTGTTCAGGAGTCTTATGGCTTGGGGGTAGAAGCTGTTGAGAAGTCTTTTGGACCTAGACTTGGCACTCCGGTACCGCTTGCCGTGCGGTAGCAGAGAGAACAGTCTATGACTAGGGTGGCTTGAGTCTTTGACAATTTTGAGGGCCTTCCTCTGACACCGCCTGGTATAGAGGTCCTGGATGGCAGGAAGCTTTACCCCAGTGATGTACTGGGCCGTATGCACTACCCTCTGTAGTGCCTTGCGGTCGGAGGCCGAGCAGTTGCCATATCAGGCGGTGATGCAACCAGTCAGGATGCTCTCGATGGTGCAGCTGTAGAATTTTTTTGAGGATCTGAGGACCCATGCCAAATCTTTTCAGTCTCCTGAGGGGGAATAGGCTTTGTCGTGCCCTCTTCACGACTGTCTTGGTGTGTTTGGACCATGATAGTTTGTTGGTGATGTGGACACCAAGGAACTTGAAGCTCTCAACCTGTTCCACTACAGCCCCGTCGATGAGAATGGGGGCGTGCTCAGTCCTCTTTTTTTTCCTGTAGTCCACAATCATCTCCTTTGTCTTGGTCACGTTGAGGGAGAGGTTGTTATCCTGGCACCACACGGCCAGGTCTCTGACCTCCTCCCTATAGGCTGTCTCATCGTTGTCAGTGATCAGGCCTACCACTGTTGTGTCGTCGGCAAACTTAATGATGGTGTTGGAATCATGCCTGGCCATGCAGTCATGGGTGAACAGGGAGTACAGGAGCGGACTGAGCACGCACCCCTGAGGGGCCCCCGTGTTGAGGATCAGTGTGACAGATGTGTTGTTTCCTACCCTTACCACCTGGGGGCGGTCCGTCAGGAAGTCCAGGATCCAGTTGCAGAGGGAGGTGTTTAGTCCCAGGATCCTTAGCTTAGTGATGAGCTTTGAGGGCACTACGGTGTTGAATGCTGAGCTGTAGTCAATGAATAGCATTCTCACGTAGGTGTTCCTCTTGTCCAGGTGGGAAAGGGCAGTGTGGAGTGCAATAGAGATTGCATCATTCATCTGTGGATCTGTTGGGGCGGTATGAAAATTGGAGTGGGTCTAGGGTTTCATGACCAGCCTTTCAAAGCACTTCATGGCTACAGATGTCAGTGCTACAGGGTCGGTAGTCATTTAAGCAGGTTATCTTAGTGTCCTTGGGCATGGGGACTATGGTGGTCTGCTTGAAACATGTTGGTATTACAGACTCAGTCAGGGACATGTTGAAAATGTCAGTGAAGACACTTGCCAGTTGGTCAGCACATGCTCGGAGTACACGTCCTGGTAATCCGTCTGGCCCTGCGGCCTTGTGAATGTTGACCTGCTTAAAAGTCTTACTCACATTGGCTACGGAGAGTGTGATCACATAGTAATCCGGAACAGCTGGTGCTCTCATGCATGCTTCAGTGTTGCTTGCCTCGAAGCAAGCTTAAAAGTAGTTTAGCTCGTCTCGAAGTCTTGTCACTGGGCAGCTCGCGGCTGTGCTTCCCTTTGTAGTCCGTAATAGTTTTCAAGCCCTGCCACATCCGACGAGCGTCAGAGCCGGTGTAGTACGATTCAATCTTAGTCCTGTACTGACTCTTTGCCTGTTTGATGGTTCGTCGGAGGGCATAGCAGGATATCTTATAAGCGTCCGGGTTAGAGTCCCGCTCCTTGAAAGCGGCAGCTCTACCCTTTAGCTCAGTGCGGATGTTGCCTGTAATCCATGGTTTCTGGTTAAGGGTATGTACGTACGGTCACTGTGTGAACGACGTCATCGATGCACTTAATGATAAAGCCGGTGACTGATGTTGTGTACTCCTCAATGCTATCTGAAGAATCCCGGAACATGTTCCAGTCTGTGCTAGCAAAACAGTCCTGTAGCTTAGCATCTGCGTCATCTGACCACATTTTTATTAACCGAGTCACTGGTGCTTCCTGCTTTAGTTTTTGCTTATAAGCAGGAATCAGGAGGATAGAGTTATGGTCAGATTTGCCAAATGGAGGGCAAGGGAGAGCTTTGTATGCGTCTCTGCGTGTGGAGTAAAGGTGGTCTAGAGTTTTTTTATTTTTTTTCTCTGGTTTCACATTTAACATGCTGATAGAAATGAGGCAGAACGGATTTAAGTTTCCCTGCATTAAAGTCCCCGGCCACTAGCAGCGCTGCCTCTGGATGAGCGTTTTCCTGTTCACTTATGGCCTTATACTCTCTTGGTAAATAGTGTGGTCTACAGCTTATCATGAGATACTCTACCTCAGGCGAGCAAAACCTTGAGACTTCCTTAGTATTTGATTTTGTGCACCAGCTGTTGTCTTACCGGAGTCAGCCATTCTATCCTGCCGATGTAGCGTATAGCCCGCTAGCTGTATGTTGTCCATGTCGTCGTTCAGCCACGACTTGGTGAAACATAATATATTACCGTTTTTAATGTCCCGTTGGTAGGATAACCGTAATCTTAGGTCATCTAATTTATTCTCAAATGATTGAACATTGGCTAATAGGATTGATGGAAGAGGCAGTTTGCTCGCCGTCGGATCCTTACAAGGCACCCCGACCTACGTCCACGATATCTCCGTCTCTTTCTCATGCGAATGACGGGGATTTGGGCCTTGTCGGGTGTCTGTAGGATATCCTTCGCGTCCGACTTGTTAAAGAAAAAACTTCGTCCAATACGAGGTGAGTAATCGCTGTCCTGATATCCAGAAGCTCTTTTTGGTCATAAGAGACGGTGGCAGAAACATTATGTACAGAATAAATGACAAATAACGCGGAAAAACACACATAATAGTACAATCGGTTAGAGGGCTGTAAAACGGCAGCCATCCTCTCCGGCGCCACTATGTATAACTGTTGCGAAAAGCAGACAGACGGAGGCTGGATGGATGGAGAGAGAGTGGGAGGATGTAAAGAAGGAGGGATGGAGAAGAATGGGGAGGAAGGGGGAGTAGGGTGGGGTACTGTGAAGCAGGGAGTTGTTTTTGGAATGTTAGGGAGTACAGTGATGATGATGATGATGATGATGATGGATAAGGAATGGAATCACTTCCTGGCACCACACACACACATCCCTCCCCTCGTTCCTCTCCAGTCTCCTCTCCTCCTCAGCTACACTTGCACGTACTGTCCGTTTCATCCCTCCTCTCTCTCTGTTTTTCTCCTCTATGATACAAGCCGTATTGTCAACAGCTGCCTCACCTAGCCCTTAATTAGGAGGAGAAGCACCTCTCTCCCTCTCTCTATCCCCTGGGCCGGGGCTCTACTGTGTCAATAACACAACAACATATGCAGCTGCGCTGTAGAATGTGTGTGTGGTAATGAACATGGACAATAAACGTGCGTGCGTTCAGTGCGTATATGTGTGGACCCGTGTGTGCTGGCATAATCAACTGTGCGTTCCCTGCTATGTTGATGCATCCACAGCCTAGTGACAGATCTGTGTGGTACTGTATAGTGAGCCATGGATCTGGGTAACATTCGTGATCTGATGCGTAAAACTCAAGCCTCCATCGTAGAAAACCAGTTTCTGGGCAAACGCATTGACGAGCTGAAGGATGTAAGTGTTTGAATGAACTATTATTTTTAGATTGGGGATTTTAGCCTGGGTGGAGCCTGTAAGACTTTGGTCGAAGTGCAAACTTTTTGGGGGGTTGGGTTTTCCTCCACTTCTAGTTCTAGCTTGCACAAGATTACAAAGTGAGTTGTTTTCTAAGGAGTGCTCTTTGGTATGGAACACTGCAAAACTCCAGTTTCTACAATAACTTTCTGTCTGTGTATGTTATTGATTGTGAGGGAGAATGCTCTTGTGCTAACTATTCTTTGTTATAGTTTTTAATGGAAATTGTGTCATCGTGTGTCTTGAGGTACGTTGCTAGATTCCCGGGCTGTTATGAGCGCTTACTTGTCAGGCATAAATGAACACATTGAGAGATACTCACACGCAACGTTGATTCAACTTAACCAGGGTCTGCTTAGAATGTCTCTCTTGGTATTTTTGTGGTTCTCTCTCCTGCCTTATTTTTATACCGATATATACACGGTTCCTATTGCTGACCTCCCTCTCCTCCCTCTAGGCGGTGGGTAGTGACGGGGTGCGGATCACGATGGAGAGTGCCCTGACGGCCAGGGACCGGGTGGGGGTGCAGGACTTTGTCCTGCTGGAGAACTACACCAGCGAGGCGGCCTTCATCGAGAACCTCCGCAAGCGCTTCAAGGAGAACCTCATCTATGTAAGACGCCTACCCATTTACTCTCACCTCCATATTCATTAGATAGCAAAACGGGAAGGACTACCTGAACTTGTCCAATAAACAACGCTCGTTTTTGTATTCCGTTGCATAACATGTTGCTGTGTATGTAGATGCATCCCACCATTCCCCCACTGTGTTGTCACCTCAAAGACACCATGAACTCTCTCTTTCTCGCTCTCTCAGACATACATCGGCTCAGTCCTGGTGTCGGTGAACCCCTACAAGGATCTGGAGATCTACACCAAGAACCACATGGAGCGCTACCGAGGTGTCAACTTCTACGAGGTTTCTCCCCACATGTGAGTAACCTGACCCCGGGTATCACAACCCACCATCTCTCCCCCTTCACTTCTCCCATCCCAGTTGACTCAGTCATGAACTAACAGTTAAGTAACAGGGGGTTTTCTGAGTGTCTGCTCGGCATACATTAAATTGGGCCTTTTTGTTTGATGAGATGCTAGGCGAAGAGGGAATTCCTTGCTCTGACTCTCTCACCACGCCATGCGCTCAACATTCCCGGCTTCGCTGCTCCTCGACTCCTTGTTTTTTCCGTTCTACTCGACCATGTAGCCAAATGTTTTCTGTCTGAGGGGGAAAAGACAAATGTGTTTTGGAAGGGAGGGAATACGGAGGAGAGATAGAGAGATGAATTGGCGACGGGGTGAAGGTATGAGGGGTGGGGGGGGGTGGTGCTTGGGGGGATGGTGCTTGGTGGTACCAGAGGGGTGTTCCTCCTAGGAGGAGATTTCCCTGCCCCAGGCCTGACCCCCTTTATCCCTCTTTCGGGGATAGGGGTCCTTGTGGAGGGGTTGACGTTGGCGCTAACGTTATCTCAATTCTATGTTTCAGGGAAAGGGGATACCTAGTCAGTTGCACAACTGAATGCATTCAACTGAAATGTGTCTTCCGCATTTAACCCAACCTCTCTGAATCAGACGCCTGTCATGTGGCAAAACCGGCTGAATAAACATAGAGCCCCTCTGATATTACATGGCGAAAATGAGTCATCATAACAGGCTGAATAAACATATTACATGGCGAAAATGAGTCATCATAACAGGCTGAATAAACATATTACATGGTGAAAATGAATCATCATAACAGGCTGAATAAACATATTACATGGAGAAAATGAATCATCATAACAGGCTGAATAAACATATTACATGGTGAAAATGAGCCATCATAACAGGCTGAATAAACATATTACATGGAGAAAATGAATCATCATAACAGGCTGAATAAACATATTACATGGTGAAAATGAGCCATCATAACAGGCTGAATAAACATATTACATGGTGAAAATGAATCATCATAACAGGCTGAATAAACATATTACATGGTGAAAATGAGCCATCATAACAGGCTGAATAAACATATTACATGGTGAAAATGAGCCATCATAACAGGCTGAATAAACATATTACATGGTGAAAATGAGTCATCATAACAGGCTGAATAAACATATTACATGGTGAAAATGAGTCATCGAAGCAGGATCATCATATCTCACTTACTGTATGGTATAAAATGGGATGTTATTTAAAAGGGTAGAATCAGAATCAACTTTATTCACCAAGTACATTTGCATGGACCAGGAATTTGACCTGGTGAAATGGTGCGGACAATAAAAACAATATACAGACAAAATATAGACGAAATAATTTAAATGTAATCTAATCCAAACTTTGTATCAGCACAAATTTGCATTGGAAATTGTTGAAAGTAGTCCTTATGCATAGAGTTTTTGTGGAATTGTCCATATACAAGATGGATACAGTAAAAACAGAACAACTACACATAATAAGAAAGTATATAATAAACAAATGAGCAGTAGAGGATATACAATATGAAGTGTGGAAATATCCCATCCGCTCCGCTGTGTCCCATCCGCTCCGCTGTATCCCATCCGCTCCGCTGTATCCCATCCACTCCGCTGTATCCCATCCACTCCGCTGTATCCCATCCCTGTGTCCCATCCGCTCCGCTGTGTCCCATCCACTCCGCTGTATCCCATCCACTCCGCTGTATCCCATCCACTCCGCTGTATCCCATCCACTCCGCTGTGTCCCATCCACTCCGCTGTATCCCATCCACTCCGCTGTATCCCATCCACTCCACTGTGTCCCATCCACTCCACTGTGTCCCATCCACTCCGCTGTATCCCATCCACTCCGCTGTATCCCATCCACTCCGCTGTGTCCCATCCACTCCGCTGTGTCCCATCCACTCCGCTGTGTCCCATCCACTCCGCTGTATCCCATCCACTCCGCTGTATCCCATCCACTCCGCTGTATCCCATCCACTCCGCTGTATCCCATCCACTCCGCTGTATCCCATCCACTTCAAATTGAAGGTCATCAAATCAAAACTGTATTTGTCACATGCGCCACATACAACAGGTGTAGACCTTACAGTGAAATGCTTACTTACAAGCCCTTAACTTTCTTTTTTCCAGCTACGCGGTGTCTGACAACTCCTACCGGTCCATGCGGACGGAGCGTAAGGACCAGTGCATCCTCATCTCGGGGGAGAGTGGTGCCGGCAAGACGGAGGCGTCAAAGAAGATCCTGCAGTACTACGCCGTGACCTGTCCCGCCAGCGACCAGGTCGAGACGGTCAAGGATCGCCTGCTGCAGTCCAACCCTGTCCTAGAGGTGAACACTATGGGGGGTGGGGGTGGAAATCCATGTCATCTGTCGCATGTTCCTGGCTTGGTCCAGTCTAAAACGAGACATCATATTTGTGTGTGTGTATGCGGGCTCTCCTAGTGTGTACTGTATTGAGCTGTGATGTGTTTTGGCTGTGCTGGATGGGCTGTAGACTAGTTGGATTCCAGACAGATGGGGATCACAGCAGAGCAGATCAGTACAGACAGACTGCCCTGTAATCTAGCCCCGTGTCACAGCCACAGCCCAACACACCATCTAACTGTCTGACACCACTTTAACACATCTGTCTACCTCTCCCCCTCTCCCCCTCTCCGTCCTCTCTCCTGTCTCCTACTCTTTTCTCTCTTCTTGCTTTGTGGACCTCCCCTCTTTCATCCTCTCCCCCTCTGTCTCCCACCCCTTGTGTCTCCCACCCCTTGTGTCTCCCACCCCTTGTGTCTCCCTCCCCTTGTGTCTCCCTCCCCTTGTGTCTCCCTCCCCTTGTGTCTCCCTCCCCTTGTGTCTCCCTCCCCTTGTGTCTCCCTCCCCTTGTGTCTCCCACCCCTTGTGTCTCCCTCCCCTTGTGTCTCCCACCCCTTGTGTCTCCCTCCCCTTGTGTCTCCCTCCCCTTGTGTCTCCCTCCCCTTGTGTCTCCCTCCCCTTGTGTCTCCCTCCCCTTGTGTCTCCCTCCCCTTGTGTCTCCCTCCCCTTGTGTCTCCCTCCCCTTGTGTCTCCCTCCCCTTGTGTCTCCCTCCCCTTGTGTCTCCCTCTCCTTGTGTCTCCCTCTCCTTGTGTCTCCCTCCCCTTGTGTCTCCCACCCCTTGTGTCTCCCTCCCCTTGTGTCTCCCTCCCCTTGTGTCTCCCACCCCTTGTGTCTCCCTCCCCTTGTGTCTCCCACCCCTTGTGTCTCCCACCCCTTGTGTCTCCCTCCCCTTGTGTCTCCCTCCCCTTGTGTCTCCCTCCCCTTGTGTCTCCCTCCCCTTGTGTCTCCCTCCCCTTGTGTCTCCCTCCCCTTGTGTCTCCCTCCCCTTGTGTCTCCCTCTCTTTGTCCCTATGTGTGTGACCCCCAGGCTTTTGGAAATGCCAAAACTTTGCGAAACGATAACTCCAGCCGCTTCGGCAAATACATGGACATCCAGTTTGACTTCAAGGTGAGTGGTCACACACACACTCTAACAGAGTATGTTCCTTTAAGGGGGATACCAGTACATAAACACTGCCAGTCCTTCCATATTAACTTGTACAATATGTTTGTTTTTCCACTCTGACGTTACTGTATTCTCCATGGGGCGCGTTCGTTTCGTGGGGCGTATACACCTGCATGTGGTTTTGTGTCCTTGTGTGGCCCTGTGTCTGTCTCAGTATCCCTGCATCACCACCCTCTCCCCCTTTCCTCGGTTCCCTCTATCCCGGCGGCAGGGTGCTCCAGTGGGGGGCCACATCCTCAACTACCTGCTGGAGAAGTCGCGGGTGGTGCACCAGAACCATGGAGAGAGGAACTTCCACATCTTCTACCAGCTGATTGAGGGGGGTGAGGAGGACCTGCTGCGGCGCCTGGGCCTGGAGAAGAACCCCCAGCAGTACCAGTACCTCGTCAAGGTGGGACACACCAGAATTTCACTATATGGTTGGGTCTCGAATGGGACACTGTTCCCTAGTGCTCAACTTTGGACCAGAGCCTGTGTCTAGCTGTTTGGGTCTCAAGTATGGTTATCTACCCCCCCACCTTGTCACAACACAACTGATTGGCTCAAATGCATTAAGAAGGGAAGCAATTCCACAAATTAACTTTTAACAAGGCACACCTGTTAATTGAAATGCATTCCAGGTGACTACCTCATGAAGCTGGATGAGAGAAGGCTAAGAGTGTGCAAAGCTGTCATCAAGACAAAGGGTGGCTATTTGAAGAATCTCAATTATAAAATATATTTTGATTAGTTTAACACTTTTTTGGTTACTACATGATTCCATATGTGTTATTTCATAGTTTTGATGTCTTCACTATTATTCTACAATGTAGAAAATAGTAAAAATAAAGAAAAACCCTTGAATGAGTAGGTGTGTCCAAACTTTTGACTGGTACTGTATATGTATGGCCTGTTGAGATAAACATGAACCTGCCTATTTTTCAAAAACGTCTGAAATCTCTTCATAGAGCAGCTTGGTAGAGGTTTTGTTTAACTAACACCTTACTTTTGTAATTGTCTTACTAACACAAGCATTTGTTGTCTCTTACTAGCGCTGATTTAGCTGTTGGCTTCTTTGTTGAGGATTTTTTTTACTTGCAATGTAGAATGATGGTGTTTTGTCTCTAACAGTGTTTTGTCTGCGTTGGTCTCTCAGGGGAACTGTCCCAAGGTGAGCTCCATCAACGACCGCAGCGACTGGAAGGTGGTGAGGAAAGCTCTGTCAGTCATCGGCTTCAACGAGGACGAGGTGGAGGTAAGGACCTGTTATTACAACACAGAGACACACGGACATGATGTCAGCCACTGAGGTAGTGTGTTGTTGATTACCCTAAATACTACCACTGAATACTTATTCCATTTGACTGTCTGACCAATCATGTCGGTGCTTTGGGTGCCACCCTCTGTTTTGTTATTGTAGTTGTACAGTAGCATTCTGTATGCCCTTTTGTTCTGCAGTCTTGTGTATATAGTCAGGTTGTGTGAGACTGTCTATATTGACTAATAATGTGATCTTATCTTATATGTGAGTGTGTTGGGATAGGGGGTGAAGAGCGGGTGTGTTTGTGTGTGATGAGAGCGCTAATTTATGTGGGTGTCTCTTGCGTTTCATGACTGTAGCCTGGGCTTGGGGCAAGAGCTCAGTATGTCTCAGTTCAGAGAGGGAAGGGGGAGAGAGCAGGTGGTTTTCTATAGTATGCAGTACTCACACACACACAAAAGAGGCCAACTTCACTATATGTTGTCTATGCCTGCATGTGGGGGGACGATGGTTGGCCCCCTTTTAGTTTAATTATATTTTATAACTCTCTTCAAGTCCAAGATAGCCTAATCTAATACTTGCAGTCATCAAGATAGCTTTCTCTTTAGCACATCACAATAAAATGTGTATAATCTTATCATGTCTAATCTTCACATGGCTTCTCTCTCTCTTTTTCCCTCTCTCTCTCTCTCTCTGTCTCTCTCTCTCTCTCTCGCTCTCTCTCTCTCTCTCTCTCTTTCTCTCTCTCTCTCTCCATCTCTCTCCTCTATCTCTCTCTCTCTCTCTCTCTGTCTTTCTCTCTCCCCCATCTCTCTCTCTCTCGCCGTCTCTCTCTCTCCCTCTCTCTGTGTAGGAGCTGTTAAACATTATTGCCAGTGTTCTTCACTTGGGGAACATTCAGTATGGAGGAGAGGACAGCGGCAATGCCTACATCACTACAGACACACAGATCAAATACCTGGCGAGGGTATGACCTCTCCCCCTTACTACAGTGTCCCCATGGGGACACTACTCATACTATATTATACTCAGTCAATCATGTACCCTGTCAATACTCAATCATAACACATTACTCTCTTCATAGCTCGATAATGTCACCATTCAGTGGCTCAATAGGATAAATAACACTGATACTGGTGTTGAATGAATTTGGATGTCTGTTAATGTTTTGTTGTTGTTGCAGTTACTAGGTGTGGATGGTTTGGTCCTGAAAGAAGCTCTAACACACAAAAAGATCATCGCCAAAGGGGAAGAGGTAGGCAGGAACCTTCTCTAAATGAATGCTCTTTATAATGCACTCTGTGAGAACGGTTCCCACATTCTATATTCAACATATAATGGCTCCTCAGTACCTCGGCAAGTGAGGAATTGTAGAATAACTATTTCCATTCTTCTCTCTGTGTCTGTCTGTGTGTCCATGTCTGATCTGTCTGTGTCCGTCCTCCAGCTGAAGAGCCCTCTGAACCTGGAGCAGGCAGCGTCGGCGCGGGACGCTTTGTCTAAGGCCGTGTACGGCCGCACCTTCACCTGGCTCGTCAACAAGATCAACGTCTCCCTGGCTTACAAGGTAACACACACACACACACACACACACATTAACTAATGCCCCGTTAACTCCCCTCTTACCGCTGATCCCCTACATTCGCTGATATCCCTTTATCTATCCCAGTCTTCTGCCACTTCTGTCTCAGCCTGCACTTTTGACCTCTTAGCTGGCCATTTATAGTCAGTGGTAGTAGTACTCCCCCTTGTGGATGTGTTGTAATACTACATGTCAGACAGAGCAGTGCTGCTCATTCTGCAGCACTGCATTTCTGTATAGACTATTGTCTGATAGGGATTAGGTTAGTGTATATTTCAGCTGTGAGATACGCTCTAGTCGTAATGGCTCTAGTCCATGTCTGTGGTGAGGTCATCATTAGGCAGTGCTTATCATGCTTTATTAGGTATAAATGTTACCAAATAATGAACTACTCATTTATTCTTAGTCTGTTGGCTTACACTATTTATAAACAGTTTATGAATGCTCCTTCATGAAAGCTATTATAAAGAGTTAACTGTTTTCTTCTTCTAGGATGATACCTATAAGAATGCTTCAGTTATTGGTCTCCTGGATATCTATGGTTTTGAAGTCTTCCAGCACAACAGGTACCAGAGGAATATACAGTGGGGAAAAAAGTATTTAGTCATCCACCAATTGTGCAACTTCTCCCACTTAAAAAGATGAGAGAGGCCTGTCATTTTCATCATAGGTACACGTCAACTATGACAGACAAATTGAGAATTTTTTTCTCCAGAAAATCACATTTTAGGATTTTTAATGAATTTATTTGCAAATTATGGTGGAAAATAAGTATTTGGTCACCTACAAACAAGCAAGATTTCTGGCTCTCACAGACCTGTAACTTCTTCTTTAAGAGGCTCCTCTGTCCTCCACTCGTTACCTGTATCAATGGCACCTGTTTGAACTTGTTATCAGTATAAAAGACACCTGTCCACAACCTCAAACAGTCACACTCCAAACTCCACTATGGCCAAGACCAAAGAGCTGTCAAAGGACACCAGAAACAAAATTGTAGACCTGCACCAGGCTGGGAAGACTGAATCTGCAATAGGTAAGCAGCTTGGTTTGAAGAAATCAACTGTGGGAGCAATTATTAGGAAATGGAAGACATACAAGACCACTGATAATCTCCCTCGATCTGGGGCTCCACGCAAGATCTCACCCCGTGGGGTCAAAATGATCACAAGAACGGTGAGCAAAAATCCCAGAACCACACGGGGGGACCTAGTGAATGACCTGCAGAGAGCTGGGACCAAAGTAACACACTACGCTGCCAGGGACTCAAATCCTGCAGTGAAAGACGTGTCCCCCTGCTTAAGCCAGTACATGTCCAGGCCCGTCTGAAGTTTGCTAGAGTGCATTTGGATGATCCAGAAGAGGATTGGGAGAATGTCATATGGTCAGATGAAGCCAAAATATAACTTTTTGGTAAAAACTCAACTCGTCGTGTTTGGAGGACAAATCATGCTGAGTTGCATCCAAAGAACACCATACCTACTGTGAAGCATGGGGGTGGAAACATCATGCTTTGGGGCTGTTTTTCTGCAAAGGGACCAGGACAACTGATCCGTGTAAAGGAAAGAATGAATGGGGCCATGTATCGTGAGATTTTGAGTGAAAACCTCCTTCCATCAGCAAGGGCATTGAAGATGAAACGTGGCTGGGTCTTTCAGCATGACAATGATCCCAAACACACCGCCCGGGCAACGAAGGAGTGGCTTCGTAAGAAGCATTTCAAGGTCCTGGAGTGGCCTAGCCAGTCTCCAGATCTCAACCCCATAGAAAATCTTTGGAGGGAGTTGAAAGTCTGTGTTGCCTAGCGACAACCCCAAAACATCACTGCTCTAGAGGTGATCTGCATGGAGGAATGGGCCAAAATAGCAGCAACAGTGTGTGAAAACCTTGTGAAGACTTACAGAAAACGTTTGACCTGTATCATTGCCAACAAAGGGTATATAACAAAGTATTGAGAAACTTTTGTTATTGACCAAATACTTATTTTCCACCATAATTTTCTAATAAATTAATGAAAAATCCTACAACGTGATTTCCTGGATATTTTTTTCTCAATTTGTCTGTCATAGTTGACGTGTACCTATGATGAAAATTACAGGCCTCTCTCATCTTTTTAAGTGGGAGAACTTGCACAATTGGTGGCTGACTAAATAATTTTTTTCCCCACTGTAGAACTCATTTCCCCATAATCCTTTGTTGTTGACAGCGTTGACCATTTACTGTCATTACGATTCAGTGTATATTAATGTCAAGTTTGCGTTGAATATCATTGCCACGTGAAAAGATCATCTGTAATCATTGGTGTGTGTGTGTTTCAGTTTTGAGCAGTTCTGCATTAACTACTGTAACGAGAAGCTGCAGCAGCTCTTCATCGAGCTCACCCTCAAGTCTGAGCAGGATGAGTACGAAGCAGAGGGAATCACGGTGAGACTCTCTCTTTGTTTTATCGCTCTATCTTCTCCTCCTTCATCCTCTCTTCTCTCTGCCTCCCCTCTCAGCCCTCCGCCTCTACTGCTCTCCTCCATCTCTCTCTGTTCCAACTTCTCCATCTTTTCATTCTCCTTCTCTCTCCTCTTCCACCTCTACCTCTCTTCTCTGTCTCGTCCTGTCCTTCTCGCCATCGGCTCTGTATGACTGTCTACACTATGATTCAGGGCCCATATTGGCAAGGAATCTCAGAAGAGGAGTGCTGCTGATCTAGGATCGGTTTAGGCTTTTAGATCATAATGACTGAGATTATATGAAAAGGGGGGGAACCTGATCATACATCAGCACTCTTACTCTGAGACGCTTTGTGAATACGAGCCCATGAGGGAGCTGAGTGCAGAGGGCCGTGGGAGAGAGATTCATGTCCAGTTAGTCACCCGTCAAAGGGGACATTATTGTACAACATGTGTAACGTGGGCTGTGTTCTGTGGTGTTTGTGATAACAATGTGGTGGTAAACCCATTAATAATGTGGCGGTAAACTGTGTGTGTGTGTGTGTGTGTGTGTGTGGGATCATGTGTGTGCGACAGCAAACGGCCATGAAGGTTTGAGTATGACCGTATGCATAGTGTGGGTTCAGAATGGCCTTCTTGTCCCGGATTCTCAGCATTCTGTAAATGTTTTGTTTTACAACCGTTAAAATGTAGAACAGTTGTTCCGTTTTCTAAACAAGCGATTTAAAGATGCAGTTATGTTCCTTGCTGTCTCGCAGTGGGAGCCTGTGCAGTATTTCAACAACAAGATCATCTGTGATCTGGTGGAGGAGAAGTTCAAAGGCATCATCTCCATTCTGGTGAGAATCCGTTTCAAGCTTTAATGTAACCCTGAGCTTTTCAAGTTGACCTTTCACCTTTCTCTCTCCTCTTGGCCCCTCTGCATCTGGTATATCCTACTGTCACAGTCAACTGTCGATCTAATGTATTAATCTCTCTCTCTTTCATTCTTTCTCTCTGTCAGGATGAGGAGTGCCTGAGGCCAGGTGACGCTAGTGACATCACCTTCCTGGAGAAGTTGGAGAATACTGTGGGAGGCCACGCCCACTTGACAACGTGTGTCTATGCACATACAAACACACACACACACACCTCCCTCTGCTAACAGAGCAATAGGAGTTGTCGTGAGAGCTGGCTGTCAGCCCAGTGAACACGGTTGACTTTGTCAGGACACAGAAGCACATAGACTACATGAATCAACAAAGTTGTAATGCTTTGTCTGCAGTAGTGCATAACTATTAAAAACAAATATCTATTGGGAACAAAATGCATAATAATAATAATAATAATAATAATAATAATATAATATGCCATTTAGCAGACGCTTTTATCCAAAGCGACTTAGTTATGTGTGCATACATTTTTACGCATGGGTGGTCCCGGGGATCGAACCCACTACCCTGGCGTTACAACCGCCATGCTCTACCAATTGAGCTACAGAGGAGTTAAAGGAAAACTCCACCCAAAAACTATCTTTTGGTATTTGTTTCATAGTCCCAAAATGTTTTGCTTGTCAGCAATCAAGTTTTGAAGATGTGTAACTTTCAAATTACAGAAAGAAAATACAAAATGCATCATACAGGGATGATTTCTCTATTTTGAATGTTACATATCTTGAAAACTTGATTCCTGACAAGCAAAACATTTTGGGACTATGTCAACAATGGACTAATAGTTTTGTGGGTGGAGTTTTCCTTTTAAGCTGTACACAACAGAAAATATGTAAACATATGTAGTGTTCATTAGGTACCAAATGGAAGAACGTGTTTAATAAGAAATGCTTGTTTTCGTTTTCCATTGCAAAATGTTTTGCTACGGTGTACCCTAATGAATAGTAACTTATTGTTTGTGTGTTCCTCGTAGTCACAAGCTGGCCGATGGAAAGACCCGGAAGGTGATGGGCCGAGAGGAGTTCAGACTGCTACACTACGCTGGAGATGTCAACTACAACGTTAACGGTGTGTGTGTGTGTGTGTGTGTGTGTGTGTGTGTGTAACAGCATGGTCAATTGTTAGGGGGAAGCGAGAGTGAGATAACCAGAGGGAGAGAAAGGATGTTCTGTGCTTCGGTCATTAAGTTTGTCCTTAGATGTTCCTGTACTTCTTGTAGTTGTCTGTTTTACTGTGTGTGTAATAATTTTTTGCCCCAACCATATTTGGAGTGCATGTGCTCTAACACTCTCTCTTCCCCCTCCAGGCTTTCTGGACAAGAACAATGATCTCCTCTTCAGGAACTTAAAAGAGGTGTGTGTGTGTGTGTGTGTGAGAGAGAGAGTGTTCAGGACAAAGGGGAAATGATTTAGATAGGAGATGGATGATATGATAGGAAAATAGATTAGACTCTCAAAGTGTATGTAGTGTCACTGTGGTAGACTGTCTTTGTCTCTCTCTGTGTGTATGTGAAGAGCAGTGTGGTAGTTCTAGTTATAGTGAGTTGTACTCATTCTGTGTGTGTTGTCCATCCATAGGTCATGTGTATGTCTGAGAATAAGATTCTGACCCAGTGCTTTGACCGGGCGGAGCTGAAGGACAGCAAGAGACCTGAGACGGTGAGAACAGCCAGTAGTACCATTCAGAGGGCAAAGGTCATAGATACACCCAATGGGCATGCACCAATACATACATGCAATGTACCCCAAAGCATACACTGATACACAATCACAGACCCATGTCCTGTCTCATACACACTTACAAACAACCACTTGTTTATGTTCTGTGGATCTTCCTCCATCCACACTGAAGCCGTGGGGTAGAGTGAGTGACAGGGGAATCTCTGCTCCCCGCTCACACACTCAGGAATGCCCTGACACTTGGCCCATTGGTCGAGGGTGCGTGGGTCGCTGGTGTCGAGTCCGTTGACTGTTTGTTTGCATTGTTGACGAGACGCATTCTCTCTCTCCGTCCCTGCCCCCAACTCTGTCACTGCCTGGGCGGTGTGACCTGCACACTGGGACCTGTGTCCTGTCCAGCCTCAGTCCTCAGTCGGGCCAGCAGCTGTCCTCTATGCTTCTCTCCTCTCTCCTCCTCTACATCTCTCGCTCGGTGCTCACTCTTTCTTCTTCCTTTCTGTCTCTGCCTCCAGGCAGCGACCCAGTTCAAGACCAGCCTGGCGAAGTTAATGGAGATCCTGATGTCCAAGGAGCCGTCGTACGTGCGCTGCATCAAGCCCAACGATGCCAAGCAAGCAGGTAGGAAGGAACCGATGCCTTGTTCGTGCTGTCAACAGGGTCGTATTCATTGGGGCACACCGGAGCAAAATGTTTCCAAACATTGTTCAACGGAAAACAAAATGTACTTTTTTGATTGGTCGTGGTAGTCCCGCCCTGTTTCAGTACCTTTGCTTCCATTTGGTGCCTAATGAATACAGTGTTTCCCCTATATGCATTTAGCAGTGGCGCACCGCTGCTGCTAAATCGTGGCTGCCACTGCAGAAATATATATTTATTTATTTTTCGGGATGGTAAACTTAAACAACTAAAACCAGATATAAAGTATGTCGAAAATATAATGGAGCAATATCTTTTTAAATAAGATAATCTCTGAGAACTAACAATCACCAAAATAAAAACTAGACAGTCAGGGAGAATCAATATATTATTTAAATGGCATGGCGTGGGGCCCCCATTGATTTTGTTATGGTTAAGTAATTCAGATAGCATAAGAACTGTCTTGTATCTACGGTTCTTAAATCTGACCTTGCGTTTTGATTGTTTTCAGTAACATCAATGGTAGCACTGTACTTCACACTGCGGTTCTTAGTATATCGAGCTGCCCTTTGTCAATAGAGGGCCTTTTGTCTTTCCTACTGTTGCTCTTTCTCTTCTCACTCCTAGTCTCCTTATTGTCCATTGTCTGCTTTTCTGGGACTAAGTCGGATCAATAGTGTTTTAATTGCATAAGCATCACGCGTTACTGCTCCAGTATGCTAACAACTGTAACAACAAACCATTCAACAGAAACAAAAATTGAAAATGTAAATAACAATGTATTGCAATCTGATCAGTTAGGTACTACTGTAACTCAGGCTAATGTGGTTTCTCTCTCTCTCCCACCTCTCTCTCAGGACGGTTCGACGAGGTTCTCATCAGGCATCAGGTGAAGTACCTGGGTCTGATGGAGAACCTCCGTGTGAGGAGAGCTGGCTTTGCCTACCGCCGCCACTATGAGACCTTCCTCCAGAGGTGACTATGGCTCTGAGCTAGACCTGCCTGGCTCTGAGCTAGACCTGCCTGGCTCAGAACTAGTCCTGCCTGGCTAAGAGCTAGACCTGCCTGGCTCTGAGCTAGACCTGCCTGGCTCAGAACTAGTCCTGCCTGGCTCAGAGCTAGACCTGCCTGGCTCTGAGCTAGACCTGCCTGGCTCAGAACTAGTCCTGCCTGGCTAAGAGCTAGACCTGCCTGGCACAGAGCTAGACCTGCCTGGCTCAGAGCTAGACCTGCCTGGCTCTGAACTAGACCTGCCTCCATCAGGCTTAAATGTAGTTCACTGGCATTATAGGTTTATTCAATGGCAGATTCATGAATTCTGTTAGCAAATTAATACACTTGCAAGTGATTGACTAATCTCCACAACTATTCAAAGTTAGTGATATAACCTAAATTGAATATTTTGCATATAATATACCAGTGTGTGTGTATATTGTTTTGTCCGTCCCTGGCAGGTATAAGTCCCTGTGCCCGGAGACCTGGCCTAGCTGGCAGGGCAAGCTGGCTGATGGAGTCTCCACACTGGTCAAACACCTCGGCTACAAACCTGAGGAGTACAAACTGGGCAGGTGAGAGCATTATCCAGTGAAAACAGTCATGGCGGTACACACACACACACACACACACACACGTGCTAATTCTAGTGACATACATGTATCTCCCATTTGTTTATCTACATCCTATCTCCCTAACGAGTTCAGTGCCCACTTACTGTTGAGCTAATCCCATAACTCTGTCTTCTCTCTGGGAAAGGCCAAAGTCAATTATCTCGTCAGGGCTGAACACGCCCCTGTGTGTTGTATAAAGGCACACTGCCAGCTTAGTGGAACTCTGTTTGCTTTCCAGATCCAAAATCTTCATCCGTTTTCCAAAGACCCTGTTCGCCACAGAGGACGCACTAGAAACGAGGAAACACAGCCTTGGTGAGAGAGAGAGAGTCATGTATCACACGGTCTAAGTTGACGCCCATCACCTTCTGTTTGTCTGGACTGTAATCTCTCATCTAAGATACAGTAAGTAGAATATCTGAACCCTCTGAACATCTTTGTCTCTCTCTCTTCAGCCAGCAAACTGCAGTCATCCTGGAAGGGCTACCGCCAGAAGACCAAATACCGCAAACTCAGATCATCAGGTAGGAGGGCTACTCTTAACTTCTACGTCTATAGGCCTATGTGTCAGCAAGCATTGACATAGCTCCTCTATACTCACTGTGCATGTCTATTTGATTACTCTTGTCTTGTTCAGTTGGATGTTGTATTAAGTGTCTCAGAGTAGGAGTGCTGACTTCGGATCAGTTTTTATCACAATGAATAAGATTGCATGGACTGAAGGGACCTGATCCTAGATCAGCACTGCTACTCTGAGACGCTTGATACATATGAGCCCAGGTCTTGATTCTCTCGTCACTGGATCTCAATGAACTTGGTTAAATAATAAGTACATTCATTAATTGTGTGTCCCTCTCCAGCGGTGGTGGTCCAGGCGTGGTGGAGGGGCATCCTGGCCTGTAGGAGGGCACAGCGCAGGAGGCAGGCCGCCAACACCATACGCAGGTGGGGCTCTACTGGGCACAAGTTTTATTTAACTAGGATGGTGAAAAGGTTCATTCATATTTATTAGCTTGCCCTATTGTGACACTGCTCTTGGCTCAATGGGCTCCCTTGGGTGAGTTCTACTCATATGGCGAAACATGGAAAGCATTTACCCAGACAAAATCCACACATGTTTTGGACCACTATGATATTTGCTGTTGTGTGTATGTATAGAAGTTCTTATCAATTTGTTGATGAATGTGTGCAGGAATGTTTACAATGCTCTCTGTCTGTCTGTCTCGCTCTCTGTCTGTCTGTCTCGCTCTCGGTCTGTCTGTCTGTCTCGCTCTCTCGCTGTCTCGCTGTCTGTCTGTCTCGCTCTCTGTCTGTCTCGCTCTCTGTCTGTCTCGCTCTCTGTCTGTCTCGCTCTCTGTCTGTTTCGCTCTCTGTCTGTTTCGCTCTCTGTCTGTCTCGCTCTCTGTCTGTCTCGCTCTCTGTCTGTCTGTCTGTCTCGCTCTCTGTCTGTCTCTCAGGTTCATCAAGGGCTTCATCTACCGCCATAATGAGCGTTGTCCTGAGAATGAGTATTTCCTGGACTATGTGCGATACTCCTTCCTGATGAAGCTGCGCAGGAACCTCCCCAAGTCAGTCCTGGACAAGAGCTGGCCCACGCCCCCGACTGCCCTCATCGAGGTAAAACTACTTTACACAAGACACGGAACTAGTCAGTAAACATGTCTAATGTGTATTCATGTGATATTTGAGTGACTCAAATATTACAACAAAATCTATGGGCTAAAAACCTAGCAAAAAACATTAGCTGACATGGGCTAGTTGATCTGGACATTTCTTATAAGTTATAAATAGCTCTCTAATGTATGCACTGACTGACATGACGAGGAAAACTGATGATGCACTACTCAATTTCGAAATTGCACCTTGTGCATTCTACTATTACAAGTTGAAAGCCGGACTGACTTCCTGTAAAAAAATAAATAGAAGTGTGTGTATATATATATATATATATATATATATATATATATATATATATATATATATATATATATATATATATATATATATATATATATGTATATATATATATATATATGTATATATATATGTATATGTGTGTGTGTGTGTGTATATATACACATATATGTATGTGTGTGTGTGTATATATGTATGTGTGTATGTGTATGTGTATGTGTGTGTGTGTGTGTGTATTGTATGGTGTAGCGTTAAGATTTCCCTTCACTGGAATTAACGGACCTAGCCCATGAAAAACAGCCCCAGACCATTATTCCTCCTCCACCAAACTTTACAGTTGGCACGATGCATTGGGGCAGGAAGCGTTCTCCTGGCATCCGCCAAACCCAGATTTGTCCGTTGGACTGCCAGATGGTGAAGCGTGATTCATCACTCCAGAGAACGCGTTTCCATTGCTCCAGAGTCCAATGGCCGCAAGCTTTACACCACTCCAGCCGACGCTTGGCATTGCGCACGGTGATCTTAGGCTTGTGTGCGGCTGCTCGGCCATGGAAACTCATTTTATGATGCTCCCGACGAACAGTTCTTGTGCTGACGTTGCTTCCAGTGGCAGTTTGGAACTCGGTAGTGAGTGTTGCAACCGAGGACAGACGATTTTTACGCGCTACGTGCTTCAGCATTCGTCGGTCCCGTTCTGTGAGCTTATGTGGACTACCACTTCGCGGCTGAGCCATTGTTGCTCCCATACATTTCCATTTTACAATAACAGCACTTACAGTTGACCGGGGCAGCTCTAGCAGGGCAGAAATTTGACGAATTTACTTGTTGGAAAGGTGGCACGTTGAAAGTCACTGAGCTCTTCAGTAAGGCCAATCCACTGCCAATGTTTGTCTATGGAGATTGCATGGCGGTGTGCTCGATTTTATACCCCTGTCAGCAACGGGTGTGGCTGAAATAGCCGAATCCACTAATTTGAAGAGGTGTCCCCCCCCGCCGACCCCTCGCGCCCCCCATTTTGGAACCACTGATGTAGGCTACATTGAAATAATTTTGTCTAAATTGAGGCATTTTTCTTGATGACATGTCTGAGTTGTTAAAATAGTACGTGACAAGTCATTCTCCGTCCAATAGGCTTCAGAACAGCTACGTAAACTGTACATGCAGAACATGGTGTGGGGCTACTGCAAGAGGATCAACCCAGAATGGAAACACCAGGTATATAGCATACAATATTATAGCATATTATAGAATATGATTTGTTAGTATAGTAGTACATTTTGATATCTTACAAATGGATGTGTATTACATCTCAGAACTTCAAAAACTGTCAATGTGGAGTGGTCTCCTGCTACTTCACCAATGTAACTTTTCTCAAAACTGTTTGTCCATTCTCTGTCTGTCAATGAAGTTGGAGCAGAAAATGGTGGCCAGTGAGATCTTCAAAAACAAGAAGGACAACTACCCCCAAAGTGTCCCAAAGCTCTTTCTGGGCACAAGACTCAGTATGTGCCTTGATAAACACAGACACACACACACGCATGCATGCACTCACGTGCACACACAAATACACACACACCTAACACTCTTCCTGTGCCTCTCTCTCCTCAGATGGAGAGGAGATTAACCCCAAGGTGTTGCAGTCACTTGGCAGTGAGAAGATGAAGGTTAGTACAGTACTAGTGTGTTAATATGGTCATTCAATTCTCTACTTGGGATTTACGTAGGGTTGCATACTTGTCTTAATATACTCAATACAGTATATTAAAGTGTTATTGATTCTTAACTCTGATCATGTCTGTGGCATGGCTGGTCTAGCCTAACGGTTAGTGTCGCTGCCTACAGCTCCAATGACACACCCTCTGTCTATCTTTCCCACGATCTCTCCTCTGTCCAATAAAATACAAAATCCTTTTAAAAATGTATATTTAAAACGCTAACAATGTCCCCCTCCCACTCCTCAGTATGCAGTCCCAGTGACCAAGTACGACAGGAAGGGCTACAAGGCGCGACCAAGGCAGCTGCTGCTCACCTCCAACAGTGCCGTCATCGTGGAGGAGGCTAAGCTCAAGCAGCGCATCGACTACGCTGCCCTCAAAGGTCAGCGGTCACATGGTTCGGGGGAGAGGATGGATTGGGGTCAATGCCATTTCTGTTTACTTCCTAAATTGACTGAATTGAAATGGGAATTGACCCCCGCCCTCGGTTACTGTTGTCTGGGGTCCTTACAGACGCCACGCTGAATTGGTCTGAGTGATGCTCATAGTTCTCCCATTGACCATTTCTCTCCCCTGTCTCTCCGTCCTCAGGTATCTCAGTCAGCTCTCTCAGTGATGGCGTCTTTGTACTACACGTGCCCACTGAAGACAAAAAACAAAAGGTGAGGCAGAGCAGTCGACCTCCGCTCTATCTTACACGGTCATAACATGGTCATAACCCCATTACACACAGGTTATTACATACTTAACCGATGCCTCTGTTAGGTGTAGTAGTGAAGTAGCCTGATCCCAGATCTGTTTGTGCTGGCTTGCCAACACCTATTGTCATTGTCACGCCAAACACAAACAGATCTGGGAGTGGCTAGTAGTGAAGCTGTAGCGTTGTAACTCCTCTCCTGTCTCCTCTGGTCTGTAGGGAGATGTGGTGCTTCAGAGTGACCACATCATCGAGACCCTGACCAAAGTGGCCATTTGTGCTGACAAGGTCAACAGCATCAACATCAACCAGGGAAGGTGAGTTGTTGCACTGTCACAGGCCGTGGTCGGATAGTCGATGGATGGCATGTCATTCTGTCTGTGGTATTGCTCTCACTTTATTTGGATAGTCCATCTGTAGATACTGATACCTGGAACTAGATAAGCCATATACTGTGTTTATCAGCGGCATGTCAGTTTTCATAGAAAAAGAGCTGTACGTTTCTAACATATACTGTTCAGATTCAACCCTCAGACATCCTTTACAAATGAAGGATTTGTGTTTAGTGAGTCCGCCAGATCAGAGGCAGTAGGGATGACCAGGGATGTTCTCTTGATAAGTGCGTGAATTTGACTATTTTCCTATCCTGCTAAGCATTCAAAATATAACGAGTACTTTTGGGTGTCATGGAAAATGTATGCAGTAAAAAGTACATTATTTTATTTAGGAATGTAGTGGAGTAAAAGTTGTCAAAAATATAAATAGTCAGGTAAAGTACAGATACCCCAAAAAACGACTTAAGTAAGAATACTTGAAAGTACTACTTAAGTACTTTACACCACTGCACACCAGTGCATCAAGTGACGTTAGGGGGTTAAATTGCTTACATGGAATTCTACCACCAGCTGACAGGACTTGAATTCATAGACACCAGCGATACATCACCATCTGATTTAATTTAATTTGATAGAAAACAATTATCTTTTGACTGTAAATGAACTGCACCTCATCTCTTCCTTCTCCATCTCTCTTTCTCTCTCTCTCCCAGTATAACTTTCACAGTGGGCCAAGGTAAAGAAGGGATCATAGACTTCACGTCTGGCTCTGAGCTGCTGGTTGCCAAGGCGAAGAATGGCCACCTCTCAGTGGTGAGTCGGAATAACGGGAGGATGTAAACCATCAGTCCTCCACTACAGGACTAATACAGTAGGTTGGAACATCAATACTGCATGATTGGAGTCAGAGTTGATTTGATTATTGGAGTCCTGCACTAGTGTCTATAAAAGCTAACTGTACTGTACTTTTTAAGCTGATTTGTTTTGTTAATGTCCCCTGTAAAACTGTACATTGATTTTCATTGTAGGGGTATCTCAGGTAGAGACCATTTTGTTCTGCATGTTTACATTGTAAAGATAACTTTAATCAATCGTTGATTGATTGGTTAAGATAACTTATTTTGTAATGGTTACCTCTGATGTCTTCCCTGAACTGTTTCAGACTGCCCCTCGACTGAACTCAAGATGATAGACATGACTGATCATCTGACCACGCCAAGGAAGTACTTCATGGAATACGCTCCTATTCACCAATCACAACCGCAGACCATTCTCTGCCTAAGCCAATCAAATGCCAGCTCTCGCTACAGGAATGGCATGTGCTTCCAATTAAGAAAAAGTCCAGCGATTAATTAATTGATATTTATATATTTTGGGGATTAATACTTGTTGTTATTTGAATATTACGATTTTATATATGAAGCCAAGGAATAACAATGTTTTGGTGCATTTTTCCTGCACTACTTATGTTTGTCTTGCTTAATTTGGGAACATGACCAAGCAGTCAATGAGGTTGTAATGGGTCTTCTTTGCTTTTTCTTTCCGTCATTCTTTTTTCACAATATTTTCTCTGTTCAGCAATTTAGACTTTGCACCCTCTCTGATACTACTCTTTAACTGTTTGGGACAGAAGCTTTTGTTAAAGTGGAGATGCAGTACATGGCTGATGGTATGTAGGCTAGGTTTGTTATAAACTAATGAGGAGCAGGGAGTTTGAGAGAGAAGTTCATAAGGAAGAATTATGTTTTCAAACTTGTGTTGACTAGGACACAATACTCTGAGGTTTTTGATCCGAAGGGATATCAACAGAGAAGTCATGTGGGTGTGTGACCTTTGACCCAGAGCATACTGGCCAGAATGTAGAGTACATTTGGTCTGTGCAGTGCCATCGATCACTAAATCATTCTTTGATGTATATATCATGGAGCCCAAATGAAAGCGTAAACCAAAGCATTTTGGTGAGCAGAAATTATTTATAATTGATTTATAATGGAAACACCATAGTGAATGGTCTTAACAAAATATATATATATATATAACAGAGATAAAGGAAAAAGGAGGTGAGGAAGAAATGAGGAAAAAGGCAAGAGAAAGAAAATGGCGGGGGAAAGAATAGAAAACTGTTTTGTCTTTGCATTTATCTCTTGTTTGAACCCAGCAATTGTGCCTTTCTCCTTTACTAAGTTATTATTAATGGATTATTTATATGTTGATACACCAATTAAACAATGACACGTTGGGGATGACATTGAGTCCACTGTTGTTAGAGCCAGATATGTCTTGTGTACCCTCAGGATGGCCTAGAAGAAGACGATTCAGAGAGAAAGACAAATGCATACTGTACACACACATATTTCACTCCAAGTTAAACCTGTAGAGTTGACGCTTTTGGGAAACATGCTATGATCCATTTGCTTTCCTTTGTGTCAAGTTTCCAGGCTGTCATTTTCTCTGGATATGTGTAGCAGCTCTTGTCAGGCTATAGTAGTAGTCAGAACAAGGTTCACTACTTCTTTTACCACATTTAACATTACTTTCCTGATGAGGATTTTTGTGCTAGCTTTGTGACAGGGACAATGGTATAGACAAATGCACTAAAGATTGATATATAATCTATCCACAGTGTTAGGCTATAATACAGCCAAAATTATACTGGTGTATCTACAACATACAGCCCAGCCCTCTCAACATGCTATAATTTTTTTTATTGGCACTTCCAAACCCAGGTCTTCAAGAGAGATGCACTGCATTAAAGTGCAGTTAATGCAGCCAAGTCTTTTCCTGGTGTTTAATACCTACATCATAGGACATACACATAGCCAAAAGTGTTCTTCACAGAAAGAACATGGATCAACGGTAACATCCTTAGGAACACTTAGCAATCTTTGTAACAAGCTAGAGGTGTATTGGTATGACCCACGTGACACTACAGTTCATAGATTTTAGTTTTAATCTACACACCTCTCCCCAGCTGACTTTCTGAGCTACGTTTCACTCTTCACATTTCTGCGCTACTTCTTCTTTGCTTTCCTCCCTCTACGACCCAGCCTCTGAACAGTATACAGCTGACAACCCAATGAATGAACGGTAAGACAGGTGCAATATGCCTAAATAAAGGTGTGCTACTGCACTGACACTAGCTAAAGAAGCAATAGTGGATGTAATGTCTGTTAATTGTCTGTTGTATGATTATATGTCAATTAAAGCATTTTTTTTTTTCCTGGTGGGAGATGTGTGTTTGGTTAGCCTGGTCCCAGATCGGTTTGTGCTGTCATGCTAATGCCAGACAGCACCAACAGATCTGGGACCAGACTATTGTGTTCTGTGCTCTAAGAAGAGATTTGAGCCAAGTGAGGATTTGTGAAAGTGTAACATGCATTTTGTCTTGTTCAAAAACTGTATGTTGCTAATGTGCCTTGAGTTTGTAAGAAATACAACCAATTTTGTATGGAATTCAGTGACAAATACCTCCTTGACGATGTCACTTATTCCAGAGTAAAAAAAAATATATATATACCAAAAAATCTGATTATTCCTTTAAAATGTCATAGAACCTTCTCTGTAAAGCCTGTCTCAAACCAAATCCTATGTTTAATAATTTACAATACACATGTTATCAGTCCTGAGTTACCGTATGCACCATCATGTAGAATTAGACCAACACACTAAAGATTAAATACTAAAATGTCAAAATAAACTTAAATGATTCTGTCTGGGTCCTTCATTACAAACTTCCTTCCTTGATAATTTGATGCATTTTAAAAGGGATAGTTCACCCAAATTACAAAAGGACATATTGGTTTCTTTACCATGTAAGCAGTCAATGGACAAGGTATAACAGCAAACCATGCTTTGGTTTTGCTAATATGGGTACCAGTTACTTGCATTGGTTCAATATTTTGATTAAATCCAAACTCTGGACAGAATATGCAGTCTTTTCTGGCACATCAGAAATGTACCCTAACTAGATTATTCAAGTAAAGTTAGGCTTACTCTGAATTTTACTGTACAGTCTTTATAGTCCCAAGCCAGAACAGCTAAAAAGTACCATCTTGCAACATGTTGAAATGGGGTTTTGATCTCAAGGGACTGTACGAAGTGATGCAATCCTCTGCTGTGATGAGGAACTTGACATTATCTGTAGTCTTTGAGTTTGAATAGTCTCTCTGCTCAATAGGTGTATAAAAACCAACACACCAGGCTTTAATAATAGTTTTGAACTGTTATTTAGAAATATGGCATTGGCGGTTAATCAATGTTCACTTACAGTGAGGGAAAAAAGTATTTGATCCCCTGCTGATTTTGTACGTTTGCCCACTGACAAAGACATGATCAGTCTATAATTTTAATGGTAGGTTTATTTGAACAGTGAGAGACAGAAGAACAACAAAAAAATCCAGAAAAACGCATGTCAAAAATGTTATGAATTAATTTGCATTTTAATGAGGGAAATAAGTATTTGACCCCTCTGCAAAACATGACTTAGTACTTGGTGGCAAAACCCTTGTTGGCAATCACACAGGTCAGAAGTTTCTTGTAGTTGGCCACCAGGTTTGCACACATCTCAGGAGGGATTTTGTCCCACTCCACTTTGCAGATCTTTACCAAGTCATTAAGGTTTCGAGGCTGACGTTTGGCAACTCAAACTTTCAGCTCCCTCCACAGATTTTCTATGGGATTAAGGTCTGGAGACTGGCGAGGCCACTCCAGGATCTTAATGTGCTTCTTCTTGAGCCACTCCTTTGTTGCCTTGGCCGTGTGTTTTGGGTCATTGTCATGCTGGAATACCCATCCACGACCCATTTTCAATGCCCTGGCATTGGGAGGTTCTCACCCACGATTTGACGGTACATGGCCCCGTCCATCATCCCTTTGATGCGGTGAAGTTGTCCTGTCCCCTTAGCAGAAAAACACCCCCAAAGCATAATGTTTCCACCTCCATGTTTGACGGTGGGGATGGTGTTCTTGGGGTCATAGGCAGCATTCCTCCTCCTCCAAACACGGCGAGTTGAGTTGATGGCAAAGAGATCGATTTTGGTCTCATCTGACCACAACACTTTCACCCAGTTCTCCTCTGAATCATTCAGATGTTCATTGGCAAACTTCAGACGGGCCTGTATATGTGCTTTCTTGAGCAGGGGGACCTTGCGGGCGCTGCAGGATTTCAGTCCTTCATGGCGTAGTGTGTTACCAATTGTTTTCTTGGTGACTATGGTCCCAGCTGCCTTGAGATCATTGACAAGATCCTCCTGTGTAGTTCTGGGCTGATTCCTCACCGTTCTCATGATCATTGCAACTCCACGAGGTGAGATCTTGCATGGAGCCCCAGGCTGAGGGAGATTGACAGTTATTTTGTGTTTCTTCCATTTGCGAATAACCACACCAACTGTTGTCACCTTCTCACCAAGCTGCTTGGCGATGGTCTTGTAGCCCATTCCAGCCTTGTGTAGGTCTACAATCTTGTCCCTGACATCCTTGGAGAGCTCTTTGGTCTTGGCCATGGTGGAGAGTTTGGAATCTGATTGATTGATTGCTTCTGTGGACAGGTGTTTTATACAGGTAACACGCTGAGATTAGGAGCACTCCCTTTAAGAGTGTGCTCCTAATCTCAGCTCGTTACCTGTATAAAAGAAAACTGGGAGCCAGAAGTCTTTCTGATTGAGAGGGGGTCAAATACTTATTTCCCTCATTAAAATGCAAATCAATTTATAACATTTTTGACATGCGTTTTTCTGTTTTTTTTTGTTGTTATTCTGTCTCTCACTGTTCAAATCATAAATTTAAATTATAGATTGATCAATTCTTTGTCAGTGGGCAAACGTACAAAATCAGCAGGGGATCAAATACTTTTTTCCCTCACTGTATAGCCTCGCTATATCAGTGGTTCATCATTTGGGAAAGTTTTTAAGTCTTTACTTGTTAGTTCCTCTTTCAAAAAGGGTAAGTTGCTTTTTAGTAATCATTCTACGTTGATGTTCTGACTTTTTTTTTACACTAATTTCACACTTTTTGACACAATGTCACTGATGCCTTTTATTGTAATAATCATGTAATTACACCTGTTATAAGTTATCTTGCAATCTTAGTGGCAACATAGGTTATTATGGAATCTTGCAAACTCTGGATTAAAGTCTGTATATATATATTTTTTTTTTCTATATATATATATATTTTTTCTATTTATGTTGACTTAATAATTACAATTCAATAACATACAATTTAATAACATACAATAACATTTATAGTTGACAAGTTTGTTTTATAGCCTAAGCTACAATGTCACACTAATATTATCATGCCATAAGATTCTTTTTAGGCCTACATCAGGTTTTGAAGTCATAATAATTGAATGTATTAATGATATTTCCTGTTTTTAGTCATGGCTGAAATGACAATTGCTACTACAGTGAGGGAAAAAAGTATTTGATCCCCTGCTGATTTTGTACGTTTGCCCACTGACAAAGGCATGATCAGTCTACAATTTTAATGGTAGGTTTATTTGAACAGTGAGAGACAGAATAACAACAGAAAAATCCAGAAAAACGCATGTCAAAAATGTTATAAATTGATTTGCATTTTAATGAGGGAAATAAGTATTTGACCCCTCTACAAAACATGTTGGCAATCACAGAGGTCAGACGTTTCTTGTCGTTGGCCACCAGGTTTGCACACATCTCAGGAGGGATTTTGTCCTACTCCTCTTTGCAGATCTTCTCCAAGTCATTAAGGTTTCGAGCCTGATGTTTGGCAACTCGTACCTTCAGCTCCATCCACAGATTTTCTATGGGATTAAGGTCTGGAGACTGGCTAGGCCACTCCAGGACCTTAATGTGCTTCTTCTTGAGCCACTCCTTTGTTGCATTGGCCGTGTGTTTTGGGTCATTGTCATGCTGGAATACCCATCCATGACCCATTTTCAATGCCCTGGCTGAGGGAAGGAGGTTCTCACCCAATATTTGACGGTACATGGCCCCGTCCATCGTCCCTTTGATGCTGTGAAGTTGTCCCCTTAGCAGAAAAACACCCCTAAAGCATTATGTTTCCACCTCCATGTTTGACGGTGGAGATGGTGTTCTTGGGGTCATAGGCAGCATTCCTCCTCCTCCAAACACGGCGAGTTGAGTTGATGCCAAAGAGCTCGATTTTGGTCTCATCTGACCACAACACTTTAACCCAGTTCTCCTCTGAATCATTCAGATGTTCATTGGCAAACTTCAGATGGGCCTGTATATGTGCTTTCTTGAGCAGGGGAACCTTGCGGGCGCTGCAGGATTTCAGTCCTTCACGGCAGAGTGTGTTACCAATTGTTTTCTTGGTGACTATGGTACCAGCTGCCTTGAGATCATTGACAAGATCCTCCCATGTAGTTCTGGGCTGATTCCTCACCGTTCTCATGATCATTGCAACTCCACGAGGTGAGATCTTGCATGGAGCCCCAGGCCGAGGGAGATTGACAGTTCTTTTGTGTTTCTCTCATTTGCGAATAATCGCACCAACTGTTGTCACCTTCTCACCAAGCTGCTTGGCGATGGTCTTGTAGCCCATTCCAGCCTTGTGTAGGTCTACAATCTTGTCCCTGACATCCTTGGAGAGCTCTTTGGTCTTGGCCACGGTGGAGAGTTTGGAATCTGATTGATTGATTGCTTCTGTGGACAGATGTCTTTTATACAGGTAAAAAGCTGAGATTAGGAGCACTCCCTTTAAGAGTGTGCTCCTAATCTCAGCTCGTTACCTGTATAAAAGACTCCTGGGAGCCAGAAATCTTTCTGATTGAGAGGGGGTCAAATACTTATTTCCCTCATTAAAATGCAAATCAATTTATAACATTTTTGACATGCATTTTTCAGGATTTTTGTTGTTGTTATTCTGTCTCTCACTGTTCAAATAAACCTACCATTAAAATTATAGACTGATCGTTTCTTTGTCAGTGGGCAAACGTACAAAATCAGCAGGGGATCAAATACTTTTTTCCCTCACCTGTATTGTTCCATTTTATGCTGAAAACAATGCCTCAATTTACAGAAAGGAAAGAGGAAGATCTTTACCCACGTATTAAAACCACTTCCATATTCAAACCACTTCGCTTGCAAGTCTTGTATGTTGTTGAATAAGCGGACAATAGACAAATATCGTCTGTTAAACCAGTCACCGCAAGAGTGAGTCTCCCCACAATGGCAGTGGGGCGATGCAGTATAGCACTACAGGAGCGTCGTGTGCAACTAGTGGAGAGCTGCAGCCAAAATGTCACCCACCTCCAGGAGCTTCTTTACCAGGTAGGGGCTCTTACTGAGGAGGACCTCAGCCTGGTGAGAGGGGGAGGTCGCCTGGGGGAGAGGGACTGTATGAGGACTCTGCTGGATGTGCTACATGGGCGTGGAGAGGAAGCCTGTCGAGCCTTCTTTCATGTACTACAGTCACAGAGAGCCAACACGGAGTCTGAGTCTATGCTGGCAGCTATCCCACCTGAGGGCTCTGGACCCAGCAGCAGTGGCTCTAGTCCAACCAACATGCAGGAGCACTTGAGGAAACACAAGAACATATTAGGCAGGCAGCACAGTCCCATTGATTACCTTAGTATCAGGACTAGTAGATGTAGTAGCTCAGAGAGTGTTGATGAGCCTGGTTCCTTTACAGATATCATGTGGTCCAGGTGCGTGGGCTACACTGTTCCCTTGCAGTACCACCAGCACGAGGCAGCCATGGTGGGTGACGCCTTCCGGAGCCAGGACCAGGTCTGTACCTTTCAAGATGTCTGCCAGAGTCTGCTGTCTGTTCCAGGAGACGACATGACTCTGCTCTCGGGGGTGGCCGGTAGTGGGAAGACCACTGTGGTGAGACGGCTGGTTCATGAGTGGGCCCGGGACTCTGACTCCCAGAAGATAGTCCTGTCCCTATCCTTCAGAGAGCTCAATCTGCTCAGTGAGCCTCAGAGCCTGCAGGAGCTTCTCCTGGTGTACTACAGCCACCTCAAACCTGTTCTGGCCCGGATCGTTGACTCCCAACCTGGACGGATCCTGCTCATCTTGGACGGGCTCGATGAGTTCCGCTTCCCCCTGGACTTTGAGCGGAGCCCCAAGTGCTCAGACCCGGAGCGGAGGCTGGGCATGGGGGAGATGGTGGTGAACCTGATTAAGGGTCACCTCCTCCCCGGTATCTCCATCCTGGTCACATCACGGCCCCACTCCGTCTCCAAGGTCCCTCCCCTGCTGGTGACCCAGCTCTACAGCATCCTGGGCTTCTCCACAGACCAGCAGAGGCACTACTTTGAGCAGAGCTGCAGCTCTCCCCTGGTGGCCTCTGACGTGTGGGGCTATGTTTCTTCCTACCAGCCCCTCCAGCTCATGTGCCGTATACCGGCCTTCTGCTGGATTGTCTCCACTGCCCTGCGTGATGGAACCCCCTGCTGCCTTAGACAAGTCACCACCACCACTCTGCCCAGTACAGCTAGGACAAGGCCAGCAGGCTCCAGTGATACCACCACCAACAACAACAGGGCTGAAGAAGCCACTCCAACCCCTTCCACCTTCTCCTCCACTGTTCCCAGGGTGATGTTAATGAGCGGCCATGTCAAGCCCATCACCATCACAGAGATCTACTGCTGCTTCCTCAAGTCCATCCTGGTGTTCCACGGAGAGGGCCGCAGTCAGGAAGGCTGCAGCCCGCAGCGTCTCCAGGAGGCTCCGCAGGTCCTACAGGAGATGCAGCCCACGCTGAGAAACCTGGGAGCCCTGGCCTTCAAGGGCTTTCTAGAGCGACGCTTCCTCTTCAACCAGGCTGATCTGAGCTCTTTCTCCCTGGACTGCAGCGGCCTGTCCAAGGCCTTCCTGGTGGAGATCCTCAGAGAGGACCGGGCCTCGCTCAGCTACCAGAGGAGCTTCCACTTCATCCACACTAGTGTACAGGAGTTCCTGGCTGCTCTGTACTACATCCTGCAGGCCCTCTCCGGCTCAGACCCATTCTCAGGGCTCAAGTCAGCCGGTGGTGTAGCCCTGTTTTCAGTCGCCCTGCACAAAGTGTTAACCTCCACTGCTAATAAGCTGCTGAGGCCCAGACGACTCCTGCGCAGATACGTCAAGAAGGCTTTCTCCTGGGGTGGACACCATCAGTCTGGTCACATGGACCTCTTTTGCAGGTCAAATAATATGTACATACAAATACATATACAAATACATAGATAAAAGTAGTATTGTGTTTTGTCATTCACTTCATCCCATTTAACGTTCAGAAAATGTCTCTTTGTTAACTTGTTTCTCTCTCCATTAATTGTACATTATTTCGCATTTCTCTCCTTGGGTAGATTTGTATCTGGCCTATTGGTACCTCAAATCCGTGTAATCCTGGATGGACTATTCCGAGGCAGATCACAAATACTCCCATCTCTCTCCTCCTCCTCTCTGTCCCTGCCCTCTCCTCCTCCTCCTCCTCCTCCCACCCCTCCCTTTCTCCTGAGCCTGCTCCACTCCCAGCTCCAATGTGGCAGACTGAGTCCAGAGAGGCAGGTCAACGTGTGCCACTGCCTGTAAGAGGCCCAGGACCCAGGCCTGGCCCAGCGTCTACAAAGCTGGCTGCAGGTCCTGGCCCAGCAACAGGTCCCAGACCAGTCTGGCCCAGCCAAGAGGGACTGGAGCGAACTGGCCTTCCTGCTGCAGCTGATCCCAGACCTGCAGGATCTAAATCTGGAGGCCCAGGGGCTGGACGCGGAGGGCTTGCGTAGACTGCTGCCTGTACTCCCTCTCTTCAACACCCTTAGGTGGGCTAAGTCATGTGTAACACCTTAAATCAGGCTTAATCCAAACACAAAAATGAAGTTATCTATATTTTTCTCCAAACTGTATTTGTTTCATGATACATGAGAATGAAAACCCTGTGTATTTATCTCCTGTATTTTTTCCTCATAAAGGCTAGGTCAGAATCCACTGGGTCCTGAGGGGGCAATTGTGTTAGCCTGTGCTGTGCAGAGCCCAGACTGCCGTGTTGAGAGACTGTGGTGAGTACAGTATAAGGGCTAATTGAAGCAGAGAGAATAATTGGATAGGATAACTGATATCACCACCTTGGAGGGACTACATGGACTTTTAAAAAAACACTCATTTTCCTTTTCTGTTGCAAAGCAGTTTAAAACGTTTTCCATGGCATGCCCTAATGAACATGACCCTGTGTAATTGTTCTGGTTCCAGGGTGGTAGGGACAGGACTGGGTTGCGAGGGACTCAAGGTGCTTACAGAAGGACTGAAAGACAACCACACAGTGGTCGACCTCAGGTAACACAGGATATTAATGCTCTGATAGGCTACAGCTAGTCAATAAAATTCATTATAAAGCAGTCTCTCACCAATCATTGTCTGCCATCATTCCATGGTTTAAGGATGGCCATCAATCACATTGGCGACGTGGGAGCGGGCTGTCTGGCGGATCTACTGCAGACCAATCATACACTTAAAGATATCAGGTGAAGATGAGAAACCACTGCTATCAAAGATATCATCCTTTGCGGTTAAAAACAGCCTAGTCACACATCTGTGGTCAAGTTCTCGCATATTCTTATGTTAGTTCACACTAGGTAATTACAAGAATAAGGCCTGGATTCAAACAAACACAGATGTGCACTATTGCTGTACCTAGGTTGTTGATCTGTCTTGGATTGATCCTCGAACATAGGCTTTTGGTCAGGTAAATCAATATTAGCAACAGACATGTTTTTGTGTTCCTCAGGCTCCGTGACAACCAGATTACTGATAAGGGAGTAGAACTCCTCATGGAAGCACTGACTGAGAATACCACTCTGGAACATCTCTGGTGAGCAGTGACACACTCTCGGTTTACCATGTACACTACCGTTCAAAAGTTTGGGGTCACTTAGAAATGTCCTTGTTTTCAAAAGAAAAGCAATTTTTTTGTCCATTAAAATAACATCAAATTGAGCAGAAATACAGTGTAGACATTGTTAATGTTGTAAATGGCTATTGTAGCTGGAAACGGCAGATTTTCTATGGAATATCTAAAGCAGAACTTAATATTTGGTACAGAAACATTTGTTTGCAATTACAGAGATCATACGTTTCCTGTAGGTCTTGAACAGGTTTGCACACACTGCAGCAGGGATTTTGGCCCACTCCTCCATACAGACCTTCTCCAGATCCTTCAGGTTTCGGGCCTGTCGCTGGGCAATACGGACTTTCAGCTCCCTCCAAAGGTTTTCTATTGGGTTCAGGTCTGGAGACTGGCTAGGCCACTCCAGGACCTTGAGATGCTTCTTACGGAGCCACTCCTTAGTTGCCCTGGCTGTGTGTTTCGGGTCGTTGTCATGCTGGAAGACCCAGCCACGACCCATCTTCAATGCTTTTACTGAGGGAAGGAGGTTGTTGGCCAAGATCTCGCGATACATGGCCCCATCCATCCTCCCCTCAATATGGTGCAGTCGTCCTATCCCCTTTGCAGAAAAGCATCCCCAAAGAATGATGTTTCCACCTCCATGCTTCACGGTTGGGATGGTGTTCTTGGGGTTGTACTCATCCTTCTTCTTCCTCCAAACACAGCGAGTGGAGTTTAGACCAAAAAGCTATATTTTTGTCTCATCAGACCACATGACCTTCTCCCATTCCTCCTCTGGATCATCCAGATGGTCATTGGCAAACTTCAGACGGGCCTGCACATGCGCTGGCTTGAGCAGGGGGACCTTGCGTGCGCTGCAGGATTTTAATCCATGACGACGTAGTGTGTTACTAATGGTTTTCTTTGAGACTGTGGTCCCAGCTCTCTTCAGGTCATTGACCAGGTCCTGCCGTGTAGTTCTGGGCTGATCCCTCACCTTCCTCATGATCATTGATGCCCCACGAGGTGAGATTTTGCATGGAGCCCCAGACCGAGGGTGATTGACCGTCATCTTGAACTTCTTCCATTTTCTAATAATTGCGCCAACAGTTGTTGCCTTCTCACCAAGCTGCTTGCCTATTGTCCTGTAGTCCATCCCAGCCTTGTGCAGGGCTACAATTTTATCCCTGATGCCCTTACACAGCTCTCTGGTCTTGGCCATTGTGGAGAGGTTGAGTCTGTTTGATTGAGTGTGTGGACAGGGTCTTTTATACAGGTAACGAGTTCAAACAGGTGCAGTTAATACAGGTAATGAGTGGAGAACAGGAGGGCTCTTAAAGAAAAACTAGAGGTCTGTGAGAGCCGGATTCTTACTGGTTGGTAGGCAATCAATAATTATGTCATGCAATAAAATGCAAATTAATTACTTAAAAATCATACAATGTGATTTTCTGGATTTTTGTTTAGATTCGTCTCTCATAGTTGAAGTGTACCTATGATAAAAATTACAGACCTCTACATGCTTTGTAAGTAGGAAACCTGCAAATCGGCAGTGTATCAAATATTGTTCTCCCCACTGTACATAGGCATACAGAGGCCCATTATAGAACCATCAGTCCTGTGTTCCAATGGCACGTTGTGTTTGCTAATCCAAGTTTATCATTTAAAAGGCTAATTGATAATTGAAAACCCTTTTGCAATTATGTTAGCACAGCTGAAAACTGTTGTGCTGATTAAAGAAGCAATAAAACTGGCCTTCTTGAGACTAGTTGAGTATCTGGATCATCAGCAATTGTGGGTTCAATTACAGGCTCAAAATGGCCAGAAACAAATAACTTTCTTCTTAAACTCGTCAGTCTATTCTTGTTCTGAGAAATGAAGGCTATTCCATGCGAGAAATTGTCAAGAAACTGAAGATCTCGTACAACGCTGTGTACTACTCCCTTCTCAGAACAGCGTAAACTGGCTCTAACCAGAATAGAAAGAGGAGTGGCGCAGTGCTCTAAGGCACTGCATCGCAGTGCTAGCTGTGCCACTAGAGATCCTGGTTCGAATCCAGGCTCTGTCGTAGCCGGCCGCGACCGGGAGACCCATGGGGCGGCGCACAATTGGCCCAGCGTCGTCCAGGGTAGGGGAGGGAATGTCTGGCAGGGATGTAGCTCAGTTGGTAGAGCATGGCGTTTGCAACGGCAGGGTTGTGGGTTCGATTCCCACGGGGGACCAAAAAATATATAATGTATGCACTCACTAACTGTAAGTCGCTCTGGATAAGAGCTTCTGCTAAATGATGTAAATGTAAAAATGTAAATGAGTGGGAGTCCCCGGTGCACAACTGAGCAATAGGACAAATACATTAGAGTGTCTAGTTTGAGAAACAGACGCCTCACAGGTCCTCAACTGGCAGCTTCATTAAATAGTACCCGCAAAACAGCCGTCTCAACGTCAACAGTGAAGAGGCGACTCCGGGAGGCTGACCTTCTAGGCAGAGATACAAAGAAAAAGCCATATCTCTGACTGCCCATCTTAATCTTTTCTTTTTCAACTCTGCCTAGAAGGTCAGCATCCCGGAGTCGCCTTTTCACTGTTGACGTTGAGACTGGTGTTTTCAAAAACAAGGACAATTCTAAGTGACCCCAAACTTTTGAACGGTAGTGTATATGCTCTAATTAATACATTTCTTATAAAACATTGAGGAATTTGAATTCCAATCTGCAGGTATGGGTCTGCAACCTTAACATCTTTACATTAGTTTACTTAGCATTGATACTGTTATCTGCTCAATTTCCTACTATTTGAACAAGATAATATTTTACATATGTTGACATTTCATTGTGACTGTCTCTTTTCTCAGGATGTTTGACAACAAGTTATCAAAGGAGGGAGTCAGGAAGCTGAAGGAGTTCGCCAGGAACATGTCTCATCTGGACATCAAAGTGTGCATCTGATTTCATCTGCCTTTCCTATTGCTGATGATAGACTCCAAGTACTTCATCATTGGTGGATGGTGTGGTTGTTTATTTGTAAATAAGAATTTGGTCTTAACTGACTTGCCTAGTTAAACAAAGGTTAAATAAAAAATAAAAAAATACATATGGTACTTTTGCACATATAAATGGTATGAAAGATGTTATTAGTATTTAATTATTACTAACTGAGTTTACATTTGGATGTCAGGTTGTAATAAGTCAATGAATGTAGCCATAGGTCAATGAAATCGTCTGCAATAGGTCTACACGTTTTTCCAATAGTTTGCATTATTATGTTGTGTCAGAAACGCCTCGAAGTAAAGAAGCGCGTAAACGTTTAAACAGCACTTCCATGTATGGCCAGCAGAGAGCAATAGACCTGCATACGCATTACCTGTTGGAACTCTAGGGTCATAGTCTACTATGTGGAAATTAGATGATCATGTTCCCTCTCTAACAAAGTTGGAAATTAATGGTTTAACAATAATTTGTTGGTAGCCAACTAAATTTCACTACTGAATATTGAAATGTATTAAGTTGAGGGTGACAAAACGAAGTTGACAGTATTTATTTATTCTACCACAAGATGTCAGCATCAATTTAAACTTTTGATAATAATATGCCATTTAGCAGACGCTTTTATCCAAAGCGATTTACAGTCATGTGTGCATACATTTTTACGTATGGGTGGTCCCGGTGATCGAACCCACTACCCTGGCGTTACATGCGCCATGCTCTACCAATTGAGCTACAGAGGACCTTTCTACAGTGTCTTTGTTTGGCTCCTTCCTAGTCTGGTCCATGGGGACATGCCATTATCCTTAGTTTCAATTTCCATAGAAAAACGAAAATATGTCAAGTTACCTGAATAATAAGGTCATTTTTTCTGATGCCCACTCTTTGATTTGATTTAATGAGGGACAGTGCTACTATTACTACACATCTAATTCTATATTTTCTCACCTGTGAAGGTAGAAACTCATATTCCCTTTGTTATGCACTTTGGAAAAAGTTTGTCTGTTTGCCCATTTACCTCAACCATAAACAAGTTTGCTATTTTTGTTTTATCTATAAATAGACTAGGCAATGTGCAAATCTCGAAATGTAATTGAAAATAAAACAATGCCTGCAACGGTCCTTTTTTAAGTTAATCTTTGCCATAACTCCCTCCTGTCTTTTGTGTCAAAACATTAGCTGGCTGTTTTCACCAATTAATTATTTATTTAATCATTTAAGCGCTCTCTGATTGGTTTGAGCGTGTCTCTAGCTCAGGACCTGGCCAATGGAGATGCAGGCTTGTTTGTGCAGCTTTGGTGCGAAAATAAAAGCAGGAATCTGCGTTGAAAAGAGAAATGTGGATGCAAAGAAACAAAAGATTGAGTCAAGTCTACAGTATAGCTGTAATTTGTTGTTTTGAGAATAACAACTATAGATTTTAAGACAAAGACAGAGTCCAGTCAGTGGAGAGGCAGGCGACCTTGTTCGTGGTTCCAGACACTCAGGTATGGTACCGCACTTTAGGGATGCTCTACTGTTATTCTAAGGGGAGAAATCTATAAATTCTCTACTTTGCTTTTATTTAAAATTGGTCACTGAAAAAAAGACAAGCTATGTTACACTGAGTGTGCAGAAATGCAACATTGTTTATAGTCTGTCATATCTTCGTAGCCGACCCTGAAATGATTATCCGAGACAAAACATGCAACAATGTTTCAATGGAAACTTATCTGAAAATGACTGTGTATAGGCCTATCAAGGAAAGTATGAGTGAATCATACTTTGAATTTGATGTTGTTACATTAGGCGTTTATTGTTGATTGCAGTGCTATTAGTTTCCCCTATAGCAACTTTACTGTTACATGATGTGTAGTCCACGTGACTTAAGAGGGGGTGATCATCCCAATTATGTTTTTGTTTATGGTGTTTTGCTTGAGGAGCCTATACACCGTTTGCAACGCTGTCGTTGGCATCACGAAATGTTACAATTATTTTAGGGAAATAACAGCATGCAGTTGACTTATAAAATGTATTTAAATGTCGACGTCATGTTATCATGATTTTATTTTGCTTTTCTACAGATTGAGTTTAAGAGTTTAGAGTTTATATTTTTAATGTCCAAAGGGGGAATTTGCTTTGCAACGAAATACAGCCATATTAGATAATACTGTCCTTATTTGTGTGTCCATTTATTCCTTTTTTTAGTAATAACATTAACATTGAGGGGAAATGTGCTGCATGATAATAGTGAAACCATCAAATGTCGTTGAGATTTGTGAAACTGCATGGAAGCTGTTGGCTAATTGAAGCTTTGTTTCGAACGGTGAGACTGTTGCTATGCACGGCGTGCTGTGTTTTCGATACTGAACAGCTGAACTTCATGCGAAAGAGATGGGGTGGGGGTGCAGGAGGAGGAGGCGCATTGAGAGGGCAGATGATTTCAGTCCAGTTCAGACCAGTTTACAGAGCTGCTCATTTCCCGCACCATACTTATTGTTTAAGAACCTCATAAGGACAAGGCGAATCATAATATAGGCTTAATACCCATTGTCCAAAGTACTGAGGACCTGACCTTCACACCTATCAATAAAATAACTAACATATATAGGCTAATATGTAGTGAAAATAAAATTACAGTGAAATCACGAGAAAAATAAGACCACCTCATAGACTAAAATAATATGCAATGCATATCTAATAGTTAATTGGCCAGTGTGGGTTTGTGTTAATTAATACATTGTATGTTGTAAGTTTTAGGCTACATTCCGTGATACATAGGCTTAGTAGAGGCAAATTATAATTATTATTATATATTTGTTACATTATTAGCCCATAGGCAGTTATTGATGTCTGTTGAAGATGGCGACGGGAACAAAAAGGATGATGATCTCGCGCCGCACTAGTTCGAACCGGCTGGAACTTGGCCTCACGTGGAGTCATTCTTGGTAGCTTTATTAATATGCAGCCAATGGTAGAGGTCCAGAAAACTATCTGCCAACCAGAGGGAGCTAGGGCGGTGTTTTGGTACATGAGTAGGAGGGGTTTTGTGGTCCAGGCACGCTCCTGGAAGAGCTCAGCTGTTTTGTAATAGTGAAAAAGTATTATCCTACAAGGACAAAGACAAGGAAACCCAGTGACTTAAAAGGCTGATAGCTTCATCTTCTACTGTACACATACCATAATTAGCATAATGATTGTTATTTGAAATGGAAATTCATGTTTTCATCCTTGTGTAGGTATATCCCCCTTATGTATTGGCTACCTCTGATGTATCCCTCACCAACTCATATACAGTTTAGTGTAGTATAAATGTCAAACAACTACCAAATGTGTATCTTCACACTCTTAGCCCCTTAACATGTATCAACCTTATCTTCCAGGCCACCAGCCCTCCTTCGTTCTACGAGCACCGTTGTGCCCCTCTTCTACCTGTGAAGATAATAATAATAAATAATAAAGATGGCACCCTCCCTGGCCACAGCCTTCTCCAGGCGCTGGTGGATGGCTGTGACTGCGGTCATAGAGAACCTGCTGTTCTCTGCTGTGCTGCTGGGCTGGGGCTCCCTGCTCATCATGCTCAAGTCTGAAGGCTTCTACTCCTACCTCTGCAGAGAACCTGGTAAGGCTGTGTAGCATGATGCACTACAATACCCATAACGCTCTGTGTTACATATCCTGTTTTGTCAATATAGGGGATTGAGAAATGAAGACAATTGGTTGGATTTATACAGTATAACACTATTCCAGGTGCTCAAAGATATTTTACGTTGTAGACCATTTTTATTACAATGAATAGGAAACCCCAAAAAGGGAATACCTTTATTAGATGTGTTATACGTATGAGAATGATGGAAGGTTTTTGTTGCTTCAGTATATGCTTGGTTTATGTTGCTTTAAATGCTTGTTTCATTGTGACATTTAGCAACATTTGTTTTAATAGCATTTTTTTCTGTATGTAGTATTACTGTCTCACTCAGCAAGTGAGGCACGTGAATGGGTATCACTTGGGCTTTGAAGGTCTGACAAAGATTGAGTGTATTTTAAGCAATCCTACTTATTATGCTTATTTAATTCAGCAACAAAAGGTGTTTCTATTTCACTACTGTGAGACAAAGATGACTTTATGTGTCTGTGTAGCTTTAATTCAATCACTTTTGTTGGAATGGTCCAACACTTAAATAGTGCTCTTTAGAACAATACTGTAAATTCTTTCAATGGGGGTTACAATAGAATGGTGTGATAGAATGTTCAGATTAACTGGATATTCTGTGGGCGAGGATGGGATGAAGGGGTGGGGGTTTCTAATCCAATCACATTGAGCAGAGGAATTGAATGAGTTTCCCCTTACGTTTGACATGATCAGTTCCTCCTGAGGGTCTTTGTCTGCTTAAATGCAAACGAAACCAGGGCCATATTCACAAAGTGTCACAGAGTAGGAGTGCTGATATAGGATCCGTTTCTCCTTTTCGATCATGAATAAGATTACATAGACAGTGGGGACCTGATCCTAGATCAGCACTTCTACTCTGAAACGCTTTATGAATACAGGCCCAGAACAACTGCTGCAGATAATGACCTAATTGGGGTTTTTGTACAGATTTATTGATGATGTTGCCATAAAGGAGAGTCTTTAAAAGAAATCCACCTATACAGCCTGGCTAGTCTTGAAAGTTTGCGAGAGGGATTTATTAGATCATTGGCCAAGACACTTGCGTTGTTTCCAGCCCCGCCGAAGTTGAGCTTTGAGAAAAAATAACACATCAATAGCAGTCAGCCTGTTTAACAAGCCTCTAATGCGGCTATGATTCAGAGCTCTCTCTCTATCATGGGGATTTGATGATTCCACTAAATCATCCACATCACAGAGATGATGGATGAAACCAGGGGGTGGTGGGCATGGGATCTGGGATGAAAGCACCAGGTACATTTCTGTGTGCTCATAAGGGCGTCTTTTGTTTTATTGGTTTATTTGCATCCAAATGCTACAGCGAACCAGTGACTTGGATCCCCCCCCCCCCCCCCCCCCCCCTCTCTCTCTCTCTCTCTTTCTCTCTCTCTCCCTTTCTCTCTCTTTTTCTCTATCTCGCTCTTTCGTTCGCTCTCTCTGTTCCCATAGTCTATGAATCATCTGTCCTCCTTTCATCTTTCAAACACACAGACACTTAGGGAGGCAGTGGGCATTAGAGAGAGGGAGGGAGAGAGAGAGGGAGAGAGAGAGAAAGAGAAATATGTGTCTTCACTGAGACCTTGAGATGATAGGACAAATAAAGCACATCATCATTATGTAGGTCGTAACGTAATATCTTCAGAACATGGCCTGTGATGGACTAGATCATATAATAATATTGATAGAGCATGGCTTGTGATTGACTCAAGAGTCCTCTGATCATCTGCCACAGTGATTTCTATTTGCCAGGCAGCATTTAACATGTCAATAGGCCTTTTCATTTATGCAGATCAGGTCAGTCTCGACACTCTTTCATCCTTGCCTTCTCTTATGTTTCAAAAGATGAATGCATTCAAAGGGCATCTGTCAAACAGATTGCTGAGAGTCCTTTATGTGTTTGGTGTCATGGTGACTTTTGTCCCCATATCGTTGTTTCGATTTAAAGGATCTGAGATTGGACTGTGTGACACTGTGGGCCACCTCTGTTTTGGTTCCTCACCTATCTGCTAATGGAAAAGTTTGTGGTTAGGCTGACATTGTGAAGTGTGAGGCTCACATTCCTCCCACATGGAACATCGTTGACTCCCAGTCCCTTCACCTCTCTCTCTCCGGCAGCTCTTGTGTTTCATTACATAAACTAGACTGTCATCATTCCCACATTACATTTATCTTGGTAGAGTCTGTTAGTTTAACACTGTAAGGTGTGTACTGTTGACGTAGTTTGATTTACACTCAGTTTAGCTAAGGCATGTTTCACTGACAACATGGACAGAACATATTGTACAGGAAATATCAAGCCTCTTGTTTTTATTGTTAGTATGAAGCATCCAGTGCCAGTACTATTACAACTACCAACAAATAGAATATAATAACTTTTTTTTCTCTAATGGAACTTGGAAAAGCACGTTTCATAACTCTTTTATCATCATGTATGGTGTCCCTGTCTTAGACCCCCTTCCCCCTCCCCCTCCTTTGCTTTAAGGTCAAGTATATGGCAGGGGTACATAGTTGGAATGTCTGTGTCAGTATGGGCCCTATGAGCCCTGGGGCATCTCATGTCGCTAGCTACTAGCAGGGAACATGAGAGGCCCTAGGGCCAGTGTGGAATGAGTGGAAGTGTGGAATGAGTGTTGTTTCAGCAGAGACTTGAGAGAGCAGTGCGGACTCCCCGCTCACCCCTCACCTCACCCACCCTGTGACCCCAACCACCTCCCTGACAGAACTCAGCCTTACCGGCTTCCTTAAACTAGTCTGGTCACAGATCTGTTTGTGCTGTCTTGACAACTTTTGTTTGGCTTGACCATAGGAGTTGCCAAGACAGCACAAACAGACCTTGAGCAAGGTACTTAACCCTAATTTGCTCCAGGGGCTACTATGGCTGACCCTGTAAAAATCACATTTCACTGCACCTATCCGGTGTATGTGACAATAAAACATCATATTTTTATTTTTATCTGACACCAGGCTAGCTTCCTTCCAGCTCTTATCAGCCGACTATTTTAATCAGTGTTGTGTCAGTGTTATTAGTGCTCAGTAACAGTGGGATGTTTGCGGTGTTAGGGAGGACAGGGAGGACATTATCTGGAGCTGATTAATATTCTGTCTGCTCACTGCTTTGAAATAGATAGTGCTTTAAGGGCTGATGATGATGGAAAATACTGTCAGTTGGTTATCTCTGGTGAGTCAATGCGAGGAAATGCAGACATTCTACGCCTATGGCAACCATTTTCTAGCAACAAAGCTAGTCCGCTGGATTCTATCAGTCATTTACATTTATCACTGATAAGTGATAGGGTCAGACGCATTGAGATTGATACAGCATCTATGGGCAGATAGATTGATTGATTAGTTGAAGATTGATTAGTTGATTATTACACAAAGCAATGTTTTTTTTGGACACGAGGAAGAAACACATCCATTTCCCATTGATGGATGATCAGGTTAAAGATGACAAATATCACATTATGTTCTTATTATGTTGGTCATGTAATAATCTTGTTAGCGCATGGTCTTAGAGTCTGAATGTTCTTATTCTGACTCTAAATTACAAGGAAGAAAGCTGCAGGCACATACCTGAAAAGCAGGGCCCTAGCTAGATAAATGATTTTATTTGAATATTATAGGTTAGGTGAAATGTAGTATCATAGCAATAATGTCAGACTAATTTTTAGTTCATATGATTTCAATGGAACTGGATGTTCTGCGAGTCATTAGAATCACGCTGTAAAACCTCAGAACTGAGAAGTGAACAGTGTTTTGTTTGAAGGCGTTGTAAGGTCAGTGTTTGTGCTCTGCAAGGCTCAGGGCGCTTCCCTTATTGACTCAGCAGCAGCAGCACAGCCTCACATTGTCTGGATTACTCAGCAGTAAGACCCCACAGCCAGGCAGGCCCAGCTGCCATTGGCCTTCTGCTAACCTATATGTTAACTACCATCTACCATGACCTTTAACCTACAGATTATATAATACAGTCATGTCTACTCCCAGACTCACTCTCAAGAAAACAACAACCTGCTTTTCAAGACTGCTTGAAAAACACCTTGTGTTACCAAAGGTTTTTGGAGAGAAACGTCACGTCACCTGAGAATAACACTGAAAAAAAAAAACAGTTTGTCTCGCAGCCTATCCTCCCCTAGGCCCTTACTCAATGCCTTACTAGCTCCCCTAGGATACTCAACTTTTTTTATGAGACTTGTCACTGTCAAGGCTGTCATCATACTCTTTAATTTTTTATATTTTGTGGGTGTTGGCTACAGTTATTTTTCTCTCCTCAACAACAACAGCAATCTGTCTCATAACCAAGGCACTGGTGTCCAGTCCTTATAACAAACAGTGTTATGAAGTATGAAATAAATAACTGATGATATGAGCGCTCTGTCTCTATCCTCTTGGGGATTCACTTTGGGAATGTTTGGGGGTGCTAAGGGGTTGGTTTGCCATGGAGCTGCCTTGATTTGGGGGTTCAGAGTAGACCCAGTTCCTTCCAGCTATTTCTGCAGCTTGTTGATCCCAGCAGTTTGGTTACAGTATCTTTCACTGAGCTTTTTCTGTTTACCTGGCCTGTCCATGGCTCACACTGTCTCAGGAAAGAGACACACAAGACACAAATGAAACACAAATATAGATGTACTGTTGAGATGGATGACTTTTCAAGATGTTTCCTCTGAAATCAATGGCCTCAAGTGAGGGAGGACGTTTCTTAGAACACTTGCGCAAGATATCTTGCAATCCAACCCCAAACAAACCTATATTGTATCTGCACTCTCAGAAGCTTTTCATTTTTCAGATGGTCCATGATGTACTGCCAACAGGCACATTCTATCTAATCAAACTAGAATGTAAAGTTTCGGAAGAAACTTTAGTGTGATTGTTTCATCTATGGGTCTTTTGATGAAATTAGCATGACTGTCATTTCCAATCCCGTCTTTTTGACATTTTAGTCATTTAGCAGACGCTCTTTTCCAGAGCGACTTACAATTAGTGAGTGCATACATTTTTCATACTGGCCCCCCGTCTTGATAGTCTGATCATACTTAATTTCTCTACCAAAACATCAGGAATCCCTTTTGAATGTATGTTTTTATATCTTCTATGTATGATGCTAAATCTATTTCCCTCTGGGACCATAAAGTTGAATTTGAAGGTTCCATAAAGTTATTTTGTGCCTCCAGGTAACAGCACCAGTCAGAACCAGTCTGAGCCAATCCTGGTTGGGGATGAGAAGGGGATCACCCAGAGCCCCATGGTGGAGGAGGACTACCTCAAGATGAACGGCTGGCCCATCTGTAAGGACCAGGATGAGATGCTGAACTTGGCCTTCACTGTGGGCTCTTTCCTCCTCAGTGCCATCACCCTGCCCCTAGGCATTGTCATGGACAAGTATGGCCCCCGCAAGCTCCGGCTGCTCGGCAGGTAAGAGAACAGAGACAAGGTAGTAATGTACAGTTGTGGGCACTATAATTTAAGCTGAGGTGTTGGGGTGATAGTCTCTGTACCCGGGTTTGAGTCCCGGAAGTGGCTATACCCCAAATTCACTATATTGGTGTCAGAAGTGGGATGACAGAATAATTGCCGCAATGCACATGCAAACATGGCGCTCTAAAGTGTTATTGAGATTGTCACAAAAACCTATACCTCGGTACAGCGTTTAATAATTTTTAGTACCCACAACTTCCTGCTGCATATGTTTTTATGTTCTATTTCTGACTTGGCTTGGGTGTGTCTTAGTATGAATAAACCTTCCTCATATTCAACCTGTTCTCTGTTATTTCAGTACCTGCTTTGCCTTCTCCTGTATCCTGATCGCTTATGGATCGAGCGACCCCAAGAGTATGTATATTTCTTTATTCTTTCTTTATTTACTCATGTTCTATTCTAGAATGTATGTCAGTTCCATCCCGTCTGCTTAACACATGTGTTTTCCCTGCACAGATCTGTCCATCCTCATATTCTTTGCTCTGGCACTGAACGGGTTCGGAGGCATGTGCATGACCTTTACTTCTCTCACGGTAAGTGGTGTTTTCTCCTGTACTGCAGGGAGAGGGTGGGGAGGGGAGAGAGGGGAGTGAGCAGAGAGAGGTGGGGATGGGGACAGTGGTGAGGAGGGGGGAGAGCGCTAAGGTGCAGGGTGGAGTAGGGAGACAGGGGAGCAGAGAGAGCAGTGGGGAGAGAGAGGTGGAGAGCGGAGTGGAGAGGGGAGCGAAGAGAGAGGGGTGGGCGGGTGGGACATGTCATAAACCGGATGGAGAAATGGGGAAAGTGCTGCATCACAGGGAGGCCACGTGCAGAGGGAAAAGGAGAGGGATGGAGAGGTAAAGTAAAAAAGAAGGAGGGACAGACCCTGCGCTAGAAATCTATTATTCAACCGTGCTCTGGTCCAACTGAGAGCCAAAAAAAGACACCTCTTCATTACTTATTCATGATCCTGACGAGGGCCCTTTGATTGGGCGGCCCAGACTGCTAGACTAGATGTTCTGATTCATCTTGCCTTAGGTACGGCAGGGTTTCACTGACACAATGGTGTTTACAGATAACGTGATTTCATTGTTTCATTGTTTATCTGCATAGATACAGTTGGTATTACTTTGTTGTCACCCCCCCCCCCCACCGCACTGTATGCTGAGCTGACAAACAGGAAGTATGAAGTCAGTCACACTTAGCGCTGCTGGGGTTCCTTCAACCCCTCCCTGGCAGTTTCCTGCTCCCTGGCCTCCCCACCACCCCCCACTGCAGGGGCTCAGAGGGGCTCTATCTGTCTGTCTGTCTGGCACACTCACACACTACCACGACACCCAGAAGCTGCCCAGCCGGTTTCTTCTGCCCCCCACTTCCACTTCCATACTGTCGTGTTGTTTTAATTTTCTCTGGTTTCATTCATTCCCCACGCAAGAATATCTCAGCCTGTCCTGCTATAGCCGTTTAGTTCCCTCACGTGTGTGTGCGCGTGTGTGTGTGTGTGTGTGTGTGTGTGTGCGTGCGTGTGTGTGTGTGTGCGTGCCAAGGAACTGGCCTTTGGTGTTGTTTCAGCTGTTCTGTTGCAGTAACCTCGCTCTTGTAATTCCTTGCTCTGACTAACAGTGTGTTTTACACTGCTGGTCTGGGTTCATGTTGTTTTGTACAGCCGGACCTTTTTCTTCGAAACTTTCTTCTTCTCCACTCTCCTCCCGGGCGTGGGGGTCAAAGGTTGTCACAGAGGATTGTTTTAGTTTTTTTTATTCAAATGTACCCTTTTTTTTTTTTTTTTCCCACAAAAGCCGAAATGGATACATTCAATCAGTCTGAACTCATTGAGTTTGTCCCCCACAGACAGTTGATATGATATTATGTTAAGGTTTATTCTGAGTTTCAAAGTCATCTGGATTGTAGATTTACACAAAAGGAAAGGTATGCAACACGATACCCCTACTCCATCACCTTTTCTTTCTTTCTATGTGTTCTCTTCTTCCTGGTTCTTCTAATTTGCTGAAAGGGGGTGGTTTGGAAGCTTGCCCCCTCCTTCCCTCCCTCTCACTCCTTCCCTCTCTCTATGATTGCACACTCAGCACTCTGTGTCCCAGGCAGTACAGCTGCAGTAAACAAGTGGAAGAGAACCCAAGGCGGTAGAGGAGAGCTCTTCTACACACCTCTGTTTTCTATCAGTAAACTGCCTAGTCTATCTCTGTCTGGCCGCAGCCCTTCTCCAGTTACCAGCAGCAGGCTGTCTGTCTCTCTCCCTCCCTCCCTCCCTCCCTCCCTCCCTCCCTCCCTCCCTCCCTCCCTCCCTCCCTCCCTCCCTCCCTCCCTCTCTCTTCTCTTTAATAGCTTTGACCTCAATCTCTCCCTCAGTCAGCCATAGTAATAGTAATCACCACTGTGGATATCTCTCCTAACCTTCCTCTATCTATCTCTTTCTCAACCAGACCCCACTCCCCAGCCCCTCTCTCCGCACTCCTCCAACACATGCACACACACGCACATACATATAGACACAGAGCTCCTCCTCTTGTACATTGCGGCACTTGTTATGATTATTCTATTATCTCTGAGTCATGTTTTGCTGTTTTGCATGAAACACTAATCCTTTCTAGGACTTATTCATTGGTCCCAATCCCTCTCTGGGATCTGTGTCACTAGGTCCTTGGGGGGAATTAAGTTAAAAAGAAGATAAACCTAGATGATTATTTACCTCTTCCTGGGACTTGGAAAGAGAACGATGGAGAGGGATAGAGAGATGAATGTCAAAGGTGAAGTGAACTAATGATAGTCTTGTCCCAGATCTGTTTGTGCTAGTCCCAGATCTGTTTGTGCTAGTCCCAGATCTGTTTGTGCTAGTCCCAGATCTGTTTGTGCTAGTCCCAGATCTGTTTGTGCTAGTCCCAGATCTATTTGTGCTAGTCCCAGATCTGTTTGTGCTAGTCCCAGATCTGTTTGTGCTAGTCCCAGATCTGTTTGTGCTAGTCCCAGATCTGTTTGTGCTAGTCCCAGATCTGTTTGTGCTAGTCCCAGATCTGTATTATGTTGTTCTCTTGCCAGGAAAGTACAAACAGATCTGGGACCAGGCTAGACTAATGATAGTTCCTCTCTACTCAGACAGGGTCACCACCACGAACACCGACCCCCCTGCCTGTAAAATGTCCTGCCATCAGATGTTGACTCGCTAACTGGTGCTTGATGACACACTATTAGACTGTGGAGCCACTGATCTCAGGGTCATGTTGATTTCCTTATTAAAGGTCATGGATGGATCGTAGAGGCAGTCAACTGCTGCACATGCTGTTGTTGTTGTTGTTTTCACCGTGCACTAGCTTTAGGTTTAATGTCCAGTAGGGGCGGATAGGGATTCACATCAAGGCCAGCAATGCAAAAAACCAAGTGTTGATGACAGAGAGAGAGTGAGAGAAAGAGCGAGAGACAGAAAGAGGGAGAGAGATAGAGTGGTAGAGTGATGGCACAGAGATGGAGATATTCAGGCTGGTGTTGTCTGCGTGTGATCGTCAGGGACACAGCATGTTGACTCATTTTATGATGGAGGTCTGTCCTGTCAGGATTGGACCGGTTTGTACTTGTTCCCTTTGGCTGCTGAGAACCAGTCCAGTAAGCCCTGACGCTTTTACGCAACAGCAGCCCCTCTTCTCTCTTTCACTTCTCTGTTTCCCCCCTTCTGTCAATTTCCTCCTTGTCTGTTCTCTCCGGCCTTTGTGCCTTAGAGGCTTTTAGTTATTCCACTCTTCCACTCTCCTCTTTTCTCTCCCACTTTTTCCTCCCTCTGTCTCCATCTCCTGCGCTAGAGATAACGATCATTGCTGCCGTCACACAAAAGAATCAGATGAACCCAGATGCAATGGGTTGTTTTCTGGTTAGGGCTTGTTTTTCAAGTAGAACTGTAGTGCACGCATTTGAGACACTCATGCGCCTCTCCTGGTTAGCAACATGTTGATATGGAAAGTGTAGAATGTGTAGTATTGACTTAGATAAGAATAGGATAGGATTGCTTCCTTTATTGGCTTTAGAGGAACACTGCTTACCACAGGCATTCTTTACTGTATGCAAACATCACTCAGCATTTCAGATAGGAATTTTCTCAAGTGATAACTAATAGCACTTAGCCTAGTGAGTGTATGAAAGTGTATTGTAAACGTTTTGTTATCTGCTCAGGGCACAGACACAGCACTGACTGCAGTGTATAGATCCGGAGTTATCAGCCTGTATTGGTTAAAGACTCTGGGATTGCCCATCATGTTGTTGCTCCCCCACAACAACATAGCGACCTTGTTTAGCTTCCAGTACATCCTATAGAGTTAGATGCTACTCATAGTCCAACACTCTACAAACAGACTTTATCTCTTATCTCCATGACTGTTCAGATCCCAAAATGGAGCCATGTAGAGATTGGTAGGTGAATGCAGACAGTCCACCATTTGTATTGACCCTGCCTTTTCTGCCTGGCTCTAGCAGAGCTAACAAAGACGGTCTGTGTCCAAATGGCATCCTATTCCCTATATTGTGCACTACTTTTGACCAGGGCCCATAGGGACTTGGTCAAAAGTAGTACACTATGTAGGAAATAGAGTACCATTTGGGATGCAGACAGAGACAGAAACAGAAACATGAAACAGGAACAGGTAATGTCTCATGTGAACTGATATTGGCCTAGAGAGAAAAGAGTTGGCCAATCATTAACCAGCCCTGGGTTGTTGTTTCTGCCTCTAGACACTGTATTTAGTCATGCCTGATGGAGCAGAATTCAGGAAGTGCTCCGAAATTAGAACAGTGTACGGTGGCCAGGTAGATTAGGAAGACAAACTTATGGCTGCACCGCTATCAGGGCCAGGTTCACTAGGCAAACATTGTTCAACGTTGCAGAGAGAAATGTCATTATTAGTGCTGACGTGATTCCTTATTCTACATCATAAACAGTATTTCTATCTGAATGTTCCACAATGTAGCGCCCCATTGGCTTTTTAACTAGGTGACACAGATCCTGTTTCCCAACCTGAACTTGCCTCTCCTCACAAGCTGTAAATCTACCTCCTTCAGTACAGTGACAGCTGGATACCCTTCTTATTGTGTTATAGTTATAAGACATAATTATGTGGTTTGATTTCTGCACGTGAACGAGATCGAGAAACTTGTTTGTGGCGGTTTGTTTTGGAACCACCACAGTAACTCTCAGTCAAACTGACTTCAGACCACTAAAACTAATGAGGCAACTACAGTAATTGCAGCATTTAGGATGTGAGCTGGTTTGGACCTACAGATGCTGTTGATGTTTTAGGCTCTACCTTCTGTTGACGATTCACTATTTTTCCCTTTCCCCCCATGTCCTTCATTTGATCAAAGGCAGGTGAACTCGTTCCATTACATCCAAACCTGGTAAACAAAAATATTAGCAGAACAGACAGACAAAGGGTGACTGGGATATAGGTTAGTGCTTGTCTGTCTGTCTGTCTGCCTGTCTGTCTGTGACTGACTCAGTGAGGTCATTGTTGTCATGTGATAGTCTGGTGACACACTGACAGTCTGGTGGTGACAGATAGATAGGGGAACTTTGAGGAGAGCAGAGCAATGGAAAGCACATCCCTGACGACACTCAAGCACATTATTCAGCATATTCCGTATGAGTTTACTCCATGGCAATGCCACAGCCAACACTGCTGATTGAAGCTGTGTGAAGTGGAGGTAGGTAGGGTCCTAGGAGATATTGTGGAGAAGTAGCCTTGCATAAGACCAGTGTTTCACTCCTCTGTCTGCCAGCCTGATAACACAGGCATACACACACACACACACACACACACACACACACACACACACACACACACACACACACACACACACACACACACACACACACACACACACACACACACACACACACACACACCTGTTTGTTTTACTATCCTTGTGGGGACCAAACAATTGATTCCCATTCAAAATCCTATTTTCGTTAACCCCTGAACCTAACCCTTACCCTTAACCTAACCCAACCTTAACCCCAAACCCCTAAACCTAACCCTAATTGAAGCCCTAACCCTAAGCCTAAAATACAATTTTTCCTTGTGGAGACTGGCAAAATCTCCCCACTTCTGGTCCCCACAAAAGATAGTAAAACCAAGCACACACACACAAACACACACACACACACACCTGTTCTTGTGTTGCCAAGTAGGCACCAGTGCCTTACTCACTCCTACTGTCATAATAGAGATGTGTGTAGCTCATTTCACTTCTCCAGGAGGACTGGAATGTGATTGTTAGTGTTTTGATTCTACCGTTAACCTTTGTTCCAATTAGTGGTCAAAGGTAATGACGTCTGGGGAGGCCACGGCACGGGGTGAGAGATTTCCTCCATGGCTCTAACAAGCAGGGAACCTGTGGTGAGGGTGGATGGATGGACGGATGGAGAGATTGGTTCTGGGGAGTTCTTGGAGAACTGTGCCCAAGTTCAACAAATATGCCATGAAACATTTATGTTCAGGAGTTGTTGGCTGGTGAATGGCTCAGTCAGTACATTTCTGGTGTGTTTCTATCAGTGGTGTATTTTGATCTCCCTCGTTTCTCTTCTCCGACTCTGTCATGGGAGATTCATTCATGGAGATATGGAGGGCTGCCTTGTCAACCAGACAGATGTTGCTTTCCCCCTTTTGTTTTGTTTTCTTTCTTTCTTTCTTTCTTTCTTTCTTTTTCTTTCTTTCTTTCTTTCTTTCTTTCTTTCTTTCTTTCTTTCTTTCTTTCTTTCTTTCTTTCTTCTTTCTTCTCTCTCTCTCTCTCTCTCTCTATCCCTCCCTCCCTCCCTCCCTCTCTCCCTCTCCCTCCCTCCCTCCCTCCCTCCCTCCCTCCCTCCCTCCCTCCCTCCCTCCTTCTGTTTACAGTTAGGAGTTGAGTTGGGAACAGCCTGTGCTCTAACCTCAAGTAGAGGGCTAAATATGCAAGCTGCTCTGGACTTTCTCTCACTCTGCCATAAATAGTGTGGGGAAAGCATCACCAATAATCCACCCACATTACTCATTCTCTGTCAACAACCTCCAAAAAACATATTTACGATTTCCTAATATGATGTCATGCCTTACATTTGTGGAAAAACAGGGGTTCTCTATGGCTTTGCATGTGTCTTCATACACATGTTTATACACAAGTGAATGCATTGATCTGATTTAAGCGTGGCCTAGTCTTATGTCCTATCTCTTTCTTGTGTTCTCTCCTCAGCTTCCCAATATGTTTGGTGACCTTCGTTCCACCTTGATCGCTCTCATGATTGGATCGTATGCATCCTCCGCTGTCACCTTCCCTGGGATCAAGGTAACTTACACACACACATCTACTTAGCTAGTCTACACATGCGTGCACACCATGCACATCATTATGCATGCACACCATTATGGAGGCTAGCTATCAAGGCTAACTGCTTTCTACTATCAGGGCTACCTATTTGACTCAACTTTCCTATTCCCACATGTCAGTGTGAAGTTCAGACATAGAGGCTGATGTTGTGGTTGTTGGTCCCTGTTTGCTCTCTCATCAGGTGATCTATGACCTAGGAGCCACCTTCATCACCATCCTGCTGGTGTGGGCTGCCTGCGCTGGCCTCGTCTTTATCAACTGCTTCTTCAACTGGCCCCTGGAGCCCTTCCCTGGACCTGAGGATATGGACTACACGTAAGACACTCCTAAACATCACACTCCTTAACATAAAATGAGTTCGCTTTTCTCGTTTTTATTAGTTTTACAGCATATTTCCATTCCTTGTAACCTAAACATCGCAGACATCCCCTTAACCTAATATTAGTTTAGTATTACTAGTATTTTCTCCTTATATCATTAGTTATATCTTTAGTTATAACCTAAAAGACATACAGTTCCTAATATTAGCCAACAATAACAGGTTTAGGGGATAATACTAGGACTTGAGGTTCATCTACTTAAACTGGAGTAGGAATATTAAGTCTCCTCAGTACACTACATCCCCCAGCACACATTCCTCTGCAGCATGGCGAAGGCTTGAGGCCCTGGAAAAAAGGAAAGCTAATGAGATGAGGAGCTCAACTGGCTTTGCTCTCATTCACCTGGATTTAGTCTCATCCTTTGCTCAGTTTTTCCTCCTCCCCCGCTCCCTTTCTCCCTCTCGCTCCCTCTCTCTCTTTCTCTCTCTCTCTGTCTCTCTCCCTATCTCCATCTCTCCCTCAGTGTGAAGATCAAGTTCAGCTGGCTGGGCTTTGACCATAAGATCACTGGAAAGCAGTTCTACCGCCAGGTGACCACGGTGGGGAGACGACTCAGCGTGGGGAACAGCATGAAGCAAAACCCCAAGGATCTGGCCCAACAGGAGGGCAACAAGCTGTGTCTCTCCACCGTTGACCTGGAGGTCCAGTGCAAGTCCCAGGAGGAATGTAAGTGTCTGGCCAGGCCACATCTGTTCATCCCAGACCAGAGAACATGACTCGGCTCTCTGCTTTTGATGTCTTTCAGATGGAGAGTAGGAAAATAAATAATGACTGTGCATTTTCTGTGCACACTGTGAGTGTGATGGGGTTCATTCTCGAAATGGATTTGCCATAATGGTTTTCAAGCTCTGTACCTCCCCAAATCCATACTCCATGAGGCCATAAGCCAATTTAACAGTTTCATTGTTATACCATTTTGAATAATTTGGACACAACAAAGGACATGTCTGCCAGAAACCTGTCTGATGTTAAAAGACCCACAAAAACTGTACAACCACTTCACCAACACAATATCCTGCTTCAGCCATGGTGTAGAATTTAGATAGGAGCAGACTGACAGAGAAAAATAGATCCAACACAACAATACAATGGATCATTGTAGCCCTGCTTTATGGGTAAACAGAGGTAAACAGTCGACCATATGCTAGATCTGGGCCTGTATCTTGTACTGATCTAGGATCAGGTCCCCTCTTTTTATTTATTATGATATAATATGCTAAACTGATCCTAGATCAGCACAAGATACAGGCCCAGATCTAGCATATGGTCGACTGTTTACCTCTATGATGGATTGCTATTCCATAAAGCGGATTGCTATTCCATACTCTACAACTCTTTGTAAATACGGGCTCTGACTGCATCAGTGCAATGTTGATGTTTCAGAATGGGCTCACCACCAGCCAGTATTTTGGTCCCAGCCGCCAGCTTGTCTGAGGGAGTGCTGTCATTGGCTCTGAGGTCACCAAGGCCATCCTCCCTCTCCCAAATGAAATCCTGCAAACGCACAACTGGCTGTGCACTTTGCATTCACTAACCCAGATCTGTACACTGCAATTAGCCACAAACCTCCAAAACACACTTAAATCAGCCACGTGCCCCCTCCTCGCCTCCGCTGTGCCCCCTCCGCGCCCCCTCTCCCCCTCAGGCACGACCTGAGGGTCACAAACTCCCAGCGGGGCGCCATGTGGTTCTCTGCAGGCTCTCTTTGGTACCAAACGGACCGTGCAATCGATTCGGACCGCATTCCAAGAAGTGCTGCTCGGATTGGCGGTGGTGGGGCCGGGCCAGAGGGGCCAGAGGGCAGATAGCAGTCAGTAAGGTCCTGGGGGGGTCATTATACACACAGGATGGATGCCCGCGGTTCTGTAACCCTGCTGGACAAGTTCCACGTATCAGGAGGTTATCAAGGGGCCTCTCTCTCTCTCCCCCTCTCTCTCCCTCTCTCTCCCTCTCTCTCTCTGTCTCTCTCTCTCTCGCTCCCTGTTTGCCCACTCATCATTCTGATGCATGTGAAGGTGGTAATTTATTTGGTTGTTAGGAGTTTTTTCCCTTTCAAAGGAGACTCACTCAAAAATACTTTATCCCTCTGGGGATGGTGCCTGGGACCTCTTTTGTGGACCAGTTCTTATATCAACTAACCCATTAAGAGACTGTTTTGTGTTTAAGTAAACACTGGTCATGACGACTGTTGCCAGTGTAGGCTAGGTATTTTGAAAATGATCACGGTGTGTCCTTACAAGTGTGGTCACATAGTGTGCTAGTCAAGAATGTAAACCCAAGGTAGGAGTGCTGATCTAGGATCAGATCCCCCCCTCTTATTCATTATGATCTGCAAGACAAAACTGATCCCAGACCCTACTCTGAGACGCTTTGTGAATAATATTCTAACACATATTATGGGTCCAGGACAGAGGGGAGACCCAGTGTTATAGATGGAGACAGACTGTTAGAACCACCTGCTCTCATGTACCAGCCTCTAAGCCCCTTGTCCAGCCAGTATGTCAACTATGGGTCCAGTCTCCAGAGCATTGGACAGATACCTGCAGCACTGGGTAATAAATGCTGGACACATCTGTGGCGTGACCATTAAGACATTTCCACTGCCCTGCCGCAGCTTTTACAGCTTTGAGATCAGTAGATGATTAACGGACCATGGCCCCAGTCCCCTTGCTTACAGCACAGACCCCCACATGTTACCTTGCCATCCAGGGACCCATGGACTATTTAGACTTCGAGTTTCCCTATTTCCCTACCTCCATGTTGTTTCTGAGGTGAAGCAGCTTGCCCTGGTAGTTTTCCATCACAGCATGTTGAGGAAATGAAAGAAGGCCTATCCTGTACAGTATACACAGTAAAACCTCACTGCAATCTGATAAAAAATATGAAAATCCTGTGTATTATCCTCCAATAATAAATTGAGTTAGCCAAATAGCTAGCATTCTGAGATTTAATGCAGCATCACTGTTTAACCTTCAGTTTTACTGGAGTGAATGGTAAGGTACTGTGTTCTGTTGTTGTTAATCTGTCTCTCCTCCTGTGTCTCCACAGCCCAGTCCTTCATGAAGAGTGTCTTAAGCCCTATCTTCATGCTCAGCCTGATCACCATGTGTGTCACCCAGCTGAGACTTATCTTCTACATGGGAGCCATGAACAACATCCTCGAGTCGCTGTCCGAAAGAGACTTCAGCACAGGTGTGTGTGCGTGCGTGTGTCTTGAAAATGTGTCTTGAACATGGGCATGAAAAGCTATCAATCCCTTGTAGTGTTGATATAGTAGTTTACTTTACAACTAGTCACAGAATTGCTGATTTGTCATTCAAATCTTGTAACCTCCTTTGTAATCTCTCCAACCTGGAGTTGTTTCACACTGCCCTTATTTCAGTCTCTGAATTGCTTCGGCTAATTCTTCTTGCTCTGTCTCTCTTCCTCTTCCTCTTCCTGTCACACTGACTTCTTACTGCCTCTGCAGATGAGAAGATGGAAGTAGGTAAGACTTCAGGCTAGATTAGATGAGCATAGAGCATCTATTCCCCTCTCTGCCTCTGACATTGATTCACTTTGACTTAAGACTCTGGCTTACCTCATGAATCATAACCTAAACTGCAACCCTGTCCATTTTGCTGTAAACACCATGCTATTTTGATGGAGTGTAAGCTTTGGAGGCAATAGTCCTGGGAAATAACATGTCTCTGTCTCTCCTGCCATTCACAGTAAGTGTGTACACCTCCATTTTCGGAGTGCTGCAGCTGCTGTGTCTGATGACCGCTCCAGTGATCGGGTACATCATGGACTGGAAACTCAAAGAGTGTGAGGATGAGAACACGAAGCCGGGCACAAGGTGAGTTTCACATGCATGAACGCACCCAAGCTCACACACACTCACTCATGCGCATGCGCATGCACACACACATACAAACTCCAAAAGAGAATTCCCCTGCATCCCAGATACTCCCGTAGCATCCACAATACATTTCTATTTTATCTGTATAACCAGAGAGTATGTGTGTAACATATGATGTCCCCTCTGATAGAGACCTTACCCAGCCCAAGCGTCGTGACAGACAGATCCAGAAGATCATCAACGCCACGCGGGCCTTCATCTTCACCAACCTGCTACTGATGGGCTTCGGGGTCACCTGCCTCGTCCCCAGCCTCCCTCTCCAGGTAACTCATCTCTCCATCTCTCCTCCATCTCTCGCTCTCTTTCCTCTCCTCTAGGAGCTTTGGAGAAGCAAACATTTCACTGCGTGTATCCCAGTGTTTTGTAAAGCCCTCCTAGAGGCAAAGGGAGAGAAAGAGGGCGAGGGATTCACATGTTATTGCAGCTGATCCATTGTTTAATTCAACAGTGTCCCCTGGTGGACAGACGTGTCATTACAAGTTATGCAAGTTATTTGCAACCCAGTTTTGGGAACATCTCTGTCAAGCCATTATTTATTAAACATGGACTCCATTTTAGGATGAAGGAACACGGCACTATGCGTGCCCTGGGCCCACCATGCGTGCCCTGGGCCTGTAGATTCTACAACACATCATGTTGAACTATTTGTTTTTCTCCTTTCTTCTCTGCTCTCAGATTCTATCGTTTATTCTACACACCATTGTGAGAGGATTCATCCACTCTGCGGTTGGAGGGCTGTATGCTGCTGTGTAAGTGTCTCAGGAGTGTGTGTGTGTGTGTGTGTGTGCACCGTCCCCTCCACACAACCACCTCATGCTGGTTGTCCTCCTTAGGTACCCGTCGTCTCAGTTTGGCAGTCTGACAGGCATGCAGTCCCTCATCAGCGCCCTGTTCGCCCTGCTGCAGCAGCCCCTCTTCATGGCCATGATGGGCCCCCTGAAGGGAGACCCCCTATGGGTAAGAGAGCAACGCCCTTTCACCCTTTCCAGAGTTTACACAAACTACAGCACACCTATTGCTCAGTAATGCTGAAGACTCACGTATTGCTAATGTGCTATAAGCATAATGCTGCAAAGGCTACTGTATTCGAGTGACGTGTAGCAGCCATCTTGTTCTAAAGTAATCTGCCCACATAGCACACACTACTGTCCCGATATGAAAACAACAGAGCCGTTCCCTCCCTTCTTCTGACTGATGATGTCACTTCCTGTGTGTTGTTGTGTGCAGGTTAACGTGGGTCTGCTGGGGTTGACGGTGCTGGGCTTCTGCCTGCCTCTCTACCTGCTCTGCTACAGCCGCCAGCTCCAACGCAAGAAGCAGGAGCGCGAGGAGGACCCCAAGATCTACGTCCAGATTGACAACGGCAGCAAGCCCGAGGCCTTCGTCTAGAGAGACAGACTGACGGACTGAGATTTTTTTCAACAAAGAGAAGGAGGAATGGAGAGTGTGAGGAGGGGAGAGGTCACAGGTGTGACTGAACTGTATGATGAATCGCAACCCCACCCACCAACTCCGATCCCTCAAACCGTCTGCACTTGCACTCAGACGATACGCTCTCTCTCACACACACACACACACACATACCACCATGCCCACTGCCAAACACACTCAGTCAAACCTACAGTATTTGATCACAAATCTCAGAGAACTACAATGATAAACACACACTTTTACACTGCCCAACACATCGACTACGTACACTGTGAAAGACACGCAACAACACACACGTTGTGAAATCTCTTCAACACACACATACACGGTTCCTTTTCCAGTGACACACCACAAAATGGACATTGTTCTTCTTCTCACCACTGAAATGAGAAAGGACAACCGCGGGTCTGTGAGCTGCAGAGAGAAGAAGAGAAGAAGAGGGAGGAGGATCTCCACGACTTTCTCCTCCCTTCCAGTCTCCTCTTTGTTTCATTTCTCTGTTGTTTTTTTATTTCATTTTTGTCAATAATGCCATGCTTACTCTTGCCTGAAAAAGAGGACATTGGTTCTCCGGTCGCCCTGCAAAAAGAACCAGAGAGGAAGCAAGCGTTCAACGCCATGTCGAAGACCTCCTGTGCTGGATGTGGTGACTTGAACCAGATAAAAAGATGACGTCCTCCTCACAATTATAATACTTCACCACCAGTGTTTTTACATGTGTTTTCAATGATACCAGTAACGACGACGAGTATCGCCTCACTTTCTAATTCTGATCCAAGTTAGTCTCGTACTGCACTGGGGGTCTTCTACTTCACACTCTGAGAACTGGTTTTATGATTAGGACATTATTGGAACGTTATTGAAACTTTGTTGGCAATAGGTCTGTATTTTTCTCTGTGGTTGTTACATGTCAATGCCTCTCTATCGTCACAAGTGGTTTGGACTGGAGGTAGAAGCGAGACAGGTTATATAGAAGTTTCAGTACTCCAAATGGTGCGAAGAGTTCATACCGCCATAATGTTCCCATTAGGCTCTGTAATGTTGCCGTCACGTTCTGTAACGTACCCATAACGTTCTATAATGTTGCTTTAATGTTGGGGATAGTCATCATTGTAAATGAATTGGTAAGAATGGAACCTCATCCAACCTTCAGAAGCTAGCGAGTGTTCCTTCCGGTGTCTCAAAGACCAAACCTTGTGACTCAGTCTTCTAGTTTTGTTGTTGAAGACAACAGAAGCGTGGAGGGTTAAAGCTACAGAGAAGCTGTCCTTTTAAGACTGTTCAAACAGCTCTAGGGAGACTAGAAAGCGAAGGCTTGTTTTTTGTAACACTCAGAGTTGTAGGTAAAAGCCTGAGGTTATAGCTTTGCTTTGAGCCCTTTTGAGATGAGAGTAAGTGATTAGGCCAATGGGTTTCCAGTGTTCAGTGTGCAGGCCAGTGTTTTACTTCTAGGGAATACTATGTGGATGTGCTAGTGGCTGTGCTTCAAACAAAGCATGGCACAGGTTGAAACACACCTCTTACCAGTAATAATGTGCCACAACAACATAGGGTACAGCACAGCTACACTCTTAGAAAAAAGGGTTCCTAAAGGGTACTTCGGCTGTCCCCATGAGATAACCCTTTTTGGTTCCAGGTAGAATCCTTTTTGGTTCCAGGTAGAACCCTTTTGGACATCCGAATAACCCTTTTAGGTTCTAGATAACACGTTTATTTTCTAAGAGTGTAGGCTAGGTTATCAAGCACCAATGCATGGTCCTATATCACCCTCACTGGATACACTGGCAGTACCACCGACTGGTCTTGTCTTGGCAGTCTGTTTTGTAGTGCAAAATGAATTTCTTATTGACTTTGTGTGTTTTCTTTTTGTTTGTGATGACCAGATGTTTTTGTGTCAGGAGATCTGGTTTTCAAAAAGTAATAGTTTTATCAACTGTATTTTACCTGCAATATGATACTGACATACCATTCAAGCTTTTGTTCTGATTCAAGACAAATGTGATTTAGTACAAATGGTTTTATGATAAATGGTTTTAGATAGATAGGAGATGTGTAGCTTAAGGTGAACTGTGGGCCTATACCTGGCACTGTTCTACATTACCTGAATTACATTGATGAATTTCAATTCTGATTCGCTATAGCAATAAGTACTTATGTGAGTTGCTGAGCAATCCTCTACTCTTCCCGGCAACACATAACCCTATGAACAAACACCGTTGTCCAACCGCACACATACACACACACAATGCAAGAAGGTGGATTGATATAATGTCATGTTTATTACAAAGGTGCTTCAAAATGACAGGAACATAGACTCATGTTTTTCTTGATGTACTGGTCAGGTAGTGACCAACTAGTTCCTGTATCTATCTATGGTCTCACTTACAAAGCCTCACTTTGTAGCAACAAATTACTTGAATTATTGAATTCCAACTTAAACTTTGATTGACTTTTCGAATCAAAAAGGGAGACAGAGAGATGCTTGAATATGATATCTGTTTCAAAATCCACATTCTTGCAGCTGTTGTGAATGGTGTGATCGTGGGACCCAGGTGGCGGGCAGGCAGGTCATGATAGGACTTTATGTTCTTGAATTATCTATCACTGGTAACATACACTGGAGAGAGAGTGTGAGACCTTGATTTATGTAGCTCTATGTCCGCAGATACAGTATTTAGACTGGACAGGATGTCTGCTTTTGCTCAGTCACTCACAGAAGCACTTCCAAAGACAGCCATGTAACTAGCAGATTGCCTCTCTATGTGCAGATGATTTGAGATGTGGATACGGCAAGTTGGTGCCCCACCCTCTCACATCATGACCCCTCACATTGATCCAACCATGTCCAATCCACTGTCCTGAACTGTTGCACTGACAGACCTGTTTCTCTACTGCAGTCTCACACAAACACAACCACCCACCCAAGAGATCTTTCACATACTGGTGATGGAACTGAGAGACAATGCTAGAATCTCCAAAAGCTTCATCAATTAAATAAGTGAGAACTGAATGGCACGTATGCACCTTAGTCCTCGTATCAGGATCTCAATGCTATTATTCTGAATGGCCTGCACTGAAATATAACATAGACAGTGCACCGCTTGCTGGTTCTGCATGTTAGCATAGAATGTATTCCCAGTAGTTTTTTTTATTCATAGAGAAATGACATCGGAACTGCAAGAAACTTGTTATTTCTGTTACTTACCACGGGTGGTCTTAGTCGTTCCTCTTGTATGGTCCCTGTCCCTCAATATAGAACGTCTCCTTGCTACTGACTGCTCTTTGGGCCTGTCTGTTTGGGTCTCTCGGTTTCAAGGATCTACACACACACACACACACACACACACACACACACACATACACACACTGATAGAGAAACAGGTCTTGGCATCCTCAACATCCTTACTTTGAACATCACTCTAATTGTTGTTTACATGAATTTATTTTCCGAAAAGAGAAAAAGCATGCATGTATAACCCTGTATAGACTGGTTCTCGTTGCTTGAACATATGACTAGAACTTGCAGGTGGATTCTGATAATGATGCTATACTGTACTCCAGCACAATGAATGTGGGATTGGGATGATCTTCATTCCCTCAGTATGGGAGAATCAGCACTTTTTACACTGCCATACCTTAAACTGTCATTCTACTCAAAATGCCATCACCGTAGTTATTTTCTAGATGTGATATACTTTTACTACTTTCCCCTTCCCTGAGATTTAAAGTGTGATTTATTGACTGGATATTCTCTTATGACGAAAAAGGAGCAATGCTTTTTGGATATCACTTTTTAATGATTGTGTGTCACTTTTAGACATTGAGGGGGAACTTCAGCTGAAACACCAATGCTTTTCCCTGACTTGTACCTAATGTTTTTACTGAAATGTTTATTTTATTGTTTTACATTCTCAATTTTTGGCGTTTGTTTCAATTTGTATTTGATGTCTATATGTTGTATATTGGATCTCAGTTTTTGTTTTTGTCTTATATCACATTATAGCCATTGTTGTTGACATTTTGAGTCATTTTCTAAATGAGAGAAAAAAATCTATATATGAAAAGATTTACATAAACAGATTAATTTGTAAAACAAAGTGTCCGTTTGTAATTATTTGACCTTGTTTGACATTTTTCCATGTTTCCTCAAAGTATGGTGGATTGTCAATCACTCTTAATGCAAAATGTGTTAAATAACCTATATTGTGAATGACATATCCTATGACATCTGTATGCAATATAATGGACAGAAGAAAGCATGGAAGGTCTGCTTTAAGTGGAGGAAGCCTGCAGATGCCGCCTTGCTACTGCTGTCATTCCTGAATCCAACCACCCTAGGGGGAATTCCATTTCTCAGGGTTAGGCTATTGTAGGTTTCATATTAGCCACATTTTTGCAGTCAGGAGGAGTGACATTAATCATGTCTGTAATGGCTGGCAACTTTCCAAAAAGAAAAATGGCCTTTACTGATAAAGGAGGTGTTTCATTATAAAGTAATGCTGTTTTAAGAGTCTTGAGTCTCCACCAGAGAACAGGCTTTTACAGTTTACTACTACACCAGAACTCAGCTTCCCAATTCAAACTATTTTGTATTGGGTGTCGTTAACACACCAATTAAGAGAGTTGGAGTGAAGTGATACCTAAAAAAGAACAACATGATTCCAAAAAAACATTTAGGCATTTTAGATGATTGCTTGATCACTGAGGATTAATTGCTGTGGGGTAATTAAAGTAAACATTAACATTCAAGTGAAAAGCATAATACTGTAACATTGTATGTTTTGAACTCTCACCTAAAATCATAATGGTAATGGGAGTGTTTCACACATGTACAGCAGTGGAGGCTGGTGGGAGGAGCTATAGGAGGACAGGCTCATTGTAATTGTTGTAATGGAATTTATGGAATGGAGTCAAACGTGGTTTCCAAATGTTTGATGTGTTTGATGCCGTTCCATTAATACCATTCCAGCCATTACAATGAGCCCGTCCTCCTATAGCTCCTCCCACCAGCCTCCTCTGATATACAGTGAGGTGAAGTCAGCATAGGTGGTTGACAATAGTAGCATCCACAATTTCATGTTGCTCCTGACCTGACCTTGATAGCAGAATAAGGTAGGTCTGGAATGGATGGATTATTTGTGTTGCTCTACTCTTGCTCAAACTTATTGAAGGCTGAGCCACTGGTTTGACTTGCTGGGGTTGCTACTAACCTGTTCCAACAGACCAACACAAGAAAACACAGGGTGTTACTGGGTTCAGCTGGCCTCCACCAACTGTCACAGCCAAGAAGCCTGAATGAGGAGTGAAACCAGGAGGACTGGAATAACAGTGAAACTGAACCACTGTGACAGGTGAAACAACTTACAAACCAATGCACTTCACTTAAAAAAACCACAACATTTGACCTAGGTAGATTTCAATTGAAGAGCCTACAGTTTTCCATAAGTAGACTATTTACATGTGGTCCAGGCCAGGCATAAGAAAAAAGAACCTAACTTGTCATTAGAAATAAGAATTTGCATGTGGTTAAATAACATATTGGTTTTCATGTGTGATCAGCGCAAACAATGGACAATAAATAGCGTGTCTGTTTCAGGTCTGTATGTTTTGTTTAGAATAAGGATGGTTACTGGGTTACTGACTGGAGGTGTGGTCGCCACCAGGACGCCGCGCCCCTTTCGGCGTCTGTCAGGAAGTGAATTCAAGAAAAATAGGAGCGCAAAACCGCGGAGACAGTGGGGCGCAGACGGACAAACATACAGCTGCCGATTTGGAGTTTTTACCAGTAAAGTAGACATCTGAATGCTGCATATACACGGACAACACTGCCAAAATGCTCATTAAAGAATTGTAAGTAAAAATGTTTGGAAAGATATGCTGTTTAGTTAACTTGTTACGCAGGAGAACGATGGATTCGTTGTCATACACAGGCAAACATTGGCAAAATGTATTGCGTGACAATTCTCTTCTATTCGTTTATAGTATTTTTTTTCTGTTAGTCTAGTATAGTCTACTTACCATTTGGGAATTCGAAAAACACCTGTGCAAGTTGGTATTATCTGTGTTTTATCATTGCGTAAAATGTAAAGTTTGTCAGTGGAGAGGCTATTGACTGTGTCCTCACTGTATGGACTGTATGGATGGACTCATTGAATGAATTCATCAAGTAAAATAATCATTAACATTGGCCAAAATGGAAATGTATTGTCAGTCAAAATTATTTAATTATCTTAACTGACAAAGTGCCACTGTAACATTGTAACCATAACTTGAATTCTAATCATCCCATGCATCATCAGGCCTACTAAAACACATAAAAGGGCGTGCCTTTATCTAAAACTAATCCAAAGTATAAACTTGCATGACATGTCATCTAACTCATTGGTTACTAGAGCCAACAACTGCCATTTCAACATGACAGCCAGATGCCCCAAACCTGCCTGTATCAATACTGTATAGTTAGTACGGTGCCTGTCTGGGCTCCCATTACACCTTGATCTGTTATACTGAAATATTCAGGGGTGCATAGACTGGGAACAGGTGGTGATTATTGCCTATTGTAGACTGACAGAGAACATGGCCAAACCTAATTGTTTTCTGACAATAGACATCTACACCGGGCTTCAATTTCTTCCATGACAATATTACAGCTAGCATCAGTAGCACGTTCAGGCTTGCAATGTTCATAGTTGGTAGGTAGAGCTGGGTAGGTATTGGCTACTTATCGTAATGAACGAAATAAGCAAAATGCCTGCGGTAAGTGATCGGTATCGATAATTTAGGCTAAACGTGTTTTGATTAGCCTACTCTTAGCAGTTGCTATCAGAGAATTGTCAGTCAAACTAATAAATCGAGTGACAAATTAGATGAGCAATAACATTAGTCATGAGCTGCAGGTGTACAGTGGGGAGAACAAGTATTTGATACACTGCCGATTTTGCAGGTTTTCTTACTTACAAAGCATGTAGAGGTCTGTAATTTGTATCATAGGTACACTTCAACTGTGAGAGACGGAATCTGAAACAAAACTCCAGAAAATCACATTGTATGATTTTTAAGTAATTAATTTGCATTTTATTGCATGACATAAGTATTTGATACATCAGAAAAGCAGAACTTAATATTTGGTACAGAAACCTTTGTTTGCAATTAGAGATCATACGTTTCCTGTAGGTCTTGACCAGGTTTGCACACACTGCAGCAGGGATTTTGGCCCACACCTCCATACAGACCTTCTCCAGATCCTTCAGGTTTCGGGGCTGTCGCTGGGCAATACGGACTTTCAGCTCCCTCCAAAGATTTTCTATTGGGTTCAGGTCTGGAGACTGGCTAGGCCACTCCAGGACCTTGAGATGCTTCTTACGGAGCCACTCCTTAGTTGCCCTGGCTGTGTGTTTCGGGTCGTTGTCATGCTGGAAGACCCAGCCACGACCCATCTTCAATGCTCTTACTGAGGGAAGGAGGTTGTTGGCCAAGATCTCGCGATACATGGCCCCATCCATCCTCCCCTCAATACGGCGCAGTCGTCCTGTCCCCTTTGCAGAAAAGCATCCCCAAAGAATGATGTTTCCACCTCCATGCTTCACGGTTGGGATGGTGTTCTTGGGGTTGTACTCATCCTTCTTCTTCCTCCAAACACGGCGAGTGAAGTTTAGACCAAAAAGCTATATTTTTGTCTCATCAGACCACATTACCTTCTCCCATTCCTCCTCTGGATCATCCAGATGGTCATTGGCAAACTTCAGACGGGCCTGGACATGCGCTGGCTTGAGCAGGGGGACCTTGCGTGTGCTGCAGGATTTTAATCCATGACGGCGTAGTGTGTTACTAATGGTTTTCTTTGATACTGTGGTCCCAGCTCTCTTCAGGTCATTGACCAGGTCCTGCCGTGTAGTTCTGGGCTGATCCCTCACCTTCCTCATGATCGTTGATGCCCCACGAGGTGAGATCTTGCGTGGAGCCCCAGACCGAGGGTGACCGTCATCTTGAACTTCTTCAATTTTCTAATTATTGCGCCAACAGTTGTTGCCTTCTCACCAAGCTGCTTGCCTATTGTCCTGTAGCCCATCCCAGCCTTGTGCAGGTCTACAATTTTATCCCTGATGTCCTTACACAGCTCTCTGGTCTTGGCCATTGTGGAGAGGTTGGAGTCTGTTTGATTGAGTGTGTGGACAGGTGTCTTTTATACAGGTAACGAGTTCAAACATGTGCAGTTAATACAGGTAATGAGTGGAGAAAAAAAAACTAACAGGTCTGTGAGAGCCGGAATTCTTACTGGTTGGTAGGTGATCAAATACTTATGTCATGCAATAAAATGCTAATTAATTACTTAAAAATAATACAATGTGATTTTCTGGATTTTTGTTTTAGATTACATCTCTCACAGTTGAAGTGTACCTATGATAAAAATTACAGACCTCTACATGCTTTGTGAGTAGGAAAATCTGCAAAATCGGCGGTGTATCAAATACTTGTTCTCCTCACTGTAGTTGGTGTTTAAATGTGTTGTAATTTGATGTTGCTCTCTCTCTCTCTCTCTTCTAGTCGAGTCATCCTCCCCATATCTGTGGAAGAAGTAAGTAGTGACTGAGTCATTTCTATGTGTTTTAAACTCTTGCTTCATGTCACAAATCAAGCTGATTAAGCTACATTCTCGTTTTCTGATGCAACGGTTCAAATTGAGCTCAACCATTACCTAGCCCCATGAACGTGCCGTAGACACCAGCGGAACATTCATGGGGCTAACCCATTACCTAGCATGCCTATGCTCTTGAGGAATCAGGGCAGTCTGTATGTCAAGCAGTTAGTCTCCATTGTGTTCCTCTAACCTTGAAGTTCCTGTTTGTACACACCTTTTTATGATAGCGTGTGGTGTGTGTGTGCGCAGGCGGTTGGCATGGTTTTCATTATGTTCACATTTGCAGCATATTAGTTGCAGTGGTTAGCCAGCTACATACAGTCAGGTCAGACATTGTCAGAAAGTATTAGCCATGTTAATTAAAAAAGAGCACCTTATTCCGACTGAAGCTTTGCAGTTTAAGTCATTAGTTGTGGGTCGTTCCATGTCATTTCAGCAAGCCATGACACCCATCTCAGATTGTTCTGAAATCATTTCTGTAATTAGAAACAGATAAGATTAGCATTCCTGCAACATTATTTTGTTGAAATATAATTTGATCTCTGAGAAATGTAGCTAATTGATTGCACCCAAATTGGCCAATTTAATTTATAGGATTCAAGAAATGGTCAACAGCCACCCACAGATCCCCCAAACCAATCCCAACCCAGTATCCGTTCTCAATGTCTGACAAGTAGTATGGAGCTGCGGCTCTGAGTATTGTTTCTTCATCCTATGTAATGTATTCTCAGTGAATTTGGTGATATTTTTTCCCCCTGTTCAGAGAAATTAGTAATTTAAGTTGTTAGGTTTATGTCCCATCCTACATCCTGATATTACCAAGTTCTGACCACTAGATGGTGCTGTGCCTGCTATTAGGTGAAAAAAGTTTGAAGAACTTGTTAAAGAGAGAGTTCACCCAAATTACAAAATGGCATGGGTTTCCTTACCCTGTAACCAGTTTATTGACAAGGTATGACAGCAAGGAATGCTAATCTTTAGTGCTGAGCAATTAACCAAAATGTTGGTTATTTTTTGTTTTTTAAACAACTAATTGACTGACGTCGGTTCAATTATTTGAATTCCATTTCATTCTGTTTTTTTCCCTGTGAGCTCAATGCACACATTGCGCTGCAGTTTCTCTAGAGATAAATCAGATCATGCCCGAACTGTGCAATGTAATAGGGAGTTGTAGTTTCCAAAGGCCAATGTTCTACAGAAAACGTGGTAATTAACTACAATGACCATAATCCATTGCACGGCTACTTACTGTTTATTTTACGACAGAAGAATGTGCAATCGAGGGGATACATGGAGAGCAGTTTCATCGCGAGGTATCTCTACCTGAAAATACATGATATAAGTGGTTGATAGTTGGTATTCAGCAGTCATAAAAGTATGCCTTATTTACTTTGAAGAACTACTAAAATAGTGATTTTGTCATGAGATGATATGTTGGAATGAAATAATAAAGTAATCAAATAAAACAAATGTAATATACACAACTGAAATAATTTATTAAAGTAATGTGAATAACTGATGGTTAATAAGTGATAAGCAGTCATGGGCAGTTGTAAATGAGAACTTGTTCTCAACTGGCTTACCTGGTTAAATAAAGGTGAAATAAAAAAATAGTTTTATTCTGTGTTACAGCATTCAACACTGGAGAGTGCATAAAAAATAAAAAAAATATCGAAGCAGAAATCGAAAATCATGATTTTTTGTAGAATCTAAACGAAACCGAACTGACCTCAAAGAGCACTAATTGCTCAGCACTACTAATCTTATCTGTTTCTAGCAACACAAACGATTTCAGAACAATCTGAGATGGTGGGTGTCGACATCCTATTTCTTGTGCTTTTTGAGGTGGAATGACCCTTGTATGTTCCGACCAGATTTCATTTCATCAGACATAATCTTGCATTCCATCTTGGCAACCAAATTTATCAGCAACAGTGCTGGTTCCTCCGTTCTCTCTCCTTCCTTCTCAGTCTCCCTCTCTTTCTCCATTTGTTCGCAGAGTTATAGTCACCAGCATCATCCCCCCCCCCCCCCCCTCTCTCTTTTTTAAAAAGCTGACTTTAATCCGTCTCAATTGTTTTCCCCCAAATAAGATCACGTATCAAGGATCATAACCCTATATTCCATTCATAACCTTACATAAGGGTGATTCCTCATGAAATTAGAACAAACCATGTTTTGGGGGATTTTCACAATTTTATCCATAGAAGGGTCCTTTTGGAGGAAGGATTGTTGACATTTATATCTTATTGCATAATTAATTGTTGGAAGATTTGTGACCAAGGCCTCCTTTAATTCTCCATAATGTTTCATCTACAAAACAAAAGTTGGTGTCATATGAAGCTTTACCGCTTGCTCTTTATTATGAGTAGTACTTTTATTTAAATATCACATTTCTTATATAAATGTATGAATATAGAAAAATATAAACATGAATATTGAAAATATACCATTTAGGATTTGGCAAATGTTTCTATATATTGTTTAACATAATATACTATACATGCATATCAAAGTTCCAGAGTGGGATCTCTGCTACTTTTACTTACAGTATAAAAATGGATTCAAAATGGTTGCCCTATGCTAGTGATTTGCAGGATGTGCAATGATATAAGTAAAAGGAGGGCTTGGATTGGTTAAATTGCCTACTATGCCAATTTCTCTGTATGAAGTGGGCCATAACTTTAAAACTTCCTCAGCCAGCCTTCGTCGGCCAGCCTAAGGAAGATAGCAAGATGAGTCACACACACTTAGGGAGATGATAGGTGAAACACTGGTTTTACACATGTTGTCACATTCCTAATCACCCACTCGCACATGAGATGGAGCCACCAAAATACCTATTTGGTAGAGGATGTGATTTTACCCCCTCTTCCTCCAAACAGAGCTGTTTCACCTGTTAAAAGCATCTAATTTTGGGATGACGTATCAAATCAGCCCGGTACGAACTAACAACCATACACACTGCACTTAAAACGGCACCACTGGCGCACTAATGCCCTGTAATTGGAGGGCTAATCTGTGATTTTAAATGTCAATTGGTTGTTGGTTGCTGAGTAGTGTCTGTGCAGCAAGCGAGTCACCAGTTCCCTGTGAGTCATTAGCTCCCTTACACACATTGGGCGTGTTCCAGGACAACTTTATTGCAGTCACGCTGCACACAGCAACCAATGGTTGCGTGTCACATCATCGACTGCTGCTGGGTGGCTCAAGGCCTGTGCTGGCTGGGTGCTGGTGGATGGACGGTGTGCTGCCTAGGCTGGGACAGCAGAGTTGGAGACAGTAATCCACCTGTCTAAGGACTTTGACAGAGCTCTACACCCTCACATCACTGGCGAGCAGCCAACGAGGGAATTGTTGGCAGTGAGACTGCCAGAGAAAAAGAAAAACAAATGCCAAAGAGGGCTATTACAGTACGTTCCTTATGCTTGCTGACAGTCCTGTTAACCTGTTAAGCTGAAGTCAGTGTCTGTCTGGGCTAAATGCACAAGGAACGCCCAGTGGTGGAAACAGAAAACTGTCCCTGTCCAGGTGATCTGAGGAGTGCATGGTCAGGGATTTGTATGTGGGGAACTGAGTTAATACAATCCCCCTTGTTCATGAATTAATTTCCCCCACATTTGTGCCCACTGAAGTGGTTGCAGCTGTCTGTTAATGCAACTGGTGAACAATGGGTAACTGTAGCTCACTCCTGTCTTCCTCTTCACAGTACCAAGTGGGGCAGCTGTACTCTGTGGCTGAGACCAGTAAGAATGAGACGGGTGGAGGAGAAGGGGTGGAGGTGCTAAAGAATGAACCCTATGAGAAGGATGGAGAGAAGGGCCAGTACACCCACAAGATATATCACCTGCACAGGTACGATTGGTCCATCCATCTATTTATCCATCCATCTACCCAGTTACTCCCATCCATCCACCCACCCACCCACACCACCCACTCACCCAATGGTACAGTAGATACCCATTGATTCTTGAAGAATGTAACTCATAAATCCGTCATGAGCTTAGTTCAACTGTCATACCCCAACAGAACCCAAAATATAAGCTTGTTTTAGTCCATTGTTTGTAAACAATATAATTTTAAACAAATACTGTATAGCCTCAAAACATGGTTAAAACTATAATGGTCAGTCCTTGCATCCATAGTTACAGTGGGGAGAACAAGTATTTGATACACTGCCGATTTTGCAGGTTTTCCTACTTACAAAGCATGTAGAGGTCTGTCATTTTTATCATAGGTACACTTCAACTGTGAGAGACGGAATCTAAAACAAAACTCCAGAAAATCACATTGTATGATTTTTTTAGTAATTAATTTGCATTTTATTGCATGACATAAGTATTTGATACATCAGAAAAGCAGAACTTAATATTTGGTACAGAAACCTTTGTTTGCAATTACAGAGATCATACGTTTCCTGTAGGTCTTGACCAGGTTTGCACACACTGCAGCAGGGATTTTGGCCCACTCCTCCATACAGACCTTCTCCAGATCCTTCAGGTTTCGGGGCTGTCGCTGGGCAATACGGACTTTCAGCTCCCTCCAAAGATGTTCTATTGGGTTCAGGTCTGGAGACTGGCTAGGCCACTCCAGGACCTTGAGATGCTTCTTACGGAGCCACTCCTTAGTTGCCCTGGCTGTGTGTTTTGGGTTGTTGTCATGCTGGAAGACCCAGCCACGACCCATCTTCAATGCTCTTACTGAGGGAAGGAGGTTGTTGGCCAAGATCTCGCAATACATGGCCCCATCCATCCTCCCCTCAATACGGTGCAGTCGTCCTGTCCCCTTTGCAGAAAAGCATCCCCAAAGAATGATGTTTCCACCTCCATGCTTCACGGTTGGGATGGTGTTCTTGGGGTTGTACTCATCCTTCTTCTTCCTTCAAACACGGCGAGTGGAGTTTAGACCAAAAAGCTCTATTTTTGTCTCATCAGACCACATGACCTTCTCCCATTCCTCCTCTGGATCATCCAGATGGTCATTGGCAAACTTCAGACGGGCCTGGACATGCGCTGGCTTGAGCAGGGGGACCTTGCGTGCGCTGCAGGATTTTAATCCATGACTGCGTAGTGTGTTATTAATGGTTTTCTTTGAGACTGTGGTCCCAGCTCTCTTCAGGTCATTGACCAGGTCCTGCCATGTAGTTCTGGGCTGATCCCTCACCTTCCTCATGATCATTGATGCCCCACGAGGTGAGATCTTGCATGGAGCCCCAGACCGAGGGTGATTGACCGTCATCTTGAACTTCTAACATTTTCTAATAATTGCGCCAACAGTTGTTGCCTTCTCACCAAGCTGCTTGCCTATTGTCCTGTAGCCCATCCCAGCCTTGTGCAGGTCTACAATCTTGTCCCTGATGTCCTTACACAGCTCTCTGGTCTTGGCCATTGTGGAGCGGTTGGAGTCTGTTTGATTGAGTATGTGGACAGGTGTCTTTTATACAGGTAACGAGTTCAAACAGGTGCAGTTAATACAGGTAATGAGTGGAGAACAGGAGGGCTTCTTAAAGAAAAACTAACAGGTCTGTGAGAGCCGGAATTCTTACTGGTTGGTAGGTGATCAAATACTTATGTCATGCAATAAAATGCAAATTAATTACTTAAAAATCATACAATGTGATTTTCTGGATTTTTGTTTTAGATTCCGTCTCTCACGGTTGAAGTGTACCTATGATAAAAATGACAGACCTCTACATGCTTTGTAAGTAGGAAAACCTGCAAAATTGGCAGTGTATCAAATACTCCCCACTGTATGTCTATGAATTTGAGAGTGGTTACATTTCTCCAGCCGCATCCCTCAGCTGTTTCCCAACAAATTGGTGGGGTGTTCATTTCGTTATTATTTGAATTGCAGATCTTTAAAAAATGAAGAAATTATAAAATAGTTTCACAACCTTGTTTGTAAGCTTTCAAATTATACTGAACAAAAATATAAATGCAACAATTTCAAAGATTTTACTGAGTTACAGTTCATATAAGGAAATCAGTCAATTGAAATAAATTCATTAGGCCCTAATCTATGGATTTCACATGACTGGGCAGGGGTGCAGCCATGGGTGGGCATGGGAGGGCATAGGCTCACCCACTTGGCAGCCAGGCCCCCCCCCCCCCCCCCCCAGACGATCCCACAGGTGAAGAAGCCGGATGTGGAGGTCCTGGGCTGGCGTAGTTACATGTGGTCTGGGGTTGTGAGGTCAGTTGAACGTACTGCCAAATTCTCTAAAACTTTGTTGGAGACAGCTTATGGTAGAGAAATGAACATTCAATTCGCTGGCAACAGCTCTGGTGGACATTCCTACAGTCAGCGTGCCAATTGCACGCTCCCTCAAAACTTGAGACATCTGTGGCATTGTGTTGTGTGACAAAACTGCACATTTTAGAGTGGCCTTTTATTGTCCCCAGCACAAGGTGCACCTGTGTAATGATCATGGTGTTTAATCAGCTTCTTGATATGCCACACCTGTCAGGTGGATGGATTATCTTGGCAAAGGAGAAATGCTCACTAACAGGGATATAAACAAATTTGTGCACAATTTGAGAGAAATACGATTTCTGTGCGTGTGGAACATTTCTGGGATTTTTTTATTTCAGCTCATTAAACATGGGACCAACACTTTACATTGCGTTTATATTTTTGTTCAGTGTATATCAAATTCAACCGTTTATCTTTTTCAGTGATGAAGATACGGATCTCTCATGGTATGGCGGGCTATACAAATAGGGTGAACTTTGAGCACCTCTATCTCCTGAATGTTTTGGCATTTAGGGCCGAAAAGTCACTCTCTCACTACTTCTACCGTGGGCAAACGTGTGGAAAGTTTTGTTAAATTGGGTGCGGTGGGTGTGGTCAAAGGGATGTGGTCAAAAAGGGATTGAATTCATATGGATCAACCTTATGATAATAACTGTCTTACTTTCTCTCTGCAGTAAAGTGCCAAACTATGTGCGCATTCTGGCACCATCAACTGCTCTTAACATCCACGAGAAGGCCTGGAATGCTTACCCCTACTGTCGGACCGGTAAGTCCCTTGCTCTTTGTTACCTACCCCTTCTGTAGAGAAAGAAGATGTTGAATAATTAACTTGTGCATACATGCTAGCAGCCAGCACTGTGAGGACATGCTATTGGAATCTATGTCATGTCTGGACCAATAGCCAGACATTGGGTATTAATAGTGTATAAAGACACTTCTCAGTTCAGTTGGCAAGGAGTTAGCCAATTTCAAACAAATGTGAAACTATTGAGATATTGTTTTGAAAACGTCTGTTCCCCTAAACATTGTTTACTGTCTGTCTCCTCATGTCTCTTCACCTGTTGCAGTTCTTACAGTAAGTACTGTTTTCTTCTATACATTTACAGTATGTTACTGTTTACTTGCACACTATTCAGCTGGTGAAAGAGGAGCTGGTAACCTTGCCTGTCAAAAGGAAAGGAGAGAAGCGCAGAGAAAGACCGACACTCGTTTCGCCAGGGTGAACGTGTGCATATGTGCCTCTTTCAGTTGTTATTACCAGTACCACTGCTCTTAGCTGATGTATCCCTCAAGATGTAATCACTTACAGTCCATATATTAGTGTCAGTTTCAGACCTGGGTTCAAATACTATTTGAAATCTTTCCAATACTTTGAACGTTTGCTCTAGCCTACCTAGACTGCCAGATCAAATCAAATCAAATGTTATTTGTCACATGCGCCGAATACAACAGGTGTAGACCTTACCGTGAAATGCTTACTTACAAGCCCTTAACCAACAATGCAGTTCAAGAAAGAGTTCAAAAATACAGTTACACAATAAAATAACGAGGCTATATACAGGGGGTACCGGTACCGAGTCAATGTGCGGGGGTACAGGTTAGTCGTGGTAACTTGTACATGTAGGTAGGGGTAAAGTGACTATGCATAGATAATAAACAGCGAGTAGCAGCAGCGTAAAATCAAAGGGACGGGGGAGGTGGCAATGTAAATAGTCCGGGTGGTCATTTGAATAATTGTTCAGCAGTCTTATGGCTTGGGGGTAGAAGCTGTTAAGGATCCTTTTGGTTCTAGACTTGGTGCTCTGGTACCGCTTGCCGTGCGGTAGCAGAGAGAACAGTCTATGACTTGGGTGACTGGAGTCTTTGACAATTTTTTGGGCCTTCCTCTGACACCGCCTAGTATATACAGTATCTCACAAAAGTGAGTACACCCCTCACATCTTTTCATGTGACAACACAATAAATTACACTTTGCTACAATGTAAAGTAGTGAGTGTACAGCTTGTATAACAGTGTAAATTTGCTGTCCCCTCAAAATAACACAACACACAGCCATTCATGTCTAAACCGCTGGCAACAAAAGTGAGTATACCCCTAAGTGAAAATGTCCAAATTGGGCCCAAAGTGTCAATATTTTGTGTGGCCACCATCATTTTCCAGCACTGCCTTAACCCTCTTGGGCATGGAGTTCACCAGAGCTTCACAGCCACTGGAGTCCTCTTCCACTCCTCCATGACTACATCACGGAGCTGGTGGATGTTAGAGACCTTGCACTCCTCCACCTTCCGTTTGAGGATGCCCCACAGATGCTCAATAGGGTTTAGGTCTGGAGACATGCTTGGCCAGTCCTTCACCTTTACCCTCAGCTTCTTTAGCAAGGCAATGGTCATCTTGGAGGTGTGTTTGGGGTCGTTATCATGTTGGAATACTGCCCTGCGGCCCAGTCTCCGAAGGGAGGGGATCATGCTCTGCTTCAGTATGTCACAGTACATGTTGGCATTCATGGTTCCCTCAATGAACTGTAGCTCCCCAGTTCCAGCAGCACTCATGCAGCCCCAGACCATGACACTCCCACCACCATGCTTGACTATAGGCAAGACACACTTGTCTTTGTACTCCTCACCTGGTTGCCGCCACACACGCTTGACACCATCTGAACCAAATAAGTTTATCTTGGTCTCATCAGACCACAGGACATGGTTCCAGTAATCCATGTCCTTAGTCTGCTTGTCTTCAGCAAACTGTTTGCGGGCTTTCTTGTGCATCATCTTTAGAAGAGGCTTCCTTCTGGGACGACAGCCATGCAGACCAATTTGATGCAGTGTGCAGCGTATGGTCTGAGCACTGACAGGCTGACCCCCCCACCCCTTCAATCTCTGCAGCAATGCTGGAAGCACTCATACGTCTATTTCCCAAAGACAACCTCTGGATATGACGCTGAGCACGTGCACTCAACTTCTTTGGTTGACCATGGCGAGGCCTGTTCTGAGTGGAACCTGTCCTGTTAAACCGCTGTATGGTCTTGGCCACCGTGCTGCAGCTCAGTTTCAGGGTCTTGGCAATCTTCTTATATCTTTATGTAGAGCAACAATTCTTTTTTTTCAGATCCTCAGAGAGTTCTTTGCCATGAGGTGCCATGTTGAACTTCCAGTGACCAGTATGAGGGAGTGTGAGAGCGATGACACCAAATTTAACACACCTGCTCCCCATTCACACCTGAGACCTTGTAACACTAACGAGTCTACATGACACCGGGGAGGGAAAATGGCTAAATGGGCTCAATTTTGACATTTTCACTTAGGGGTGTACTCACTTTTGTTGCCAGCTGTTTAGACATTAATGGCTGTGTGTTGAGTTAATTTGAGGGGACAGCAAATTTACACTGTTATACAAGCTGTACACTCACTACTTTACATTGTAGCAAAGTGTCATTTCTTCAGTGTTGTCACATGAAAAGATATACTCAAATATTTACAAAAATGTGAGGGGTGTACTCACTTTGAGATACTGTAGGTCCTGGATGGCAGGAAGCTTGGCCACAGTAATGTACTGGGCCGTACGCACTACCCTCTGTAGCGCCTTACGGTCAGATGCCGAGCAGTTGCCATAACAGGCAGTGATACAACCGGTCAGGATGCTCTCGATGGTGCAGCTGTATAACTTTTTGAGGATCTGGGGACCCATGCCAAATCTTTTCAGTCTCCTTAGGGGGAATAGCTTTTGTCGTGCCCTCTTCACGACTGTCTTGGTGTGTTTGGACCATGATAGAGCGTTGGTGATGTGGACACCAAGGAACTTGAAGCTCTCAACCTGCTGCACTACATCCCCGTCGATGTTAATGGGGGCCTGTTTGGCCCGCCTTTTCCTGTAGTCCACGATCAGCTTCTTTGTCTTGCTCACATTGAGGGAGAGGTTGTTGTCCTGGCACCACACTGCCAGGTCTCTGACCTCCTCCCTATAGACTGTCTCATAGTTGTCGGTGATCAGTCCTACCACTGTTGTGTCATCAGCAAACTTAATGATGGTGTTGGAGTCGTGTTTGGCCACGCAGTTGTGGGTGAACAGGGAGTACAGGAGGGGACTAAGCACGCACCCCTGAGGGGCCCCAGTGTTGAGGATCAGCGTGGCAGATGTGTTATTGCCTACTCTTACCACCTGGGGGCGGCACGTCAGGAAGTCCTGGATCCAGTTGCAGAGGGAGGTGTTTAGTCCCAGGGTCCTTAGCTTAGTGATGAGCTTTGTGGGCACTATGGTGTTGAACGCTGAGCTGTAGTCAATGAACAGCATTCTCACATACAGTGGGGAGAACACGGCGCTTGTAACGCCAGGGTAGTGGGTTCGATCCCCGGGACCACCCATACACAAAAATGTATGCACACATGACTGTAAGTCGCTTTGGATAAAAGTGTCTGCTAAATGGCATATTATTATTATTATTATTATTATTATTAACAAGTATTTGATACACTGCCGATTTTGCAGGTTTTCCTACTTACAAAGCATGTAGAGCAGGGGTGTCAAACTCATTTTAGCTCAGGGGCCACATGGAGGACAATCTATTCCCAAGTGGGCCGGACCGGAAAAATCATGGTATATATAACTTAAAAACAACAACTTCAGATTGTTTTCTTTGTTTTAATACGATCAACATACAACATAAAGCTGGAGCCTGAGGACAGTGTGTCCAAAATAGTACAAGCACAACATCACTATTAATCATAAAACACGTCAAGTTTATTAGAAAATTCTAAAGAAAAAGAACACACAAACACAATGCCTCAGTGATTAACAGAACTGTTTCACAGATCACAGAACTATATCAGGGTGTCATTTCTCAGGCAGAAATGTAGATACAAATAATGAAATCCTGTTCCCCAAACAAGTGCAAGAACCACAGAGTCAAGAATAGGTTAAATATACAAATAAAATAAAATCAATTAAAAACAATAGCACATCAACATAAAAACATATAAACATAAAGCTGGAGCCTGAGGACAGTGTCCAAAAGCACAACATCACTATTAATCATAAAACACCTCAAGTTATTTGAAGGTTCTGAGGACAAAGAACACACAAACACACAATGCCTCAGTGATTCACAGAAGTATATCACAGATCACAGAACTATATCAGGGTGTCATTTCTCAGGCAGAAATGTAGATAAAAATAATGAAATCCTGTTCCCCAAACAAGTGCAAGAACCACAGAGTCAAGAATAGGTTAAATATACAAATAAATAAAATCAATTAAAAACAATAGCACATCAACATAAAAACATATAAACATAAATCTGAAAGCGTTGCTCAAACTCCCGTAACAGTCCCGTTATTTTATCTTTGAACCGCTTCATGTCTGCCACATGTTGGGTCGCGCACACATTTTTCAGACAGGGGAAGTGAGCTGCATCACCACCGACAAGTTGCGTCTCCCACAATGACAGCTTCAACTTGAAAGAACGTATGCTGTCATAATACTGCGTGACAACTTTGTTGCGCCCTTGCAGCTGTTTGTTCAAGTTATTCAGGTGCTCTGTAACATCCACCATAAATGCAAGGTCCTGCATCCATTCTGCGGAATGAAATTCTAACACTGGTTTGCCCTTTTCTTCCATGAACTGTTCAATTTCTTCTCGTAAATCAAAGAAACGCCTCAGCACAGCACCTCGGCTTAACCATCTTACCTCAGTGTGGTATGGCAGGCCATAGATGTGGTCTTTCTCTCTGAGAAGGCTGTCAAACTGACGGTGATTCAGGCTTCTGGATCGGATGAAATTAACAGTTTGGATGACCACCTTCATGACGTTATCCATCTTTAATGACTTGCAACACAAAGCCTCCTGGTGCAAAATACAGTGAAAAGTCAAAAAATCACGTCCTCCATTTGCAGATTGCACTTTCTCTCTGAACTTTGTCACAACGCCTGCTTTTTTCCCGATCATTGAGGGCGCACCATCTGTAGCCAGGCTGACAGCGCGGGACCAGTCCACTCCGACCCTGTCCAGCGCGCCGACAAGTGCGGTAAAAATATCAGCTGCTGTCGTTGTATCTGTCATCGGCACCAACTCCACGAACTCCTCGGTGACGGTCAATGTGTCATCAACTCCGCGGATGAAAATGGCCAGTTGTGCAACATCTGTAATGTCCGTGCTTTCATCAATTGCAACCGAAAACAAAATAAATGACTTTACTTTTTGCTTCAACTTCAACGATCGGAAATCCTGTCTGCAACTGTGTTTCTTGTCAGGCTGATATTTGCAAAAGCCTGCCGCTTTTCAGGGCACACAATCTCCGCTGCCTTCATCATGCATGTTTTTACAAATTCACCCTCACTAAATGGTTTTGAAGCCACTGCGATTTCATTAGCAATGAGGTAGCTAGCTTTCACTGCAGCGTCACTGATGTCTCGGCTGTGAGTAAACACAGACTGCTGTTTCTTCAGACCCGCCAACAGTTCATTCACCTTCTCTCATCTCCGCTGTCCTTGAAAGTTGTCATATTTGTCGGCATGAAGACTCACATAGTGGCGATGAAGGTTATATTCTTTCAGCACTGCAACATGCTCTGAACACACCAAACATACAGCTTTCCCATTCAATTCCGTGAATAAATAGGATGACCATTTTTCTTGGAACACTCTCTGCGTCCACTTTTCTCTTTTTTGACAGAGACATATTGGGGCAATGAGGGTGCCAAAGCACATAATGTTAAAAGTAGAAGCCGTAATAAATATCACGGGCAAAACAAAGTAGCTCATTGGCTGCACGTGCTTGACCTACTTGCTCTGCCCCGGTATAAACAGTTTGCTTGCTTAACACAATTGCTATTGCGCCATCCAGTGGACGCAATTGGAACAGCAGTTTATTTTATTGAAAAATTGCAGCGCATTTTTATACTTTACAAAAAAAATACAATAAAAAAAAAGATATTTTTTTTCTCGAAATCATCTCGCGGGCCGGATTAAACCCGTTTGCGGGCCTGGACGTTTGACACCCCTGATGTAGAGGTCTGTAATTTTTTATCATAGGTACACTTCAACTGTGAGAGACGGAATCTAAAACAAAAATCCAGAAAATCACATTGTATTATTTTTAAGTAATTAATTTGCATTTTATTGCATGACATAAGTATTTGATACATCAGAAAAGCAGAACTTAATATTTGGTACAGAAACCTTTGTTTGCAATTACAGAGATCATACGTTTCCTGTAGGTCTTGACCAGGTTTGCACACACTGCAGCAGGGATTTTGGCCCTCTCCTCCATACAGACCTTCTCCAGATCCTTCAGGTTTCGGGGCTGTCGCTGGGCAATACAGACTTTCAGCTCCCTCCAAAGATTTTCTATTGGGTTCAGGTCTGGAGACTGGCTAGGCCACTCCAGGACCTTGAGATGCTTCTTACGGAGCCACTCCTTCGTTGTCCTGGCTGTGTGTTTCGGGTCGTTGTCATGCTGGAAGACCCAGCCACGACCCATCTTCAATGCTCTTACTGAGGGAAGGAGGTTGTTGGCCAAGATCTCGCAATACATGGCCCCATCCATCCTCCCCTCAATACGGTGCAGTCGTCCTGTCCCCTTTGCAGAAAAGCATCCCCAAAGAATGATGTTTTCACCTCCATGCTTCACGGTTGGGATGGTGTTCTTGGGGTTGTACTCATCCTTCTTCTTCCTTCAAACACGGCGAGTGGAGTTTAGACCAAAAAGCTCTATTTTTGTCTCATCAGACCACATGACCTTCTCCCATTCCTCCTCTGGATCATCCAGATGGTCATTGGCAAACTTCAGACGGGCCTGGACATGCGCTGGCTTGAGCAGGGGGACCTTGAGTGCGCTGCAGGATTTTAATCCATGACGGAGTAGTGTGTTACTAATGGTTTTCTTTGAGACTGTGGTCCCAGCTCTCTTCAGGTCATTGACCAGGTCCTGCCATGTAGTTCTGGGCTTATCCCTCACCTTCCTCATGATCATTGATGCCCCACGAGGTGAGATCTTGCATGGAGCCCCAGACCAAGGGTGATTGACCGTCATCTTGAACTTCTTCAATTTTCTAATAATTGCGCCAACAGTTGTTGCCTTCTCACCAAGCTGCTTGCCTATTGTCCTGTAGCCCATCCCAGCCTTGTGCAGGTCTACAATTTCATCCCTGATGTCCTTACACAGCTCTCTTTTCTTGGCCATTGTGGAGAGGTTGGAGTCTGTTTGATTGAGTGTGTGGACAGGTGTCTTTTATACAGGTAACGAGTTCAAACAGGTGCAGTTAATACATGTAATGTGTGGAGAACAGGAGGGCTTCTTAAAAAAAACTAACAGGTCTGTGAGAGCCGGAATTCTTACTGGTTGGTAGGTGATCAAATACTTATGTCATGCAATAAAATGCAAATTAATTACTTAAAAATCATACAATGTGATTTTCTGGATTTTTGTTTTAGATTCCGTCTCTCACATTTGAAGTGTACCTATGATAAAAATGACAGACCTCTACATGCTTTGTAAGTAGGAAAACCTATAAAATTGGCAGTGTATCAAATACTTGTTCTCCCCACTGTAGGTGTTCCTTTTGTCCAGGTGGGAAAGGGCAGTGTGGAGTGCGATTGAGATTGCGTCATCTGTGGATCTGTTGGGGCGGTATGCGAATTGGAGTGGGTCTAGAGTTTCCGGGATGATGGTGTTGATGTGAGCCATGACCAGCCTTTCAAAGCACTTCATGGCTACTGACATGAGTGCTACAGGGCAGTAATCATTTAGGTAGGTTACCTTCGCCAGACTCGGTCAGGGAGAGGTTGAAAATGTCAGTGAAGACACTTGCTAGTTGGTCTGTGCATGCTTTGAGTACACGTCCTGGTAATCCGTCTAGCCCCGCGGCTTTGTGAATGTTGACCTGTTTAAAGGTCATGTTCACATCGGCTACCGAGAGCATGATCACACAGTCGTCCGGAACAGCTGGTGCTCTCATGCATAATTCAGTGTTGCTTGCCTCGAAGCGAGCATAAAAGGCATTAAGCTCGTCTGGTAGGCTCGTGTCAGTGGGCAGCTTGCGGCTGGGTTTCCCTTTGTAGTCCGTAATAGTTTGCAAGCCCTGCCACATCCGACGAGCGTCAGAGCCGGTGTAGTAGGATTCAATCTTAGTCCTGTATTGACGCTTTTCCTGTTTGATGGTTCGTCTGAGGGCGTAGCGGGATTTCTTATATGCGTCCGGATTAGTGTCCTGCTCCTTGAAAGCGGTAGCTCTAGCCTTTAGCTCGGTGCGGATGTTGCCTATAATCCATGGCTTCTGGTTGGGATATGTACGTACGGTCACTGTCGGGACGACGTCGTCGATGCACTTATTGATGAAGCCGGTGACTGAGGTGGTATACTCCTCTATGCCATTAGAACATATTCCAGTCTGTGCTAGCAAAACAGTCCTGTAGCGTAGCATCCGCGTCATCTGATGATTTCCGTATTGAGCGAGTCACTGGTACTTCCTGCTTTAGTTTTTGCTTGTAAGCAGGAATCAGGAGGATAGAATTATGGTCAGATTTGCCAAATGGAGAGTGAGGGAGAGCTTTGAATGCGTCTCTGTGTGTGGAGTAAAGGTGGTCTAGAGTTTTTTTTTTCCTCTGGTTGCACATGTGACATGCTGGTGGAAATTAGGTAAAACGGATTTAAGTTTCCCTGCATTAAAGTCCCCGTCCACTAGGAGCGCCACTTGTGGATGAGAATTTTCTTGTTTGCTTATGGCCTTATCCAGCTCGTTGAGTGTGGTCTTAGTACCAGCATCGGTTTGTGGTGGTAAATAGACGGCTACGAATAATATAGATGAGAACTCTAGATAGTGTAGTCTACAGCTTATCATGAGGTACTCTACCTCAGGCGAGCAATACCTCGAGACTTCTTTAACATTAAACATTGTGCACCAGCTGTTATTTACAAATAGACACACAACCCTGCCCCTCGTCTTACCAGACGTAGCTTCTCTGTCCTGCCGATGCGCAGAAAACCCAGCCAGCTCTATATTATCTGTGTCGTCGTTCAGCCGCGACTCGGTGAAACATAAGATATTACAGTAGGATAGTCTTAATCGTAGATCATCCATTTTATTTTCCAATGATTGCATGTTGGCCAATAGTACGGATGGTAGTGGAGGTTTACTCACTCGCCTACGAATTGGGGTGTACAGGTTAGGGACTATTCTATTGATTGATTAAGCCAGGCATGCTCAATCAAGCACAGATAAAGTATTTGACATGATTTCAAATAGTGTTTGAACCCAGTATGTGTTGGTCACTTGAGATTGATTTCGTTGATCTTATTTATTGCTCTTCCTCCCGCAGAATGAATACATGAAGGACAATTTTCTGATTAAAATTGAGACATGGCACAAGCCCGACATGGGGGATCAGGCCAATGTGAGTGAGCAGCTAAGTAATGAGTCTGAATGTATACCATTTCAACCATGGACCACCAGCACATCAAATTCAGTTAGCAGATTTCTTATTTTACTGTATCTATCAGACTCCAATCAGTCACTTCCATTGACGTCATTTGAGTGTCCGTCCACTGACTTTATGAAAAGATATGGAAACCCTTCTCATGTGTGCATTTTTTGTCCTCAGACCTGCTTTGTTGGGTATGACACTGAATCAACATTTACACATAATGTATCAAGTGCTATGTTATTAGGGTTGGGATCAATTCAAATTCAATTTCCCTCGAAATTGGATTTAGAATTGCAATTTTAGTTTATTTCCTGAATTGAGTGGATTCAAATGTAATTGGCCCCAACCCTGCATGTTATACTTGGTCTATGTAGTGACTACTAGTGAGGCATTCTTAGCTCTTGAAGTGGGTAACTTACTATAAATTATTCCCTGCATAGGTACATGGACTAGACCCAGAGCAATGGAAGAAGACTGAAGTAGTCTACATTGACATCGCTGACAAAACCCAAGTGGATGCCAAGGTGAGAGCAGTGATTGATCAGTGTGAATGTACTTACAACTTATTATTAGTAATAAGCATGCTTTAAACTCCTACTGTTCTAAACCTAGACACAGCAGGGTCGTATTCTTAAGGCACCAAATGGAAGAAAATGGACTGAAACAGGGAGGGACTACCTGAACTTGTCCAATAGAAATTCCCTTACCGAGAAAGCAGGCTTCTGGCAAACAGTTGTGGCATATCTTTGGCCAATTTGCTGCAAATTTGCAGCCAGCTCATATTTTCAATTCAAATTAGTTTTGTGGCAAACTGTTGCGACAAATTTGCAGCGACGTGTGAACTTCTGGAAAACAATTCTGGGAAACTTGTGGCAAACATTCTACTGTTTGCTGCAAATTTGCTTCAAACTGATTATGAATATGCAAATTAGATCAGGTTTTTGGTTACTTTGTGTATTAACAACATTGAAATGTATCTAAATAAACCAAACCAAATCACATATACATTTAAATGAATTTGCTTCTCACAGAGAACTAAATATACTAGTTGTACTACAGTGCCTTCAGAAAGTATTCACACCCCTTGACTTTTTCCACATTTTGTTATTACAAAGTGGGATTAAAATTGATTTAATTGTCATTGTCTTTGTCAACGATCTACACAAAAGGTCTAGCATTTGTAAAAAAAAAAAATCATTACAAATAAAACCCTAATACTGTATATCTTGATTAGATAAGTATTCAAACCTCTGAGTCAATACATGTTAGAATCACCTTTGGCTGTGAGTTGTTCTGGGTAAGCTAGCCAGTCAATGGTGCTGACAGATTTAAACTGATCTAACTAGCTAGCAACAAAATGTGTTTCACACTATCCCATAAAACATGACATTGCTTACCAGGCATCAATTAGCTTAGACAATTTTCAAGTTTATTATGAAGTTTAATAAGTTAAGACACTCACCGGACAACTTCGGTAGGTAGCTAGCTAGCTAGATAGCTTGGTTTCCATTTACCAACAGATTTTTCTTCACCCTCTGACTGGTCGACATGAACGGTTACTGGTCTTGGAACTCAATGTGTTTACCAGAAACGGCTTCTGTCTGGTAAACTGTTTGCCACTAGAGGCAATAAATATTATTGTTGCCAAAGGTTTCCCGCTGATTCAGCACTAGTAGCAAACATTTACAAACTTCTGGCAACATTTTGTGGGAAGTTTGCCCCAACAAATTCTTTTTTGTAAGGGTTAACACTTGTTTTCATTTTCATTTGCAAAATGTTCTACTACATTTTGCTACGGTGTGCCCTAATGAGTAAGACCCAGTTACCTGAACAGAATTAAATGGAACACTTATCTTTGCATTCTACTCATCTGCTCACTCTGCTTCACACAGGACTATAAGCCAGAAGAAGATCCTGCCATATTCAAGTCAGAGAAGACCGGCAGGGGCCCCCTGGGGCCTAACTGGAAGGTAAAACAAAACCAATATTCCTCCATTGTTGTCATATTTTTCACATCAGCAAATTTCACACGTACAGTTGAAGTCGGAAGTTTACATACACTTAGGTTGGAGTCATTAAAACTCATTTTCAACCACTCCACAAATTTCTTGTTAACAAACTATAGTTTTGGCAAGATGGTTAGGACATCTACTTTGTGCATGACACAAGTAATTTTTCCAACAATTGTTTAGACAGATTATTTCAGTGGGTCAGAAGTTTAAACAGCTTGGAAAATTCCAGAAAAGGATGTCATGGCTTTAGAAGTTTCTGATAGGCTAATTGACATCATTTGATTCAATTGGAGGTGTACCTGTGGATGTATTTCAAGGCCTACCTTCAAACTCTCAGTGCCTCTTTGCTTGATATCATGGGAAAATCCAAAGAAATCAGCCAAGACCTCAGAAAAAAAATGGTAGACCTCCACAAGTCTGGTTCATCCTTGGGAGCAATTTCCAAACGCCTGAAGGTACCACGTTCATCTGTACAAACAATAGTACGCAAGTATAAACACCATGGGACCACGCAGCCGTCACACCGCTCATGAAGGAGACGCGTTCTGTCTCCTAGAGATGAACGTACTTTGGTGCGAAAAGGGCAAATCAATCCCAGAACAACAGCAAAGGACCTTGTGAAGATGCTGGAGGAAACCGGTACAAAATTATCTATATCCACTGTAAAACGAGTCCTATATCATAACCTGAAAGGCCGCTCAGCAAGGAAGAAGGCACTGCTCCAAAACCCGCCATAAAAAAGCTAGACTACGGTTTGCAACTGCACATGGGGACAAAGATTGTACTTTTTGGAGAAATGTCCTCTGGTCTGATGAAACAAAAATAGAACTGTTTGGCCATAATGACCATCGTTATGTTTGGAGGAAAATGAGGGTTGCTTGCAAGCCGAAGAACACCATCCCAACTGTGAAGCACGGGGGTGGCAGCATCATGCTGTGGGGGGGCTTTGCTGCAGGAGGGACTGGTGCACTTCACAAAATAGATGGCATCATGAGGAAGGAAACTGATGTGGATATTTTGAAGCAACATCTCAAGACATCAGTCAGGAAGTTAAAGCTTGTTCGCAAATGGGTCTTCCAAATGGACAATGACCCTAAGCATACTTCCAAAGTTGTGGCAAAATGGCTTAAGGACAAGTGTATGTAATAACTTTGTCTTTACCTCTGCAGAAAGAGCTTCCCAGCAACACAAACTCTCCTCACATGTGTGCCTATAAGTTAGTCACAGTCAATTTCAAATGGTGGGGAGTCCAGAACAAAATTGAGAACTTCATCCAGAAGGTACAGTAAGAGACTTGTCAATTATTCCAGTATTTGCATAATATTCTGTTAAGGTGCCTACATGTCTGCGTGCCCAGCCCATATTTTACTCCAGTTCAAATATAATGCCAGTACAGAGGCAAAGTCCAGTATTTTCATATCGCCCACTGTAAATGCAAAAAATAACTCTGCCCTGAAACCGTGAAGAAGAAACTAGTAGACAGAGTTGGCTGAGAAATAAGATATCCAAAGCTGTGCAGTCTCTCTGGGTGTGACTGAAGACTAGTTTACAGTAGACTAAAAAGTGTTTTCTGTCCTCTAGTGGACAGATAGTGATTTGCCATAGAAATGTTACTCCAAGTTGCACATAATAAATGCTGATATTACTAATATTTTTTTCTATGTAATTGTTTTGTCTAATTTCTTCCCGTCTTTGATTTCCAGCAAGAGAAGCGATTGTTTACAAAGTTCCATAGACAACTGTTCTGTTTGATTGATAAATGGATCGGACTGACAATGGAGGACATTCGACGTATCGAAGAGGAGACCCAAAAAGAGCTGGATGAGGTAATGTACTGTACATTTGTTTGGTCTTTGGCATCAATTAACTCCGAATGAGATGTACTACTGTCTTATCCGTTTTGTCATTAGGCTACGGAAATTTGCTAAATGCTTTATCCTACTTATTGATGTGTCTGTGTCTTTCTTTCAGATGAGGGAGAAGGATCCAGTCAAAGGGAGTTCTGCTTCAGAGGACTGAGGCTGTGCAGCTGTGACCGTTAGTACCGCTCCGTGAGTACCGCTCTGTCTGCGCGTTAGTGGGAATTATGAGACTGAGTTCAAGCAATACTTCCTCTTATTGTGCACAAGGAACCAAGATTTGTCTTGTCTATCTTGCAGATTTGCATTTGATAGAAGACTATAATCAACTCTGTCACAGACATCTTTCTCTCCTTCCACTTTTTCAGATCTGTTACTGAGACACCAGCATCTCTGCCCAGTCCCAGTCCTTGGGAATTATATGGCTGTATGCAGACCCCTATATTGTCCCGGCAAGCCATGGAGAGGCCCCAGCAGCCAAGAGGTCCACAGCAACCTCACCTCTGGTGGCCATCACATTCCTAACTAATTATGTCACTTGTCACGTTTTTTTTAAATGGAAATTTTGTTTTGGAGTTGTAATGATAGTATTTTCTATTGTCTTTAATTCCTCATGTGTTTTGTGGACAAAGCTGAATTTGTTGGTTACTCCTCCTGTCTTTCAAAATACTATAATGTCTCTGTATTTCCCTCTTGGTTACAGTACATTTTTCTTGCCCGGGGCCAACCTGAATCAGCAGGCTGAAATCCAGTTGTAGTGTTATGGCTTAGGGATTTTTGGGGTAAGAAATATGAAACAATGTACCTGGTCTCTCTTTGAATAGAGATCTGAGTAAAACATGTTATCCTGTACTGTATTTTTCAGTATTTATTCACAGGTTAATTTTCTCTGGATTGCATAACACTTTTGTGATTTAATGGTTTGAGCAACATTTTGTTGTTCTGTACGACCTATATTATTCAATATTAAAAATAATATATTTATACTCTTTGCATTCTGTGATTGTATTAATTTCATTGGTGCAACAGCTGCGTTCCCATTTTGTATGACTTGCTTGATTTTCATATTTCACAGAAATGGTTTAAAAGATCAAGATAAGAAAATCTCTTAAAACCCATTGTTCATTATGGTTTTTCAAAATGGAACTCAGTCAGCAGAGTTTCCTAACTGTAATTCATTTTAATCCCACTTATTTCACCCTGTAACCCTTTCACATTTACAAATTCCACAAGGTTTTATTTAGATCTACAGACACCAATTTAGACTGCATTTATACCGGCTGAACAGAAGCAGGCTGCCAGATGAGAAGGCTCGAGCCTGTCTTCCTGTGTAAATCAAGGACCACTACAGAAGGTATGTTGAGGGGGGGAAATATACTGTAGCTATGTTGATAATAACATCCAAAATGATGTTTTTTTAATGGAAAGATGAAGGAGAGTGGAGTGATTTATCTTTTTAAAGTAGCTTGTGACCGAGAGGAATAATATTTTTTTTTTGGTGCACATCCCCATAGTTGCCATTTTATGAGGGCGCTTTTACTCAAAAAATGTGGCACTGACCGAGTTGAGGAAAGCCAGAGGGAGAGGCGAAGCGAGAGGATTTACTCTGCCCAAAATCTGTACGCCTGAGATAAACCCTTTTTTTGTATGGAGGTCTATGAGAGAGTGTTGAATTAGGTGAAGCTTATTTGATCGAATATACGTTTCGTAATGTTTAGGCTGTTAAAAATGTACTGATATAAGTGGTTGCACGTGGCATTCCGTCAACTTTGAGAAAAACTACTTCGTTGTGCCTGTTCACACGCGTGCCTGCCCTCTCATTGGCTAGAATGGTCCCACCGACCTGACCTCACTTACATTCACTCATTGAGGACATGTATTGTAGGAAAGATGACGGAAATTAATGTTCTGTTCGAAATTGATGGCGGGTGAATGGGCTACAGTTGTGGAAAAAAAGGAAACAAAATAAGTAAAGTTGTGATAGAAACTAAGATATCGCTAGATGTGTTTTATAGTAGGAGTTTTTGGATCAACGTTACCTGGGGGATCCGTTTGAAGTCACGAGGAGTATCATGGATGCGTAGGGTGGGGATTGGTGAGAGTCACAAGAGCTGGTCTTATTCAGATTTTCGGTGTGTCCGCGGAACAGAAGAAGCTTGTTTTGCGCCTCAAACATATTTTTTAATGGAATGTTTTGTATATGGATTTCCAAAGCAGGGAGCCTGTCAAGGGTGTTATCTCTTGGGTTGCGCATGAAGTGGATGCAGATGATGTACCCTGAGGAAGTAGGTGAAGTGATTTGTGCACGCTGACATGTATGGTGGATGGAGTAAGGAAACCCACTTCGTCTTTTTTGACAAGTCTCTCACTTCTCATGTAAAACTAGGGTTTATGAGATACCATGTAAGTGCTTTTGTGCACAAGCGCCTCCAGTGTTATAAATGCAAAATATGTAGGCATGTATCAAGTGTATGCAGATGGAAAATAATATCGTATGCCAGTTGAGGATATGTGCTACAACTGTGGAGACTGCGTAGGGATGTGACTTGAATTGGAATGTGTGTCTGTTTAAAAGAAACATTTCTGTCTATTTTAGTATTTTGTATGATGTCGTTTTTTTCCTCCTATAATGGATATTTGTTCTACAGTAGGTGGCGGCATTCACCTCTAATGCTTGTTTGCAGACTGCCATAATACCATAGAAGTAGAAGAAAAAGCGCGGTCTCTCATCTTTGAGGAAGTGCAAAACGTAAACAAATTGTGTTGCGTAATCTCACACACCCTATTGTCATCTTTCGTGGCAAACTACTGTAATCCGAATGAGAGTAGGCTACGACAAAAAAAAAAAAAGAAGCATTGTCAGGTAGTAAAAACATTGTAAATGTATTGTGTACTATATTGTACTATTTAGTGTTATTTGTGCTATATTTTAATCGGTTGCAATCCTAAACACAGATAAAATAGCTAGCTAACGTAGCTAATTGCTAGCTAACTAGTACTGGCATAGCTAACTTCTCATCTAATGTGTAAAAACATTCCTAACATTCAGAAATGTCATTTCAGAGAGTGTTGTTTGCATGCAGCTAACTATTAAACTAGCTAACGTTAGGTAGCTAGTTAGTAATGGAGTCAGGTTAGCAAATATTGATATATCCCAAATGACGGCATGAGCAGTGGACCCTATTTTACAGTAGCTAGCAAGCTAGGATTCCTGTCTTGACATTCAATGCTTTTTGTTTTATTCAGACAACATATTGTCATGACTTTGTTGTTTGTAACGTTATCATGATTCCATGATTTTGCAGCTGGTGAGATTATGAAGAACGATGATGATACCAAAGAAGACACCCAGTCACAAGTCAAGAACTCAGTCAGCATGGAGAAGAACTGCTGCAACAAGGACACTTTCAGGTTTGAATGTCTCCTTGTGGTCATATGAGCTCTAGCTAACTACTTTGATTAGAGAACATGTTTTGTGCATAAGGAGACACATTTAATTTGTTTACGGTTAATGGACACTACACTCCCAGTATCATATTCAGCAATGCAGTGGTGGTACAGGCAGCATAGCATTTGAACTGACAAATAACTGCACATGGTTGGATTGTTGGTTATCTAATATCTGTTAAGGCTATTCAAAAATGTAATTGGAACGAATGCACACAGGCTTACTATTTCCTTATTAGGTCTGTATTCCCCCAGACAGAACACAGTGCAACCTCACAGTGTCTGCAAGTGCCACCACCCAATACAAAGCTGAGAGCATAATACAGGAGTATTATTGTCATTAGGTTTGCCAATGCATTGCATTCCCACACATATTAGAGAAATACCACCACTGCCACTTTGTGTTCATTTCCTTGCTAGAAGTTTCCTCATTGTGGACTGGTGTTGAGCAAATTATTACAGACTAAGTAGCATTTTCTAGCATTAAGGGGTTGTTTTCACATAGTGGGTCTTACGTGGCCCCTTCTTGATCCTGCTTAGCCTGTAATCCTTCTCAGTGTACTTCAGACCCTCCAAAAACATTCTCATGTCTCTCATTCTCTTCCAGAGGCTGGATTTTATGGACGGTTTCATTGCTCCGCCAAAAGTAAACATTAGTTGTCAGATATGTCCTAGCTGGTCTATCCTACTCTTCTTCCACCTGTTATACTGTAAGGAATTCTAAGACAGGACCTTTGGTGAATCTGTAGGCAATTCTGTGCTTTTGCATCATCAGGAGTTCTGTATGGTCTTTCATATCAAATTTAGACTCTCACAGGATGCCAAGGGAAAGTGCAGTGATGAGGGTCTCACTTTGATGGATCTTGGAACAAGAAAGAATCGCCAAGGACATAAATCTGCAGTTGGACCACTGTAGAAGACTATGATCTCTGCAAATATTCAAGTATCCAAATCTCCATTTAAAGGAAAAACGAGTAATCTGCAGTGAAACTTTCCCGTTGTAAACAAGGAAGAACCACCTGCCTTTCTGAACTCCTCATCGCATCAGTGACCTCCTCCATATTTCCGTCCTCTCTTCCCGACACTGAGATTCCTTCCAGAAGCTCACCCACAATGGATGAGATCCGCCGGTTGTTCAATTCGCAAGGTGCCACACAGCTTTGACAACGCCTTCCTCATCTGTGGTCAAAGGGCCAACCGGCCCAAGAAAGAGAACTTCAGGTGGACATGATAGGCTTTGCCGAGTTCCTATTTTCTGTTCTCCTTGGCCTTATTTAGACTTGACTTCCTCTTTCTCTGTCTAACATCAATTTGTTTTAAATCGAAATGCATTGCATATGGTTCTTCGTTGCAAGGGTTTAGTTGATTAACACAAAGTACCGTAAGACTGGATACTAATGATTCTTCTTGACTAAAATGTCCAGCAATGACTTCTCCATTTTATTCCAATGTCTGTCTTTCTCTGAGTACAGAGGGTCTTAGTTGGTAGAGAAGTTAGACTAATTTTTAATGTCTTGATTGTAGGCCTTGGACCCTTGGTTGATCAGCCTATTGAGCTCAGAGCAGGCAGTGTGTTCGGCCTCTTCCGTTCTGGATCGTAAACTCTGGCATGCGTATCTTTTGATTTGATAACACAAATTGGCCTGTTGTTAACCGAATTGAAAGGCCATGATGTTAGGACCATAGAGATCATACGTCAGTGTTTTATTTAGTTCTGTGCTTAGGACATGGTAAGGGATGAGCTTAGTTCTTCGTTGAGAAGTGTTCTTCATTCACTGTTTCTGAATTGATATAGGCTATGGTTAGAGAGACGTGACTAGGCTTTATCAACCACCACTGTCCATTCAAGACTGGCTAAACATGATATTGTTGCTGTGTAACTAAATAAGCGTCTGAAAGTTGCAGTCCAATTTGTCAGGCTTTTGCTCTGAGTTTTTGGGAAAACTGCTGTGCAAGAGAATCATGATCTGCTGTACTCGCACTCGCTTGCTCCCTCTCTTGCTCCCTCTCGCTCTTTCTCGCTCCCTCTTTCTCTCTCTCCCTCCAGGCTTCACATGGTCACGTGGAACGTCGCTACAGCTGATCCTCCAGATGACATCAGCTCCTTGCTTCACCTGAACTCCCCAAAGACCCCAGACCTCTACGTGATTGGGTGGGTTGCGGAGCTACTGCATTCTGATTGGACATTGAATGAGACAGACAGTACAATGGCATTGCAGGAAAATCAGTTTTTTACTGTGTAAAGTCTACAAAGTTTATTCTGAGTGGCATGGTGAAAATGCTTCAGTAGGTTTATTTGTAACATACTAATGTTACAGGCAACAATAGTTATAACCTGTGTGTGTCTGTCTGTCTGTCTGTCTCTTTTGTAGTCTCCAGGAGGTGTACGCTGCTCCTCACAGGTTCATCATAGACATGGCCGTTGAGGACTCCTGGAGCCATCTCTTCATGTCCAGCCTGGCACCACGAGGCTACCTGAAGGTACAACAGTAGGACATATGGCTTCATAACACTAATAATAGCACTCCAGCACCATAGACCGGTTTGAACTAGTTTTATGCCACCAACCTTAGTCTGAAGTAACAGAAGAATGTGCTCCCAACATAGTTTGTCCTCGCAGTTTATTTTCACCTTGTCTTTCAAAGCAATATCATTTGCTTCTTATGTGCCACTCCGCTTCCACACTTCTGAGTCTGCCTTTTGTCTTTCTCCAGAATACTTAAAGACCCTGAAAATAGCCCAGGTTTGTGTTGCAGGTGTCCTCAATCCGAATGCAGGGCCTCCTACTGCTGTTCTTCTCCAGACTGGCCCACGTTCCATTCATTAGAGACATCCAGGCCACCTACACTCGCACAGGCATCTTCGGCTACTGGGTAAGATCAGGCTCAGTGGATGTTTTTACTTATTATGACAGCTTATAGCAAGTGTTATAAATGCACCTATAAGGCATTGTGTGTGAGCCTCACGTAAAAAGGGCTTTATTCATACATTTGATTGATGGACCTTGCGCCCAACAGGGGAATAAAGGCGGGGTGTCCATCCGTGTGTCTTTCTACGGCCACATGCTCTGCTTCCTCAACTGCCACCTGGCAGCACACATGCAGTACGCCTCGCAGCGCGTCGACGAGTTCGAGTACATCCTAGACACACAGATCTTCGACCCCAAAAAGACACCGCGAATCCTCGACCACAAGTCAGTATACATTAAACGCACGTTGTCAGTTGAGTGTGTATTCTTCGATATTCACAGTTTCTGCTTTAGAGTTAGAAAAGGAGGAGCTTGGCATCTGCTTGTGAGATGATTTGAAGTACTTCTGTGCTCTCTCTGTGTTGAATGTTCAGTGGCCTCTCTCTCTCGTTCTCTCGTTCTTTCTCTCTCTCATTCCCCCTCTCTCTCAGGCTGGTCTTTTGGTTTGGGGATTTGAACTTCCGCATCCAAGATCACGGCATGCATTTTTTGCGCAACTGCATCACCAGCCATAAATTCAACTTACTGTGGAGCAAAGACCAGGTCAGACTCATGAGAGATGCATCTGTTTTGCTATATCTTGGAGAATACTATACATAGATTTGACTAGATTGGAAAACGGACAGTGGCTTTTCATTTTACACATGTACAGTTAGTTGTCTTGTTTTCATGCATGTAAGACATAAGATGTATCCCAAATGGCACACTGTTCACTTTATAGTGCACTACTTTTGACCAGGGCCTATAGAGCTCTGATCCAAAAGAAGTGCAAGAAGTGCACTATAATGTGAATAGGGTTCTATTTGGGATGCAGACATCTTAGTTCCTGAGGATGTTGAATGTAATGCTTTTGTTGTCATTCTGTGTGGTTGTATCAGTTGACCATGATGAAGAAGAAGGAGGCTTTCCTGCAGGAGTTTGACGAGGGACCTCTGGACTTTCAACCAAGCTACAAATTCGACAGGTTCTCTGACTGCTATGACAGCAGGTAATGGCTGACGTGCAATCATAGGCATATGGGAACACTCGCACACATATAGAGTTATGCGTGCACAGACACGGTCACTGGCACACAAACAAACACACTTTCTCTCCTGATGTTTATTACTCTTTGGCTCTATAAAGCATCCCTCAGATTTCCCACATTTGTGTCATCTTTTCTGCTTGCTTTTACTGAGCTGACTCCTGCTCTCCTTACAAGACACTATTATTCAAATGCTCAACTCTGCTCTCTTTCAACTTCACAGGCCCCACAGGACATGGTTTGTTTTTCAGTAAGCTGCTCAAAACACCCTTCCCTTAATACCACCCTAATCCCCCTTAAGCAGAATACTGTTCCTGCACAATAAGCCCACTAAAACGTTTGCAAGACCGTTACGGATAGATTTTTGCAATGGAAAGTCAAAATGCCTCTCTCTCCCACAAAATGGTGCCTACAGAACACCAGACCTTGCTCTCTTGTGATAAATACCATAGTTGTCTGCAGCTAACACAGTTGTGCCTCTTAACAGTACATACGGTATATCAAAGTCGCTTTATTGTTCATATGAAGCCAGTGGAAAATTCCATTGAAACGTATCAGCATTGTGCGGCGGTGTCTGCCATTCTCAGTGGAAACAGTATTCAGGATTTGTTAAGCCTAATTAATTTAACCCCCACAATACAGTCTCACTCAGAGAGAGAGAGAGAGAGAGAGAGAGAGAGAGAGAGAGCGAGAGAGAGAGAGGAGAGAGAGTAGAGAGAGAGAGAGAGAGAGAGGATCTCCGACTAGAGCGAGATCGACTCTCTGCAGCTCTGCTCCTCTGAGACTCTCTCTCGCCTCTTCTTGTCTCTGCTCCTCTGCCTCTCTCTCGCTCGTCCTCTCTCTCTCTCTCTCTCCGTCGACCTCTCTCTCACTCGTCTCGATCGCTCTCCCTCTTCGCTGCTCTCTCGGTATCCTCATCCACTCCTACCTTTACTCCCCTGACGAGTGTCTACGTCACTCTGATGACATGCTCCTAGGGCAATAGACTGTCGAAATACAGGAGACGAACTCGCTATTTCTCAGCTGATGCTCTGCAGACCCACGATTCCATGAAAGGAACAGTGCATTCGAAGTATAGCCCTGATTTCACATTCTTACGTACGGAGGGATATCTCTAAAAAGATCATGGTTATTCCCTAAGATAAATCACAGGACTACCGCCCCATAAGTAAAGACATCACGGAAGATGGACGAAAGTTGTTGAGAAGTTTGAGCCTAAGCTTTAGGTATAGGTAGTACTATACTTACAACCAGTACAACCCGGAAATAAATTTTTCGCAGCACCTCTTCCATTACACCCCCTAATGGCCAGCTAGTTTCTTGAAATCCTCTCAATTTTATTATGGGGACTGGACCCCTTTTGCATGCTTTATAGCACGCCAGAAGTCATTGGGATCGCAACGAAAATGTTAGACGGGTTAAGCCAGCTTGGCTGGGCCAAAATGAGATTAGAAGAAATTTTTTTTTCCGGAAAAACCCACAAAAAAGATAAAATCTAATCCATCCCAAGTTTTAAAAAACCCCCGGGGGTTCATTTTTCGAACCCTAAACCCCCGAGGCTTGCCCAAAAAAAACCCCCCCCCAAAAAAAAACCCCCGAAACCACGCAAACCCAAAAACCCCCCTTTTACCCCCAAAAAATTGCCAAAACCCGTTGGAGCCTTTTTGGATTTTGGGACAGTCGTGCTGATTCCGGGGGGAAACCCGGGAGTGGGGAAGAGAGAAAGGGATTTGTCGAAGCATTCGTTTCTAACTGACTAGCTTTAGCCCCCCTTTTACCGAATTATTATAGTTTTTCGAACAATATCGGGCATTCGGATTTTTCACACCTTATTTTCCCCTTTTACGACAGCCTTATTCTAAAATGGATTAAATTGTTTTTTTCCTTTCCCCCCCCACACCAATTACCAAATAAAAAAAAAATAGTTTAAAATTTTTTAAAATAAAAAAAATATATAAAATGAATATTCCCCTTTACTAATATTTCAGACCTTTCCGATTCCCTAAACCCTTTTGGGGCATTACCCCTCGTTCTTCTTGGTAGACCTACCCCTTTTGCGGGGCCTCGCCCGTCGTGATAGGTCCTCCAAGTGTGTTTAGTTTCCGGGTTGTGGGTTAAAAGAGTTCGGAGGGCCCCAAGAGATCAATTTCCCCCCCGCGTTGTTTGGCTGTGTGCTTAGGGTTGTTGTCCCTTTTGGAATGTGAACCTTCACCACAATCTGAGGTTCTGAGTGCTCTGGAGCAGGTTTTCATCAAGGATCTCTCTGTTCTTTGCTCCGTTCATCTTTCCCTTGATCCTGACAAGTCTCTCAGTCCCTGCCGCTGAAAAACATCCCCACAGCTTGATACTGCCACCACCATACTTCACTGTAGGAATGGTGCCAGGTTTCCTCCAGACGTGACACTTGGCATTCAGGCCAAAGAGTTCAATGTTGGTTTCATCAGACCAGAGAATCTTGTTTCTCATGGTCTGAGAGTCTTTAGGTGCCTTTTGGCAAACTCCAAGCGGAGTGGCTTCCGTCTGGCCACTGAGGAGTGGCTTCCATCTGGCCACTCTACCATAAAGGCCTGATTGGTGGAGTGCTGCAGAGATGGTTGTCCTTCTGGAAGGTTCTCCCTTCTCCACAGAGGAACTCTGGAGCTCTGTCAGTGACCATCGGGTTCTTGGTCACCTCCCTGACCAAGGCCCTTCTCCCCCGATTACTCAGTTTGGCTGGGCGGCCAGCTCTAGGAAGAGTCTTGGTGGTTCCAAACTTCATCCATTTACCTCATGGCTTGGTTTTTGCTCTGACGTGCATTGTCAACTGTGGGACATTTATATAGACAGGTGTGTGCCTTTCCAAATCATGTCCAATCAATTTAATTTACCCCAGGTGGACTCCAATCAAGTTGTAGAAACATCTCAAGGATGATCAATGGAAACAGGATGCACCTGAGCTCAATTTCGAGTCTCATAGCAAAGGGTCTGAATACTTATGTAAATAAGGTATTTCTGTTATTTTTTCTTCTAAAACCCTGTTTTCGCTTTGTCATAATGGGGTATTGTGTATAGATTTGATAAGGGGGAAAAAATAAATGTTATCCATTTTAGAATAAGGCTGTAACGTAACAAAATGTGTAAAAAGTGAAGGGGTCAGAATACTTTCCGAATGCACTGTAGCTGTATGTATTCCTGTGTGTGTGTGTGTGTGTGTGTGTGTGCACGTGTTTGTGTGCGTCAGTGTCTTTACTTACGGTCTCCACCGCTGTGCACCAATCAGTACAATTGAGAGGGCACTCACTGCATGAGTCACCCAGTGAGACGGGGTGGCAAACTACCGGTAATCAGCTATGAGAGACTACTAATGAGGGATATGAAAGGAGACAAAGCACTGCGGAATCTGATCCATCATGTAGAGCAAACTGAAATAACACTGAGATGGAGGAAATGCTAAAGAAATCCAGCTACCTTATGAGATTACTTATCATACTCTCTCCATCTCTAACACTCATGAGTCTCTCACACAGGCTTTGTTGAAATATCCACACTAGCAGACTACTAGAATGAATCAATGTATTGGGCATGCACTCTAAGTGATATACTAGTTTATTTGGAACAGTCTTTCTGTTTCTCTCCATCTCTCCCATTCTGACTTAATAATTTTCTTTCTCTCACTAAATCCCTGTCTCTTCTCTCGTCCGTCCGTCTGTCTGCCCAGTGGTAAGATGCGTAAGCCGGCCTGGACAGACCGGATCCTGTGGAGGGTGAAGCCCAAAGAGCCACCCCCAGAGGAGAAGGACGAGGACAGGGACTCTGGTCTGGATGAGAAGAACACCAAGCAGCAGGAGGAGGAGGAAGAGTTCCCTCTGAAACTCGAGCAGGACTCGTACACCAGCGACATGGAGTACGGCGTCAGCGACCACAAGCCTGTCATCGGCATCTTCACCTTGGAGGTGACTGAGACAGCTGCATTTCCCATTCCCGCATCTGGGACTGTATAAAGTTATTCATTATGATCTAAGAGGCAACACTTACTGACCCTAGATCAGCACTCCTACTCTGAGATGCTTTTTGAAATACAGGCCCTGAACTGCTTCTCCAATGTGACTCTTGATAGTGATACCGTATGATGCGAATATACTTCTTCACCCTCTAACCAATCCTGACTACCTCTTCCCTCTATCTATTCTGTCATTCCCTCCTGTCTATCCCCACACTGTAGTTGAGGAAGATGTACGAGACGCCGTTGGTGCGCGTGTGTGCCGAGGGGGAATGGAGCGCCGACTTTGATGCCATGGTGATCTACAGCCCCCTTCAGCCCTTCCCTTCTAGTGCCTGGGACTGGATAGGCCTCTACAAGGTCCGAGTCTACTTAACCCTCTGATGTTCTTTTGAATCGTAGAAGTATCATCGATGTGTAGTTTTTACAGATGTGTATTTGTGTGTTACAGGTGGGATTCAGGAGTGTTTCGGACTACATTACCTACACCTGGGTGAAGGATGATGAGGTCTCATTTAATGACGAGCTCACCCAGGTAATATGACTGCGTGTGTGTGTCTCTTTTTTGTGTTTTATGATATGGAGATGCTTGAATATGTTTCTGTGTTTATCCAGGTCTATGTGAGCAAGGATGAGATTCCGGTGCTCGGAGGGGAGTGCGTGCTCTGCTACTACTGCAGTACGCTCCAATGCATTGGGGGTATTAGCTCACCCTTTAAGGTAAGTGCAAGTTTACTTTAAGTCACCAAGAACAGTCTAGACATAGAGAATATACATTTTTGGCCAGTTTTCCGGCCAGTTTTTCAGCTTAGTCCTGGACTAAAAAGATTGGAGATTCTCCATTTGAAGTTTGGATTTATACATGTCTCTATGGTTTTAGGTACAAGAGTCCAAAGTGGCCGTTGAGGAAGGTCTAGTGCCGGAGAACATCAACGGCCTTGACAAGGCCACAGCCAGTTCGGACCTGTGAGTGGACCAGACATGCCCTCGAACTCTGTCTGTCCGTCTATGCTGTTACACAGCTGCCCTTTTGACCTCGGGTGGCCTTCCTGCAAGCTGTGCTGCTGCTGGAGTCATGGAATGTTACTTAAAAACTATAGGCCAGTGCACTTTGTTTTTAATGAATCAAACTGTTTCTGTCTTGTTCTCCACTGCCAGTAATGTCGGCAACAGAACCTGTGCGTTTATTTCTGTTCTGTTCAGATGTTGATCCCGCTTTTAAAGTCAGTCGCAGAGAGATATTGGCAGTAGCGTTTTAAGAAAGGTTGAGTGTTTTTGTTAAGTGTATTTATGTTTTTTGGTGTTTCTCTGGATTCATACAGAACACATTGGACGGTGTTCCAGGTAGCTTGTACTAAAGTAATAATAATAATAATAAAATGCCATTTAGCAGACGCTTTTATCCAAAGCGACTTACAGTCATGTGTGCATAAATTTTTACATATGGGTGGTCCCGGGGATCGAACCCACTACCCTGGCGTTACAAGCGCCATGCTCTACCAATTGAGCTACAGAGTCGTGGCTGTTTCACTTGAACATTTGACCAATCATAAAATGGTATCATTAATGCATGAATATTACGTAATTATGTTTTAAATAATGGTTCATACATTTTTTTTTTTCCCTTTAGAAACTTAGTCCTCTGTTAACAAAACCCTTTGTGCTATGCCATTCCATTTCAATGTAATTTCTCATAGAGGATATGTTTGAGAAATATATTGCACAATTTGTTCTTGTTCATATTCATGACCATGCCCTTTTTATAGATGTGCGTAAAGGTTACTGGTTTAGGTATTTATTGAAGTCATTTATGTTCAAGTAAGTGTGATTGGGGATTCAAAGTTATCTAAGAAAACAGTGGATTCAACAAGTGCCTCAATGTTAACAACCTGTAGATAACTGTTCAATGGATGCTTTGGTACAAAACGATGTAATTCCTATTTGATTATTTATTGCTGTATTTGAAAAAGATTATTGTTCTTATTCTTAAAAAATATGCAAGTCTTGCTTGTACCGCACGCATCAACATTTAATCTATAGAACTTTGTATACTTTTCTTTGACCAATTTCAGCATAAGCGAGACCTGTTCAAATGTCTTTATTTGCTTATTGAAAGTGCTTGTACATTGACTTGTAAAGATTACTGAAGCCACTTTATTCTGTATTTACAGTATATTGAAAATTAGGAGTGCTCTATTTTCTCAGTAAATGTGGTAAATGAATGAATGAATACAAATGTTATACTGTAACCTATTTAAAGCTTAAATAAAGCAAAACATGTCAACGAGGATGCCTGTCATTTATCACTAGTCTGGAATAGAAATTAAATCAGTATTTTCTAGACCTTTGATACAATGTAGCCTACACTCTGTTTTTATTTTATTGTAATAAGATTGTTTCTTTTAATTTACAAACTATCGTCTTAGCTGGAACCAAGAACTATACATTTCTAGAACAAGAAAGATTTAAAAACATTTATAGGGATATTTAGATTTATGCAAGGATAATAATAATGGACATTAGGAGGAACAATTCACAAGTCTGAACATCAAAATGATCTAAAGTATTTTAAACCAGTCAACTGATTTATACTTTAGTCAAAGAGAGAAAAACATAAAAGCATGTCCAAAATTCAAAGTTTGAGTGAGTAAATAGTTCAACAGTTATAAAGGGCTTTATAAAATTAATTGATTGATCAACTCATTGGCGTGAAGCAATGTTCCTTACTGTATACAGTAAGCGCTATTTCCAGTTTGATCCATCACCAATCCGGTCCAGTAGCAATCCAGGACCAAGGTACATAGACAAACAGGTTGACATTTTCCTCTTCTAAACACACAGACGCAGTGCACAAAGTAACCATGACATTGCAGCTGGCGTTTGCACCACCTATAACATTTTGAAAAGGGAAATTAAGTTTAGTGCGTTTTAGAATAGTAAAATGTCCCCCCTAGCCTATTCCAGACTATTCCTTTATTGGGGTGGGTACTCTCAGGCTTAACAATTGAAGGACTAGATTCTAAATAGATAGGATAGATCAAGGCCTACTTCTATGCTCCCAGCCCCTGTACAGCCCAGACAGTGTTTACAGACAGTGCTCAAGGTGGGCCAGCAGCTCTCGGTGGTGGCTGGTAAGGTACTGGGCTTGGCAGCTGGGACACTCTAAGAATCTCTTGTCTAGCTGGTTGAGGACCTGAGAGGGGGAAGTGACGCTCTCTTTGGAGGGCTTCAGGGGTGCTGGGGGTCTGCTGTGAGCGCTGGCCTCGTACAGGCAGGACAACTCCCTCTGCCCCTTCTCTGACTCGAGTTTGACGACGTGGTGCTTTGCCTTGCGTAGCTCCTTCAACACCATGTGGAGCTGTTGTTGTAAATACTGACAGTCTCGCTTCTCGTCCTCTAGGTCTTTGGCAGACACCTGGATCTGCTGTTCCAGAATCGTGACGCGTTTCTGCTCCTCATGCAGGCTCAGTAGGGACTTCTGCAGTAGATTCACCTGCACTAGGAGCTCAGCAGACCTGATCTCCTTTTCCTCTAGTCTGGCCTGGAGCTCCTCCATGTCACCCCACAGACGGCCCTCTCTGTCCCCAGAGCGACGCGTCTCCTTCTGGACACTCTGCCGGATACTCAGCCTCTCCGACTGGAACTGCTGCCTCGCATCTCCCACCTCTCTCTGCTTCTCCTCATACCTACACTGCAGCTCAGTTAGTTGTCTCTGGGCTGTATTGACCTGCTCTCGCTGAGTTTCCAGCTCCTTCTTGGTCGTCAGTAACAATTTCTCATAGTGCTTCTGTATCTGCACTGACCTGTCTTCTGAATGGGCGTCTTTATGCTGCTGTGCGAGGGCCTGCTTGGCCTGGTTCAGCTGCTGCTTCCAGCCCAAACACCCGGGCCAACACCGCCTTCACATAGGCCTCTCTCTGCTGGTCGTAGGCCAGCCACTGCTGGTTCTTTTCCAGGGCATCTCTGAGGTGGTCGTGGCTCATTGCAGTACTGGTGGTGGACACCTGTCCATCTGATGGGCAGCTATGCAACCCAGCGCCAGCTCTACTCCTCTTCAGCTCCTGGCACTTAGCAGACATGGACACCAGCTTGTTCTTAATGTCCTCTGTCTCGGCTTGGAGTGACTGGAAGAGTATTTTTCTCTGCTCGGCCTCCCTGACATAGTGGTCTATCTGGGCCTCCAGACTGGCCACTGTTTCACCCCCCGCGGCATGGGCCTGCTGCCAAAGAGAGCAGATTTCCTGGTCCATGGCCAGTAGCTGCTGAGTGTTCTTCTCCCGTAGAGTCTCCAGTGACAGGATTTTCTCTAATAAAAGCTTGTTATTTTCAGAATCTGATGGTTCTCCTTTCTGACGAGACAGCTCATCCAATGACTTCCTGAGATATGCATTCTCCTTTCTGAGTTTACTGATCTCCATATCCTTTTTAGAGCAACACAGCCTTACACCTATCTTGTCGACGAAGTTGTTTTTTTTGCTGGATGACATCGTTGCTAAGATAGCTAACGTTAGCTAGCTAGCAAATTGCCTCACACAGATGTTGTTAGAATCCAAATCTGATCCAAATGTACACTTCGCTAGCCTTTTAAATTTCCCGCGGTTGATAGCTCCGCCCATATTTCAATGTATTGCGTTGATCTAGCAACCGTTTGTTTACAACCTGTCCTTGAGTTCATTCATTGCAGACAAGACAGGCAACATTGTTCCAACTTTTAACACAAACCAGTGTTTCACACCGCACAGTAAAGGTATGGTAAGAAGAGAGATTTAGTTCACTACTTATATTTTAGTAGCATCTTGCAAGCCACGTTTGTTAGATAGTTTACTAAAGTTTATGTGACAACTAGCTAGCTAACGTTACTGTAGATCCATTTTCTGTCCACCTAGTTAGCTACTGTAGCTAATTGCTATTTAGTTGGTACTTTGGTAGGCTATTTACTAGTTTAGGTAAAATATTATCTGCCTTATTAATCTGCCTTATTATGTGACATTTGTGTTGTCGTTGTGTCTTTATTGAAAGGAAAGAATTGCAGAGGAGAAATGTCTAGGTTGATGGAACCTCAGCCCAAGTTCCTGCCACCAGAATGGAGGCTTGCAAACCAAATACATTATGGGAGTGCAGAGGCTGAGCGTTCACGCTCTGAGCGACTCACGGCTGAGAGTAAGAGGCTGATAGAGGAGAGTGGCATGGCAGCCAAACGCATGCAACAGGATGCCAACAAGAGACTGGGTAAGATGACCTCAATAAGAAGAGATGATAACAGAATCCGTTTCTGTCAAAGTAGTGGTTGATTCATCACTGCAAATGAATGGTCTGTCTGTTCCACTTTGTAATGACACACACTACCAGTCAAAAGTTTTAGAACACCTACTCATTCAAGGGTTTTTCTTAATTTTTTACTAATATCTACATTGTAGTACATTTTATATGTACATATATGTACATTGTACATAGTGAAGACATCAACACTATGAAATAACAGATATGGAATCATGTAGTACCCAAAAAAGTGTTAATCAAATCAAAATGTATTTTATATTTGAGATTCTTCAAATAGCCACCCTTTGCCTTGATGACAGCTTTGCACACTCTTGGCATTCGCTCAACCAGCTTCATCAGGTAGTCACCTGGAATGCATTTCAGTTAACAGGTGTGCCTTCTTAAAAGTTCATTTGTGTAATTTCTTTCCTTCTTACATTTTAAAATGTTTAGTCATTTAGCAGACGCTGTTATCCAGAGCAACTTAGTTAGTGAGTGCATACCATGACTGTAAGTCGCTTTGGATAAAAGTGTCTGCTAAGTGGCATATTATTATTATTATTATTATTATTATTATTATTATTATTACTTAATGCGTTTGAGCCAATCAGTTGTGTTGGCACAAGGTAGGGGGTGGATACAGAAGCTGGCCCTATTTGGTAAAAGACCAAGTCCATATTATGTCAAGAACAGCTCAAATAAGCAAAGACAAATGACAGTCCATCATTACTTTAAGACATGAAGGTCAGTCAATATGGAACATTTCAAGTGCAGTCGCAAAAACCATCAAGCGCAATGATGAAACTGGATCTCATGAGGACCACCACAGGAATGGAAGACCCAGAGTTACCTCTGCTGCAGAGGATAAGTTACCAGCCTCAGAAATTGCAGCCCAAATAAATGCTTCACAGAGTTCAAGTAACAGACACATCTCAACATTAACTGTTCAGAGGAGACTGTGTGAATCAGGCCTTCATGGTCGAATTGCTGCAAAGAAACTACTACTAAAGGACACCAATAAGAAGAAGAGACTTGCTTGGGCCAAGAAACACAAGCAATGGACATTAGACCGGTGGAAATGTGTCCTTTGGTCTGGAGTCCAAATTGGAGATTCTTGGTTCCAACCACCGTGTCTTTGTGAGACGCGGTGTGGGTGAACGGATAATCTCTGCATGTGTATTTCCCACCGTAAAGCATGGAGGAGGAGGTGTTATGGTGTGGGGGTGCTTTGCTGGTGACACTGTCTGTGATTTATTTAGAATTCAAGGCACACTTAACCAGCATGGCTACTGCAGCATTCTACAGCGATACACCATCCCATCTGATTTGGGGTTAGTGGGACTATCATTTGTTTTTCAACAGGACAATGACCCAACACACCTCCAGGCTGTGTAAGGGCTATTTTACCAAGAAGGAGAGTGATGGAGTGCTGCATCAGATGACCTGGCCTCCACAATCCCCCGACCTCAACCAAATTGAGATGGTTTGGGATGAGTCGGACCGCAGAGTGAAGGAAAAGCAGCCAACAAGTGCTCAGCATATGTGGGAACTCCTTCAAGACTGTTGGAAAAGCATTCCAGGTGAAGCTGGTTGAGAGAATGCCAAGAGTGTGCAAAGCTGTCATCAAGAAAAAGGGTGGCTATTTGAAGAATCTCAAATATAATATAAAATTTGATTTGTATAACACTTTTTTGGTTACTACATGATTCCATATGTGTTATTTCATAGTTTTGATGTCTTCACTATAATTCCACAATGTAGAAAATAGTCAAAAATAAAGAAAAACCCTTGAATGAGTAGGTGTTCTAAAACCTTTGACTGGTAGTGTTCATTACATTACCACCCCTCATAATACCCAACCACACACCATTCTTACCATCCTATCTCTGTGTTCAGAGCAGAGAATCCATGACATCAAGTTCTGGAGGTCAGAGCTGGACCAGAAGGTGGAGGAGATTGTCCAGGAGATTAAGGTGTTGGTAACCTGTACGAGCCGGGTGGAGAGAGCCCTGGAGAGCTGTGTCCAGCCCCTCAGTGTCGCCCTGCAGTGCCTGACTGAGAGGTGATGAGTAAACTCCCAGTCAAACTCCAAATCAGTCAGCTGGAAAATGCAGTGATACACAATTAGGTGGGAAGTAGTCTGCTCACTGTTCCAACAGGGACCTAGAGTCACCAGACTAAGACCAACAGATAAGGAGATCCTTCAGTAGTAGTGCAACCTCAGAGCATTTCGTATTATTCTGTACGTAAATCCAGGACACTCCATTTAGTATATGTTACGTTTCGTATGATATGTATTCATTTGTGGATGTCCATCACCCATTTCGTATGATATGTTACGAATTACAATTCGTATTACCGTATATGTTACGAATTTGTAAAACATACAATATGTTAAGAATTAGCAAAACGTTATATGTTACGAATTTGCGAAACGTACATTGTTACAAATTTGCACAACATATGATATGTTATGAATTCTAGCTAGGTGGCTAACGTTAGGCTAGGATTAGGGTTAGGGGTTAGGCTTAAGTTTAGGTGTTAGGTTAAAGGATTAAGGTTAGGGGAAGGGTTATCTAAAAGGGTTAAGGTTAGGGGAAGGGTTAGCTAACATGCTAAGTAGTTGAGAAGTTGCTAAAATGCTAAAGTTGCCCGTGATGAGATTCGAACTCGCAACCTTTAGGAAGTGATTGTATGTACTGCATCTCCATGTGTGATTCAGGCAGAAGCGTGTTTCCATTGACCTGGTACATGACGAGGTGGAGCGGGAACTGATGAAGGAGAGCGAGGTGATCGAGGGAGTGGCATCACTGCTGAATCGCACCCTGGAGCAGACCAATGAACAGATCAGGTGGGGGGTGAGGGGAGGAAGTGGTTCGTCACACACACACACACACGATTAAGTCTCACTATCTCCGCAATGCTTCTAATGCATGTTTGTTTCTGTTCTGGCTCCAGACTGAACCGCTCTGCAAAGTACTACCTAGAGAAGGACCTGCGGGACAAGCTCCAAGCAGAGCAGATTGATGGTTTCTGCTCCATCCTCACAAACACCTCCCCGAATATTGACAACGTGGCTAGTCAGACAGCACTCGCAGTACCAGGGTAAAACGATGACACTTTGTCACTTTGTCTTTGTGCAATGTGGGGCAGTAGGAAATTCAATGAAGAAAATGTCATTACTTCAAACTAAAGTTCAAACTTCTCTTCACCAAGCATTCAGTTTCACCTGCAGCAAAAGTCATAATTATACACATAGAACTAGAAAGTCCTGTCACAATGCTTTGGGATGGATAGTAGGTACATTCTGCAAACAGTAGCTCCAATAGAAGCATTATTCCCTTCAGCCAGCAGAGGTCAGTGTAATAACCTCCTCTAACCACCCTGCTTATCTGTTTTTTTAAATATATGTTTTAGTCATTTAGCAGATGCTCTTATCCAGAGCGACTTACAGTTAGTGAGTGCATACATTTTCATACTGGCTCCCCGTGGGAATCGAACCCACAACCCTGGCGTTGCAAACGCCATGCTCTACCAACTGAGCTACACAGGACTTATCTAAACCTTTTCTACAGGTTAACCTGGCATCCTTTCATCCTTTCATGACACACTGAACAAAAATAAATAAAACATTTAATCCCTCCAATCCTAGTGCCACTGTGACACCAGAGGAGTGGGACACCTTCTCCAACATCAACATCCTCAAAGCAGAGAGCGAGAAGAAGAACTCCCTGTCGCTGAGGGCTCTGGTGGAGAGCCTCCTGGAGCAGACGGCTGCTGACATGCGCAGGCAGCACAACGCTACGGGCAATGCCCTCCGGCTGCAGGTCCAGGAGACCAAGACGGCCAAAGGACAACTAGAGGACCACCTGGCAAAGGTCAGCGGCAATGTGGAGAAAAACATACTTTATATGTATAACCCAGGTCATTCCCCCTATGATTAGTCACTGATGCGATTCTCGCACATTAATTTTTTGTCATTTAGCAGACGTCCTTATCCTGAATGACTTACAGGAGCAATTAGGGTTAAGTGCCTTGCTCAAAGGCACGTCGGCAGATTTTTTCACGTAGTCGGCTCGGGGATTCGAGCCAGCATCTTTTCAGTTACTGGCCCAACGCTCTTAACCGCTAGGCTATCTGCCGACCTGTGATTAGATACTGAAATGAATCCCCCTATGATTAGTTACTGGAATGATTCCCCCCATGATTAGTTACTGGAATTATTTCCCTCCTTTCCCCCTAAAAAGGTTATGTCAGAGGTGTCCAGCCAGGAGTGGAACCTGGAGACCCTGCACGTGGCCATCGAAGACAAAGCAGGTCCCCTGAAGGTGGCCCAGACGCGGCTGTCCGCCCGCAGCCAGAGACCCAGCATCGAGCTCTGTCATGACCCGGTCCAGGTCCGCCTGCTCTCCGAGGTCCAGGAGCTCACTGCACACATCAAGAGGTGATGATGCACTCCACCTTCCCGTCTACTGTACCTAACTCTTCCTAATGATCTCTTCTAAATTATCTAGGATCTCTGACCACTATTTTCACTTCAATTACAACTCAAGCTATTTTGTAGTACTTTATAGTCATGTTTTAGCTCTGTATGAAGTATAAGCTTAGTTATCCTGACCGAACCCAGTGATTAGTGATTCACTATACTCATGATTTTGTTATACAAACAGGATATCACAGCTTTCATTTCAAGTCTTTTTTGTTCAGTAGATACACCTATCTCTGGTTAAGAGACTTTTCTAAATGTATTATGTGAACGACATATTGAATGTTTTGTCCTATTTGCCATGAGTTGTAGTAGTCTACCATTGCCCTGTGTCAACCCTGTGACCCCCAGACTGCGAGAGGCCCAGGCCCAGTCGGAGATGGAGCTGCTGGCCCTGACCCGCTCCCAGCTGATCCTGGAAGAGGAGATCCAGGTCAAGTCCCACACCCTCTACATCGACGAAGTCATCTGCACCCAGCTCCGACAGCCCATCTCCATCCACAGCTTCTGAATACCACTCCCACCATGACAAGCCCGGTCCCTGATCTGTTTGTGCTGTCTTGCGTGAACAGATCTGGGACAAGCCTAGACCATGGCCACACTGGAAGGACTTTATAGTGGGGCTCTTTAGCTGATGCTGACATACCCAGGCTAGCATAAAAAAAAAATACTTGCCAATTTTACTGATGAATAAAATATGAGGTATACATTATGATGGAAAGCTGGAGTGCTTGTATTGTTTGCAGCAATTTTAATACAATATTTGGGTTAGAAGTAAAGGAGGATCAGATTGTGGAGCGTGTGTTTATATCTTCAGTAATGGCGCTGTGTGTGTGTGTGCATTTGTGAATGTGAGTGTGTGTGTGTGTGTGTGAGTGGGTGCTGCATTTGCCAGTCCCATCATGATTGTGTATCAAATTGTAGTTTCCTTCCTCCTCTTCCTTTAACTGGTGCTATTATTTTAAAAATGCTGTCTTTTTGGGCCCATGTGTCTTCAGAGCATGGGGTAGGAAATGGCGAAGTAGTGGAGCTCTGAGTTGATGAGTTGTCTGTAGCGAGAGTACACCTCCTCCAGCTGCTCATCCTCACCCTGAGTCTCATATTTGTTGGTGTAGATCCGCACCTAACACAAACACAAGCAGGTTTTAAACCACACAGTAAATTGCTCACATAATATAATAAAGCACATTGCTATAGCTAGGTATAACACATTAGGTGTCATCAGTAGTTTTTGAAGTAGCAGAAGGAAGGAAATGGGACCTGCCCCTTTAAGAACTGACAAAGATAACTGCTCAGCTGAAGGCTGTTTCATTAATGACCCAAACAAACTTTAAAATGCCTGCAATATCCCAGTTCACTGGGCAGGAGAACATAGCAGGCTATTGTGGGTCTGTGTGGAGCTTGTGTTAGTAAATCTCTTCAATGCCAGGACATAGGTTGGTACGCAGGTGTGTAGGCCTGTATGGCCTTGCCCTAGTTCCCAGAGCTCTGGCTCACCTTGATGGTCCTGAGGATGGTCTTCTTTTCCAGGCGTTTCTGCAGCAGCCGCTCCAGGAAGCTGATGTCCAGGAAGGCCCAGACCTTCAGGTAGGCCAGCTGGCTGCACAGCAGCACCACCTCCAGCAGCTCCTCGTCCACAGACTCGTGGCTGTTGTTCAGGTCCAAGGTCAATTTCTACACCAAGGAATTGAGGTGGAGACAGATTCACAACACTTCAACATGGATTCATGTTGTTAAAGTATGAGTACCACTGACATCCTATTGACAATTTCGGGCTGGATTCAATCCATATCGCGGAAGATCCGCGTGAAAATGTAAATGTCATTTCCGATTGAGCTGACATATGCAGTGTTTACTGTGGATGCAGTCTCCGCGAACGCGGGAACATTGCCTTTAAATTTAAATCGAGCTCTAACACAGATTTTCCGCGATACTTCTGCGATACGGATTGAATCCAGCCCTTAGAGTCATGTCTCTTGGGGCCGGTTTCCCTGACATAGATTAAACCTGGTCCTGGACTAAAACACATTCTCAATGGAGATTCTCCATTGAAAGTACTTTTTAGTCCAGGACAAGGTTTAATCTGTGTCTGAACTGCATGGATATAAAAAGACAATGTAGGGACATGAATAAACACTGTTGATATACTGCACATACTGTGCATACTTTATCGCCACACAAACCAGTAGCCTAAGAGGTGCCATCATTGCTCCATAACTGACTACTACTGTGTATTGACGGGTAGAGCAACCAATCCTCACCTGTAAACAGCTCCTGTAGCAGGGCACTAGGTTGGTAAGGGCAGGCTTGGCACTCCAGTCCTGTTCACTGAAGTAGCAACTGGTGAGACTGAGCGAGCGCAGCGGGATCTCTCTGAGCAGAATCCTCCCCAGCTTGTCCATGTTGAGGATCCGCTCCACTGTGATCTGCACCCGAAGGTCGGGACAATGCTTGGCCAGATGGGACCAGGCATCCCCCCAGACCACCTGGATGTGGGGCTCGTGGATATGGCATCGTATGGTGAACGTCTGCAGGGACCCTCCCCCGCCTAGGCTCCTACACGCCGCGGACAGGGCCGCCAGCAGCTCGTCCGACACACAGCTGTAGTTGAGGGTAAGAGTGCAGAGGCCCTGGAAGCGGAACATGACCTGGGGGAAGGCGGGGCTGATGAAGACGGCCAGCGGCTGTGAGAAGAAGTCCTCCAGGTTGAGGTGGGTGATGCCAGGCCGGCGGCCCAGGTGGATGTGCTGCTGAGCTGCAGCCACGGCCTCCAGCACCTCCAGGCCCTGGGGCAGGTTGAGGCGGGCCCCCCGCAGGCTCAGGTAGCCCAGGTAGGAGCCCTCGCGGCGCAGGTAGAAGGTGAGGCTGCGCACCAGGGCATTGCGTACACTGCGGCACCAGGCGGCGCGGTCCAGCTCCATGTGGTTGACAGTTAGGCGGCGTAGTCGGCCGCCAGTTTTACGCAGCGCGGCGAGGAAGGTCCTCAGCGTCTGCTGGAAGCGCCGGGACACCAGAGAGTTCAGGGGGTGGGAGAAGCGGATCTCCAGATCCTCCAGGTAAGAGCCGTATGTCTTGGCGTAACACACGGCCGTCTCCAGCTCCGTGCGGCTGGTCTTGGAGATGCGGCCGGAGAAGTTGAAGGTTCGAACCCTCCAAAGGGAGGGCGAGCACATGATCTGGTGCCAATGGCGACACACCAGGGCCGCCTTGATGCGGTCGCGGTCGCGCAGCCACCAGAACACCTGCCGCAGACACACGTCCGGGAGGTTAGCCCAGCCCAGTTTAGGCTCCTTATCTTCCTCCGCCTCGCCTTCTTCCTCCTCCTCATCCATTATCTCTATTCCTTCATCCTCCCCCTCCTCCTCCTCTTCGTTCTCGTCCTCCGAGAGTTGTTCCTCTGGATCCTCGGGGTAATCCATTTACAGGGAAGAAGTGTTGCCAAACCACGAACCTCTCAATATTCAGCCACCAAATGTAAAGAAATAGTTATCCCTGTAGTCTGAAATGTATTCTATGTGACTCTGGGGTTAACGTGGACTACAGAGAAGCAGAGGACACATTGACACATACTTGTGTCCGTTGGGTGGCCATCAATGTGTCCCAGTTATCACCTGGAAATGACTAGACACCAAAACTGAAGCTCTGGAACCTTCAAAGCTTCTATTGTTGTCACCATGAAACCAAAAGGGACACCTTGTGACATCACAATAGGAGAAGATAAAACTGGATGGCTCACAGTATTTGGACCTATTATTAAAAACATATAATATCCTTAAGTATGCATAGAGCAAAACATTTGATTGTAAATCAGTTATGTACATTAGTAAACAAATATTAAAATGTAAAACTTTTGAAGAGTTTAATGATGGAGAAAACATTCCCATTTTCAGAACATACTGTATTTCAGTTGTAAACAATGTATTATACAACAATCATAAAATAGGACTCTTGTCCTCTTGTAGAAAGAAGAATCCTGAGATAAATAAAAAAGTATATCAGTTTCACTTAAGGACCAAAGGATTGACAGCCGTCCCATATAGATTGCAAAATAGTTGGGAAGAGATCTTTGACGTACCGATCCCATGGCATAGTGTTTAAGAACTGACACGCAAAACGACACCGGATTCAAAAATTAGAATCTATCAATTTAAATTATTATTGTAATGAATACTCGGACAGAGTGGTAAGATCCAATCGCAGAATTGCGATGCTTTATTAGAGTACAGACAAGGGAATAGCTTAATCGTGGTCGGGCGGGCTGTGGAACAATACCTCGCACCGACTGAACTTCTGAGCACACCTTAAATCCTACACTAATTACTGACAGGTGTGCTCAGAACTCAGGTGAACCAGATCGAGTCTGATGACTCCCCCTCTCTGTAGATTGGGGAAGTGTCAGACTCTGTCTAGACCCAGCCAACCCCCGATCCCTTACAATTATATAAAATTATTGCTACCAATAGAATGTTATTTATATGGGGGATACAATCTTCCCAGCTCTGCAGATTTTGCTGTGAAGAGACAGAATCATTAGATAATTTGTTTTGGTTCTGTCCATTTGTAGCTTGTTTTTGGACACAGGTCCAGGAATGGCTAAAGGATTGCAATATTTACCTGGAACTAACCTTGCAGATAGCATTACTGGGTGATCTGAAAAGTCATAGTCAATCAATCAATAATATAATAATACTTTTAGCAAAAATGTTTATTTTTAATTCACAATCTGTAGAAGCAATGAGAATAGAAAGGTTCAGACCTTTTGTAAAACATCACAGTACGGTTGAAATATATATGGCAAATAGAAATCCTATATGGATGGTGTTAAGATATAGATGGGAGGTATTGAATAGAGTTGAAGGATGGGACTAATAACAAATAACAACAAATAATAACAAAGTTAGCTAATAATGTAAGCATACTGTGTCCATAATAAGTATATAGGTTGTATGTTGGGAGCTTTTGGGAAAGAGCACAGTTAGAAAGATATGGCATATAGAAGCAAACCGGATGGACATCATGAAAATGATCGGAGAGGTTGAGAGTAGAAGAAGTTCAGGAGCAATAAAAAAAATAAATATATATATATATATATATATAATAGAATTATTGTAAAATTAACTCTGTCCATAAGGTGTAGATAGTAAGTATAGACCGGAAGTAGAGGCCTGGGCATTGTTGTTCACTAATTTACTCCAAGTAGGGAAAGGATGGTGGGGTTGAAAAGTAATAAAGGGGAGTATATATAGAAAAAAATATATAAAAAAAACATGGGGGATTGATATATATATATAAAAAAATATATAAAAAAAACATGGGGGATTGGAAGTGATGCAGACAATTACATTGATAGAAGATACAATCTATCTGCAATATTAAGCTGATCCATTCCCCCCCAAGAAAAAAAAAAAAAGAAGAATCCTGACTAATGTAATAAGTAATAATCTCTTACTATTACCCAACCCGTCCAATCAACAGAAATAACTAAACTGCCTCTGAAATACAGATTTTCTGCAAAAAATTACTTGCTATTTGCTAAAATAAATCACGACTAACCCTGTTAATTGTGTTATTACTAACTTGTCAACCACTACGCCAATTCACCATGGAGTGTTCCTTCAGAAGTTCCGAGCACGTTTCTCATTCAAGTTGACATGGATCTGACATTTGGCCTGAAAGAAGAAACAAAAGATAGTTTGTCTCGTTTTCATCACTCCAAATTCTTAAAAAGGGGACCAGGGTTGGAGACTGAGTTGAAATGGAATTGACCCAACCCAGAAGGGTACTGTGTTTTTGGGAAAGAGCTGTACCTCATGCCATCGTAGTGTGACTACGGGGAGAGCCAGGTGACAGTGGGGACAGGTGCTGATCTGGTCAACATCCCCCTCTCCCCCCTCGTCTTGCCTCCTGCCTTGGGCTGAGAACAATACAGACTTCATAGAACTGGTCAAACGAGGACTGGCCTGCTCCTGTTTGTGGCTGCCATTTTCCTCACCATCATCATCATCATCATCATCATCACCTTTAGCCTCCTCTGATGTGTGGTCACACTCCAGCTAGCAGTGGGGGAAGAGAGTGGAACAAGTGATTTAAACACTAAGCTCTTTCCACTGAGAATCTGCATTGAGAATGCTTGTTTGTCCAGGAGTAGGCTTAATATTGGCACCAGAAGTGGGATAAACAAGGAGGAATGATCTGACAATGATGACTTGGGTTCATGCTATTGAATAAGAACATACCTGATGTTCCGCCATCTCCTCCAATGGGAAAGACCTCATACAGCTCCTGCAAACCACTGCTGTTCGCCTGCCTGCATACAGAAAACAGTTTGAATATAACATAACATTGAATACCATTGTGTCAATCTCATCTGACTGTATAGTGATTTATGATTTCCATTTTCCAATGTGTTGAATATTACATATGGCAAATCAACTTGAACTTAAGTGTAGGGGTTAGCCTCACTTTTGGAGGATTGCGGGGAGGGGTTATCGGGAACATAGAGGTCAGGACAGATCTGGGCATGCTCAGGCTGGTCCCTCAGAGTGACGTAGCGTCCGCAGTCAGAGCAGCGCTCGGTGCGACTGCCACACGCCACGCTGTGCTCCGCCATGGCCGACAGTGGCAGCTCCAACTGGCAGAACTCACAGCACTGCAGCTTTGCCTTACACTCGTCCGACTGAGAGAGAGGGGTGGGGGGAGTGATTCATTCTGTATGATAGTAGTTATTATACACCTGTATCAATTACAGTTTGACTATCATGTAGAGGAACTAACTTGTTTCACTGAAACAGCATTGTCATGATGTGTGTGTGTGTGTGTGGCAATGCCGGTGACCGTTGAGCAGTCTCACCTCATGGTCCAGTAGCTGGCAACGCTCCACCTTTTTGTTGCACTTGGTGCATTTCACCTGTGGGAGTGACAGAGCAACAATATATTGAAAATAAACAATCGGGCCCTTGATCTATCAACATCTACTCAAGTATTAGGAAGTGGTCCTGGTTTCATTAGAGCAGAGTGGTTTACCTGGCTGTGCTGGTCCTGATGGTGCTGCTCCAATAGCTCTCTGGGAACAGGCTCATCACAGTCTGGACACAGGGATAGGAACCGCTGGCAGTGGGACTCATGCAAGGCAAAGTTGGACACAGCCACCTCCTTGTGACTGACAGTTGAACACGAGCACAGGAGAAGTGTTAGAGGCGCAACAACACCACAGACCTGTGTGTGCAGTGGTTTAAAGTACTTAAGTAAAAATACTTGAAAGTACTACTTAAGTAGTTTTTTGGGGTATCTGTACTTTACCTGATTATTTATGTTTTTGACAAGTTTTACTTTACTACATTCCTAAAGAAAATGATGTACTTTTTACTCCATACATTTTCCCTGACACCCAAAGGTACTCGTTACATTTTGAATGTTTAGCAGGACAGGAAAATTGCCTAATTCACGCACTTATCAAGAGAACATCCCTGGTCATTCCTACTGCCTCTGATCAGGCGGACTCACTAAACACATGCTTTGTTTGTAAATGATGTCTGAGTGTTGGAGTGTGCCCCTGGCTATTCATAAATAAATGATGCCATCTGGTTTGCTTTATACAGTATAAGGAATTAAAAATTATTTAGACTAACTTTTACTTTATATACTTAAGTATATTTAAAACCAAATTCTATTAGACTTCTACTCAAGTAGTATTTTACTGGGTGACTTTCACTTTTTCTTGAGTAATTTTCTATCTTGGTATCTTTACTTTTACTCAAGTATGAAAATGTGGTAGGTGTGTGTGTGATCTGAACAAACAGAACATAGAGCTGAAGAGAATGTCATGGCCAGCTCTACTGTGATCTGTTCAAGCACTTCCACTTTCAAAGATTCTAGACTAGGATTTCATGCCATGTATTGACTGAAATGCCTTTTGTAAACCTGAAATTATGGCAGCCTTGTCAATATTTTTGACAATGTATCTTATTATGAAGTGAACAGTCTCTCTCAACAAACTATGTCTTTAGGAAAATAAATTGCCAATTTATATATCCTACGAATTCATGCGGAAGAATATCCACTGTTACTTTGATGCTATGTTTTGAAAGTTTTAAACATTTTAATATTTAAATGTTTTAATTGTCTCACCACTGGTCACAGACACGGGTTGTGTCTTTTTCCTTGTCTGTCATCGCGGAATAGGTTTCAATTCTGATCCCAAAATAGAAGTAGATACCCCGACCTAATATACATAACCAATTTCATTACGCCAAACTGGTTCAACCCGCCCCTGGTGGCATGGGAAATAGCATTGTGAACCTAGCGACATTGAGGTCACTTGATCATACGGCTAATTTTCTAAATAAAAGTCCACCTGAATAAATGTTATTTGTCTGTTACAGGACGTTTTTCAGATTTTAAAATCACACAACAAATATTGTTTAAAGTTACGTAAACATATATTTATTAAAAAAAGAAACAAAAATAGAAACGCTACATGTAAAGTGTTGGTCCCATATTTCATGAGCTGAAATAAAAGATCCCAGAAATGTTCCATATGCACAAAAAACGTATTTCTCTCAAATTATGTGCACAAATTTGTTTACATCCCTGTTAGGGAGCATTTTTCCTTTGCCAAAACGGCACATTTTAGAGTGGCCTTTTATTGTCCCCAGCACAAGGTGCACCTGTGTAATGATAATGCTGTTTAATCAGCTTCTTGATATGGCAGGTGTGGCATATCAAGAAGCTGATTAAACAGCATTTATCATTACACAGGTGCACCTTGTGCTGGGGACAATAAAAGGCCACTCTAAAATGTGCAGTTTTGTCACCCAACACAATGCCACAGATGTTCATGTTTTGAGGGAGCATGTAATATACATGCTGACTGCAGGAATGTCCACCAGAGCTGTTGCCAGATAATTCAATGTTCATTTCTCTACCATAAGCCGTCTCCAACGTCGTTTTAGAGAATTTGGCCTCACAACCGCAGACCACGTGTAACCACACCAGCCCAGGACCTCCACATCCGGCTTCTTCACCTGCGGAATCATTTGAGACCAGCCACCCAGATGGCTAATGAAACTGTGGAGTCTTCTGTCTGTTATAAAGCCCTTTGTGGGGAAAAAGTTGTCACCATACAAGGGGGGTATTTTAGTATCCTCAGAACCTCTCCTAATAAGATCCAGTGTCATACCATAGAGATTGACTGCATAAAATAATTTTTGGATGGTCCACCTACTGTCACATGATAGAAAAATCATTTTTTCATTAAAGGTCTCCACATCTAATTTCTACTTTTGTATCCTCAGAACCTCTCCTAATAACATCCATACCATAGAGATTGACCGCATAAGATAGTTTTTTCGGCCGAAACCTACGGTCTCGCTGACGAGCATTTACATTCTCAACAAACTATGCAAGTATTCCTAGGAATCACCCAGAGAGCTACCATTCCTTCATCTGGAATAACTTCTTCAACCACATTGACATCAGATGTTCCGGCTGCACCTGGGCAACACGACTCACAGCCTGAGTGACGCAGACCTGCGTAAGCTTGCCAAAAAGACAGACTACTCTGGGGCCAACATTAGCCTCTTCGTACAAGATGCCCTCATGCAGCCTGTCAGGAAAGTGCAGTCAGCCACACACTTCAAAAAGTCATTTGTACACATGATATAGTACGTCTATTGCAGTTGACTCTTGCATACCACACTTAAGGTGTTTATTTTTCTCCACTATTGAGGAGATTTTAGATAGTTTTTTTTGTTTGTGATGGTACTATAGGTGTGAGGGCCATCCTGTGCCAACAGTCAATTGACGGTGGATGACCTTCTGACCCCGTGCTTGCCATCCATAGAATTGACCTGGATGGATGTGCCTAGTGATAAGCTGCTGGAGCCCATCGTCTGCATGGTGAGAAACACACATTCACAGCACAGACATACTCACTATGTTCACTGACATTCCCTGCTCACAAACATACTGGAACATGCAGTTTCAACACACAGGTCCCAGGCATTGCAAACTGACTCTCACATTTGTGTAATTGCTGAAGCTCATGATTTTGTCTTCTTTGCCCTTTCCTCTGCCCTCCAGTGCTTACTATCCACCACCACGCGACCCACAGTCAACACAGAGGACTTGTTCAAGGTCAGGAAGTTCACCGAGTACTTTGGGCTGAGGGGTCCTGGTCAGCCGGGACTTCACTACTCCTTACACTGTCTCTCCTCTCAAGGCCCATTCGTGTTATTATATCATGAGGTTATTATAGTTTTGTGTTTTTATATTTGTTTTTATTTATATTATTTTACGAATTTTATTTGGAATTCAGTTTAATTTCAGTTAGTTTTCAGATCCACTTTAGTTTAAGTTTTATACAAAAAAATCTATTTAGTTTTTATATTATTTTGTTTTAGTGTTAGGGACAGAAAGAAGCCTATGCGTGGGAGGCTAGGATCAATTTACAGTCCCTTCAGAAAGTATTCACACCCCTTGACTTTCTCCACATTTGTTTTGTTACAAAGTGGGACTAAATTGGATTTGTCATTTTTTGTGAACAATTTACACAAAATACTCTGCAATGTGAAAGTGGAAGAACTTTTAATATTATGAATTTTAAATTTATTAATAAACAAATATATCTTGATTTAGATAAGTATTCAACCCTCTGAGTCAATCAGTACATGTTAAAATCACCGTTGGCAGTGATTAAAGCTGTGAGTCTTTATGGGTAAGTCTCTAACAGCTTTCCACACCTGGATTGTGCAACATTTGCCCATTACAATTTTTAAAATGATTCAAGCTCTGTCAAATTGGTTGTTGATCATTGCTAGACAACCATTTTCAGGTCTTGCCATAGATTTTCTAGCAGATTTAAGTCAAAACTGTAACTGTCTTCTTGGTAAGCAACTCCAGTGTAGATTTGACCTTGTGTTTTAGGTTATTGTTCTGCTGAAAGGTGAATTCATCTCCCAGTGTCTGGTGGAAAGCAGACTGGAGCAGGTTTTCCTCTAGGATTTTGCTTGTGCTTAGCTCCATTACGTTTCTTTTTTATCCTGAAAAACTCCCCAGTCCTTAACGATTACAAGCTTATCCATAACATGATACAGCCACCACTATGCTTGAAAATATGGAGAGTGGTAGTTACTCAATAATGTGTTGCATTGGATTTGCCCAAAACATAACACTGTATTCAGGACAAAAAGTTAATTGCTTTGCTAAATCTTTTTGCAGTATTACTTTAGTGCCTTGTTGCAAACAGGATTCATGTTTTGGAATATTTTTATTCTGTACAGGCTTCCTCATTTTCACTCTGTCAATTAAGCTAGTATTGTGGAGCACTACAATGTTGTTGATCCATCCTCAGTCTTCTCCTATCACAGCATTAAACTCTGTAACTGTTTAGTCACCATTGGCCTCATGGTGAATTCCCTGAGCGGTTTCCTTCCTATTTGGCAACTGAGTTAGGAAGGATGCCTGTATCTGTGTAGTGACTGGGTGTGTTGATACACCATCCAATGTGTAATGAATAACTTCACCATGCTCAAAGGGATATTCAATGTCTGCTTAAAAAAAAAAAGCTAATAATTGGAAAACCTCCCTGGTATTTGTGATTGAATCTGTGTTTGAAATTCACTACTTGACTGAGGGACCTTACAGATAATTGTATGTGTGGGGTGCAGAGATGACAACACTATTATTGCACACAGAGTGAGTCCTTATAACTTATAATGTGATTTGTTAATACACATTTTGATGTCCCTTTAATTAAAATAATTACGTTTTTGAACGTGCACTGATTGAACCTTTTATTTAATTTACCCACCTTGGCAGAGTACCTATTTACAAATAAGCACTAGAACTCAACAATAAGCCTCAATTCATCCTAAAAAGCATGAAAAGAGGAGGGTAGTATCAGAAAACAGAACGCAACTCGAAACAAGCAAAATATAGGCTACTAAGTACAACTTTTATTTTGAAGCTATTTGCGCGATTTGGACCCGTTAATGTTGCTTAATGTCGCTGATTTTACGGAGCTATGGGAAATACAGTTTGTGAACAAGGTGGAAGTTTCACTTGTCTGTTCATCCTAATAGAAACCGAAAGCATCGACTCCATGACTCCCCCTCTCCATTCCTCCGCAGCTGTGAGAGGCGCGCCACCAAATGGCCTATAATAACCCGTCATTGGTGACCCTGTTGCCACGGAATTACGGTAATAACCTAATTTAGGGGTGCCATTGCGGCGCTAGTCTACATCGTTACATGGAAATGAACACTTTTTCTACTTATGTTTAAGTGCATCCAAACCAGGTATAATTTGAAATGTGATGCTGTGTTGTTTTACAGTGAATGCATGGCTCTTTTTAGGGATAGCCAGGCCCTACCTACACACTATCTGATTATCTTTCTTTCTCATGCCCCATCCTAACTGACCCCAATAATCTACAATGGAAGTGGTGATGACATCTCTCCCTGCCAACAACATGGGTGATTACAGTGATTTGGGTGAGGAAGACAGGAAATTGCAGGTTTGTTTAGAATTGAGTTGTCCCTCACTGTCATCCTATTTCCCAAGTAAAAATAGCCTTTGAATGACCAAAACATCACCCATAATATTTTTGCACTATTTAAATGCTCAGAATTGAAGAAATGGTACCTTCTCTCATTTCTATCAGGAAGCCTGAAAGAACAACAGAGTGGGCGGGGAGCTTATATTCATGAGCTGGTCTTGACTGACAGCTCTTGCCAGGTAACAAGGTAAACAATGGGCCAAGGTAAACAATGGGCCACTTGTCATTAATGACAAGGTAAACAATGGACCACATGTCATTCCGAGCCTAAATAGTATGCCTCAAACCATTTTCTCTGCAAAATGCTCTCATGGTCAACAGAGCTGATCATGTGTTGGATATCAGACAAACAGCAGCAATACACAATTGCATTTCTATTGCTTTGTAACTACACTGAACAAAAATATAAACGCAACATGTAAAGTGTTGGTCCCATGTTTCATGAGCTGAAATAAAAGATCCCAGACATGTTCCATGGAAGCTGAAAATATCCCAGTTCTTCCATGGCCTGCATACTCACCAGACAGGTCACCCATTGAGCATGTTTGACAGTGTGTTCCAGTTCCAGCCAATATTCAGCAACTTGGCACAGCCATTAAGAGGAGTGGGACAACATTCCACAGGCCACAATCAACAGCGTGATCAACTCAATGCGAAGGATATGTGTCACGCTGCATGAGGCAAATGATCACACCAGATACTGACAGGTTTTC